GGTGGTGCGCAATCAGTCGCAGTCACTGCTGATATCAGTAACCGCAGTGGCGTGAGCCGATGTCACAAATACAGCATTATAGCAATACCATGACGTGGCAATGCTGACAATCATAAAATGTCTTTATTTAATTGTGAGTAACTTCATCTTAGTTTCCCCTAATCACTACCCCCACTTATCGGGGGCCATCGCACCTGCGAACGTACCTCATCTCACCATGTCTCGTCCCGAGGAGTTGGCACCGCCCGAGGTGTTCTACAACGACGACGAGTCGTTCAAGTACACCTCGCTGTCGCGGGTGCAGCACATCCAGGCCAAGATGACGCTCCGGGCGCTCGATCTCCTCAACTTGGACAAGGAGCACCCCCACTTCCTTCTCGATCTTGGTTGCGGGTCGGGGCTTTCAGGGGAAATTTTAACGGAAGAAGGCTACAACTGGATCGGCATGGACATCCTGCCGAGTATGTTGGCCACCGGGTTAGATCGGGACGTTGAAGGCGACTTATTCCTTAGTGATTTAGGTACCGGGGTGCCGTTTCGCGCCGGTACCTTTGATGCCGCCATTCTGATTTCGGCGATCCAGTGGTTGTGTAATGCCGATACCTCGGGTAACGACCCCAAGAAGAGAATTCTGACATTTTTCAATACGTTATACGCCTCGTTGAAGCGAGGGGGTAAGTTTGTTGCCCAGTTCTACCCCAAAAACGACGCCCAGCTCGAGCAGATCACCTCGGCGGCTAAAGTCGCCGGGTTCGGTGGTGGTGTCATTGTCGACGACCCTGAAAGCAAAAGAAATAAGAAGTACTACTTGGTGTTGACCGCCGGGATCAGTGACCGCGCCGTCAACTTGGAAGGGGCGACGATGGACGCCCCCACCGTCAAGGTGAATAAAAAGAAGGCGAGAATGATGGAGCTGAGAAAGGACTACATCCAGCGGAAGAAGGAGACGGCGCGCAGACGCGGGAAGAAGGTAGCATTGGATTCGAAGTTCACGGGGAGAAAGAGACGGATCAGGTTTTAGCATTTTCTATTATATTTGTATCGATACACGTAATGAGTTCATTTTAGTTAGTGTACCCCATTTGATGGGTCCACCATCGAGTGCGCGCGATAAATTTTCGAAAAAGTCTTTGGCAGCGTTGACCACTGATGTTTGGCCAGTTACTCACCCCTCTCCGAGGGCTTGCCACCAAGGGTATGTTTAATGATTTATTATGTCTGTGATTTGATTACTAACAGTTGTTTAGCTCTTCCCACGGTGTACGAAGGGTTGCCGGCGAAGCGCAACGGGGAAAACGTCATGACATATTTGCACAAGCAGCTCTTGCAAAAGCACGACCCCACCGGCAAGCGGCGGGCTCTTGTCGACCGGACCAACGGGTTGAGAGCCGGCGACATCATCAAGGTCACCTACATGGACCGGACCGACGTCGTGGGGCAGATCATCGCCATCAAGCGGGGCCAGACGAACTTGGGCACCAACATCCTCATCAGAAACAAGATTACTCGGGTCGGGTGTGAAGTACGCATCCCTCTCTTCTCGCCGAAGTTGAGAAACGTCGAGTTGTTGCACAAGCCCAAGCAGTACAACCTGCGGAGCAAGCAGTACTACATCCGCAACTCGAAGCGGGACGTCGACGACTTGGAGGCCTTCGTCAAGCGGAAGCACAAGAAGGACACCCAAAAGAAATAGATTTCTATCATTGTACATAGTTTTTAACACCACTCAAATTTCGCTGATTTTCAGCTGCCCATGGCGGCGATCTTCAGGTAGAGCTCCTCGGCAAACTGCGACTGGAAACCCGGCACCATCTCCATCGCCAACAGCTCGAACGTGGGGAAGAGCCGAGTGGGCTGCGCCTCGTCGTACCACCCGGCCACCACCACGGCCACCCGGTGCTTCGCTCCCTGGCCGGTGGTGATGTGCAAGTGCGGCGTGGCCCCAGTGTCCACCACCGTCATCTCGGGGAAGAATTGGTGGTACTCACGGTGGATCTGGGCCAATTCCTGGCGGGAGTCAAACGGGGTTGCCATGGTAAAGTGTTCGGGAATTGTCAACTGGAATTCTCACTCGCACGTCACAAAGATCCACTACAAAGGCTTTTTTTTTACTAAGGAAAAAATGTAGTCACAACTGATTCCCAATGTCCCATTATGGTGTCAACATCAGGCGCCCAGAAACGTGCTCCTATTTAAAGGTCTATCTATGCGTGCCTCCGCAGTCTCGTCCCCGGGTGCCAGCCTATTAAGCAGACTAGCCCTTGAGGCGGAGGAGCAATTGATGTTAAGAGTCTGAGTAGAGGGGCCTTCGCCCACTTTTATAGTGACAGGTGCGACTGTGTGCAGGATTTTTCTAATGTGATGGTTGACGTCGCGCTGTCGATGGCCACACGCCCTACGCTGTGAACGAGTACGGTTTCTTCTAGGGTTCAACCCGGCGTGTTTAGTCAGTCCATGCCCCCCGTCGACACCGCCCGCTACATCGGCGCCGGAGTGAGGGTGCTTCTCGAGGACGGCCGGGTGCTCGACGGCACCCTCACCGTGATCGACCCCTTCGGCAACTTGTTGCTCAACGACGTGTGGGAGACGCTGGCGGACAAGCTCAACCCCAGCCTCACCCACCGCCGCGACATTGGTCTTGTGAGCGTGCCTCGGGCCACTGTGCGGCAAGTCGGGGTTACTCCCGCCACCTACGCCCAGATCCACCCGCCCCTGGCCTAGTCCCGCAATTGGCAATTCCATTAGCACAATAATATACAATTCTTTAGCGCCACCACCAGCGCTGGCCTGTTTTCACCTGGCCTGTTTTCACCTGAAATATCGCACAAGAAAAGTCTAGAATCAGCGCGATCGCAACCGCGACACCTCTCAATTTTCTCTCTGGGGGAACACGTTATTCGCAGTGGGCACCACAGACGATGCAAGGATCGTATAAGGACAAGGGCCTCCCGCGGCCGTACTACATGACGCCGTCAAAGAAGAAACACTCGCCCTACAACGACCTCCCGCAAAACTTCTTCAACAGCAGCCGCCGCAAGCTTATCGGGTATCTTGTCGTGCTCCTGTTGTTCGGCACGATGATGTGGTGGATATCGCAAGACTTGCGGGTCCAGCCCGAGCCCATCTACGAGGTCGTCCACCACGACGACGCCGCCGACGCTCTGATGCAAAACGGGTTCGACATTGGCAACGTCAACATCAAGGACAATATGAAAGAAGCCGACAATGCCGACCTTGCTGCGGGGCTCTCTGCCGGCAGCAAAGGCGATAAAGGCTACGCCGTCGACGAAGCACCCAAAGGGGGCATTGCCAACGAGGACCTCGTCGTCGGCAGCGACGAGGACCTGATTGTGGGCAACGGCAAGGCGAAGCCGAAGCAAGGTGGCGGGGTCGGCAAGGGCAAGGTGGCGCTGGCGCCGGGGGCCGCTGCGGCCAAAGGTGACCGGGCCCAGGCCAAGGGCTACAAGGCGGACAAGGAATAGCAATATAGATCATAGATACCACGTATTCATTTATGGGAGACACGGCTACCCCGGTTTCTCGAACCTTCTCACCCGCCTGCATGCAGGTTCGAACCCTCACCCATGTGGCAATGAGTTTTTCACTAACTAGGGAATCTACACTAAGCCGCCACTCATCCTAATGGACTTTGAATTGGAACCCACCCTCGAATCGATCGTCAACCAGGACACCCTCAAGTGGATCTTTGTCGGGGGCAAAGGTGGGGTCGGCAAGACGACGACGTCGTCGCTGATCGCCGTGCAACTCGCGTTGGCCCACCCCAACGACGACTTCCTCTTGATCTCGACCGACCCCGCCCACAATTTGTCCGACGCCTTTTGCCAGAAGTTCGGTAAGGACGCCCGTAAAGTGGACGGGTTGCCCAACTTGCTGTGTATGGAGATCGATCCTGACGCCGCCATGACCGACTTGCAACTGCAGGCCCAGCAGTACAACAACGACCCCAACGACCCGTTGAAGCTGATGATGACCGACATGACGGGGTCCATCCCCGGTATCGACGAGGCGTTGTCGTTTATGGAAGTTTTAAAGCACATTAAGAAGCAGAAGAAAGAGGAGGACGACACGCTGGACTCGATCGCCTACCGCACCATCATCTTCGACACCGCGCCTACAGGGCACACGTTGCGTTTCCTCCAGTTGCCGTCGACCCTCCAGAAGTTGTTGACCAAGTTCCAGCTGTTGTCGGGCAAGTTTGGCCCCATGCTCAACATGCTCGGCGGCGGCGGTAATGGTGGCGACTTGTTTGAGAAGTTGAACGAAGTGCAAAAGAACGTTGAAGAAGTCAACGAGCAGTTTACCAACCCCGACTTGACCACGTTTGTGTGTGTATGCATCTCGGAATTCTTGTCGCTCTACGAGACCGAGCGGATGATCCAGGAACTCATGCTGTACCAGATGGACGTCAACACCATCGTCGTCAACCAGTTGTTGTTCGCTGACGACGACGACCACCCGTGCACCCGGTGCGTGGCGAGATGGAAGATGCAGAAGAAATACTTGGACCAGATGGCCGAGTTGTACGAAGACTACCACCTCGTGAAGATGCCGTTGTTGGGCGGCGAAATCAGAGGACTCGACAACTTGAAGAAGTTCTCCAAGTTCTTGCTCAAGCCCTACGACCCCAAGACCGACAACCACGTCGTCACCGAAATCGAAGAGAAGTAATCTCTACTACTTTTCCCCACCTCCCTATATAGAAATGTACATTACCAGATTTTGCGACTGGCATGCCGTCCTGCACCCAGGCCAAGGCACCGTCACGAGCTCATAAAGTTTTGATCGATGAAGAATGCGACCGTGACACCATGGCCCGTGGCAACCAACGTGACTTGGCGAGAGCCAAAAACTTGAAGAAACAGCAGGAGGCGGCCAAGTCTCAGAAGAAGCAGGGCGACCCCAAAAAGCGCATGGAAAACGACGCCGAGATCTTGCGCCAGAAGCAAGCAGCGGGTACGTATCTTTAACGGTGTACTTCCCCTTATTAAAAAGGAGAAAGTGTCTGTGTCTTAGTCACAATTACTAACGCTCTAGCCGACGCCAGAAAAGCCGCGGCCGCCCAGGAAGCCAAGAAGTAGTGTAGCTTAATAATCTCCCTAATAGATGCGCCCTACATTGTCTTTGTTTGCATTGGTTTCGCACGCTTCACTACTCTCTACTCCTACCCTCAATAACAACCACATCCAATGCTTATCGAAGAAAGCTGCGTCGACCTCCCCACCAAGCTTGGCGGCACCATGCGGGTGTTCATCTACCACCCCAAAATCCTAGGCTACCCCAAAGCCAAATTCCCCGGGGTGGTGGTGTACCTGGAGATCTACCAGGTGACGGGCCCTGTGTCTCGCTTTGCTAAAGACATTGCCGGCGAAGGCTATATTGTCGCTGCCCCGCTGAGCTACCACAATTTTGAAGGCCCCGAGCCATTGGCCTACGACACTGAAGGTACCGATAAGGGCAACGAGTATAAGATCACCAAGGAGGTCGCCAGTTACGACGAGGACACCACCCTCACCATTGACTATTTGCAGAGCTTACCCACCTGTACCGGTAAAATTGGTGCCACCGGGATGTGTTTAGGCGGCCACTTAGCTCTCAGAGCAGCCGTTACCGATCTGCGGGTACTGGCGGCCACCACGTTCTTCGCCACCGACGTCCATTCGAAAACTTTAGGTAAAGGTAAACACGACGACACGTTGGAGCGGTTCAAGGAGATTAAGGCCGAGGTCATCCTAATCTTTGGTCGTAAGGATAACCATGTCCCCTATGAAGGACGCTCTCTCATCCGTGACTCGTTGGATAAAGCCAATGTCGCCTACTCTCTCTTTGAAGTCAATGACGCCCAGCACGCGTTCGTCCGTGACGAAGGCAGCAAAGGCCGCTACGACCCTGCCGTCACCAAGTTGTGTTTCGACTGGATGTTCGACCTCTTTGACCGCCGGTTGCGCATCGACTTGGGACCGCCCGAAGGCGACATTAAAATTGAAAACGTATGCTAAAAATTAAAGAAATCTACTTACCCGAACAACTTGATCGAATCGTCACTGAGCTTCATCTCCACCTCCTCTGCCTCGGCGTCGTCGTCGTCCTTCGCCTCGTCCTCGTTCATGTTCACCTTCTGCCCAAGCAACCCGGCGAAGAACTCGTCTATCTGCTGGTCGTCCCACTTCCACCCGTTGATGGGCGCCTCGAAGTTGGCGATCTTCTCGTGGATGTTATACCGCAACTTACGGTCCTTCTGCGCGGCGCGGTCGACGTTCTTATTCAGCTTCTGTGCCTTTTGTGCTGTTCGAACGATGGTGAGCCCCAGCGTCGGGTTCTGTGACTGGAGCTTCTTGTCGACAAGATCATTGAGAAGCACCCGGTAGAAGTCCTCGTCGTCAAATATACCGGCGATCTCGCTCTGGTCCCGCTGCTTCACCTGTTTGGGGATATCGGGGTTCTCTTCCTCTTCGTCTTCCTCTTCCACTTCGTCGTTGCCGCCTCGGGTCTTCATGTAGTAGTCCAAGCCCAACGGAGTGGTGTGACGTCGGTTGGTGCGCGTCCGCTTCATGAGACGGGCCATGTCACCGAGGTTATTCTGCACTTGCTGTTCGTACGACTGATTGATCAGCTTGAACTTCGCTTGGTTGATTGCCAGCAGACCTTGCGAGTTCTGGACCTTAGCCGACCACTTGGTGAGGACGTCGGCCCGGTACTGGTTGAGGGTGTCGTCCATCTCCTTGGCGGTATTGTTGTAGTCTTCGTAAGTGCGTTTCTTGGGCAAAGCGACAGGTTCCCCGGACTTGTCGGCCTCGGTCAATTGGTTTCTCAACGCAAACACCGTGTCCAAAATGTTGAAGCACAGTTCACGAGCCTGGTCGAGGTATTTGGAGGTTTTCTTGGTGACCAACTTTTCGTGCTGCGCAACTTCTTGGTCAAACGGGAGCTGGTTGGCAAGCTGGATCGCTTTCTGGAGTTTGAGTCTGCCGTCAATAATCTTGTCAAACACCAGGTGTTGCGATTGGATGGCGTACCCTTTAAGGGCATCGTTCATGGCGTTCTCGGAAAGCTTGTTGACGATATGCTTTCTTTCCTGAGCCATCAACCCCAAAAGCTGTTTCCGCTTATATTGGAGGTCCTCAGAGTCTCGGTTCATCACATCGTCTTCATCGTCGTCGTCACTGCCAGCTTCGTCGTCATCTTCGGAGTCGGAGTTCGCCCGCAACGACGCTCCCGAGTCGGACTCAGACCCCAGTTCCTCATCAGGGGTGACTTCTTCGTCGTCCATTTCCGGTTCGCTGAACTCTTCTTGCTCGAAATCCTTACGACTTCCCTTTTCACCGCCGTATTTACCCCCTAACACGGGAGCATTATTGCGAAGCTTCGACTTACCCACCAGGACGTAGTGGTCGTTGGCGACGTCGGCCTCCTTATCGGAGCCGTCATCGGAGTCAAAGGCGTCCCGACGCTCGTCATCTTCGATGTCAAAGTCGTCGGGCTTCTCTAGCGTGGCCAACTCCTCCAAAAGACTTCTCTTCGCCATGAGCACGATGGGTTCCTCATCGCATCGCGCTTACGCCCATCTAGACATCAGTGCGTCACATGACATAACATAGACACCCCCCACATAAATAGCTTAAACTGCTAGGGTGTATAAGTGTTTCTAACATTCAGGGTATTTTTGTTTGACTAGTCTTCAGTTGATTCACTATTTAGTGCATTCTCCTCGAATACATCCATGAGAAACCCTAAATTTCCCCAGACGTCGTAAGCCACATGAGCTTCCACCTAGCCATAGTGAATGTTTTAGGTTGATGAGGAGTTCGAGCAATACCTATCTAATCATGTTTGCCATCTGTCTCTCCAATCACGTTTGTCCCTTGTTAAAAGTATAGATAAAATTTAGACCTTCAGACTAAAGTGGAAAATCGATCGGCCTAGGAGAAGGCCAACTTACTTGACGCCACCGTGTTCACTGATGCGCTAATATTGCTTCCGATCCCGTCTGCTACTATATCGTGGACCTACATAATCTCTAGTCTAAAACCTAACGCCGTCTTGGCTAAAGTAAAGATCGTCGCTATGATCTACTAAGGGGCAGTGACATCACGCCCAAGCATGATGACACGAGAAAATGCAACCTCCACGTTTTCATAGTATTTGTCAACACCAAAAATTGTCGGGAGACCACGAGTATTATTGTTCACGATTATTTTTCGACACCCGGAGACGATTGTTTTTTCTTGATATGCCAACGATAAAGTCTCAAAGGGGCAATAACAAACGGAATAAATGCACCCTTTGAGCGCTGGGTAACAGGGCTTAAGCGGGGGTTGAATGTCGCTATGACGGATTTTCTCTATATAGTTTCATGCATCTCCCCATATTTTGATTGACATATGGTTCAGTGTGGGTCGACACTTTTTGTGTTACTAACAGCCGTGTGGGCGCAGGTAATTATGGACGATCCCCAGGATACGGTCCCAGCGTCGCCGTCGACCACCTACGTGTGGGTCACCGTGACCACCGCGGGAGCTATTGCTACGGTGAGAACACCCTATTTCCAGGAGTTCCTTCCTGCCGCCTCGGCAGCAGCTTCAGTGGAACAAGGGTCGGTGGGGTTGGGTACGATAGACGGCGACGTCGGTGTCACCCGCCAATACTCGATGTTAACGCTTAATGGCCACGGCAACAACGTTGTCGGCCACCTCTCCCCGGGTCTTGGTCTATTGGGGGTGGTGTTTGCTCTTGTCGCGTGAGGCACCAACACCTCTGTTTACGCGAAATGCTTGGACGCCAATTTTGACGACGCTAGCCATATGTTTTACGATGATGACGATGAATCTCGTCACCGGTTGACGATGTGTAATATTAATGATTTTGTAATATAATACGAGACGACTAGTTTTGTTTAACGTGAAGCTTTCGATTGTAGTATGCCTGGTAAGTATATGCTCGCAGTGAGTGTCAACACCACCTACAGTCGACGGTAACGGGCAACGCCAGTAGCGATACGGGTAACGTGATGATACCGGTGCATCGCCACCGTGGCTAACGACAACTTTTACCCCAGAATTTAGCCGATAGCGACGCCGGATGATGTTAAATTTTTGTCACCAAGACCCTCCTCCTGCATACGCCCCCTCCTCCCCAAAAGCAAAATTTTCTTAACGATAGCATCAGAGATATGAGTGTCGACGAAGTTACCAAGCAAACTGAAGACTTGAAGTTGGAAGAACCCGGTCACACTTTGTTCGACAACAAGGAGGACTTCAAGGCCAAGCACCCTTTGAACAGCAAGTGGACCTTGTGGTACACCAAGCCTCAAGTGAACAAGTCGGAAGCGTGGCATGACCTCTTGAAGCCCGTCATCACCTTTTCCAGTGTCGAAGAATTCTGGGGCATCTACAACTCGATCCCCCCGGCCAACCAATTGCCGATGAAGTCGGACTACCATTTGTTTAAGGAAGGGATCCGTCCAGAATGGGAAGATGCCCAGAACGAAGAAGGGGGCAAGTGGCAATATACATTCTCCAAGCGGGAAGCTGGCAACATCAACGAATTGTGGTTGAGAGGGTTGTTGGCCGTGATTGGCGAGACGATCGAAGACGACGAAAACGAGGTTAACGGGATCGTCCTCAACGTCAGAAACAGAGGTATCAGAATTGGTTTGTGGACCAAGGACTGCGACGCCTCCAAGCTCAAGACTATCGGGGAAAGATTGAAGTTGGTGTTGCAATTGAAGGATGAAAAGGTCGAATTCTTGGCTCACGACGGGAAGAAGGGCAAGGATGCCTTGATTGTATTATAGTTTAACTATCGAGTAAATGATTACGAAACATTATTAAACATGTCAACTAAAGCTCATAGATCATCTGGGGGTCCTGGCGACCGTTGTCGCCCTCCCGCCGTTTCCACGTGAGGATCTGATTCTTCTCAAAGTTGATATCAAACACGCGGAGACGGCGAGCAAAATCGTCGGTCTTGGTTACGGCGGAGTCGCCCACCACCGAGCTGAAACACAACCACATCGTCTTGTCGGAGTTGATGCACACGTCGTTCTCGTGCTCGTGTCCTACCAGCACCGCCTTGTAGCCCCAGCCGACGATGTCGTCGTAGAATTTGGGGTTGGTACCATTTGAGAGCGACCCTTTTTCCTTATACTCGCCCAAGACCAAAAACGGTCCTTTGGGACGGTATTGCGGTAACGGGTAGTTGAAAAACAATAGCTTCAACGGCGTGTCGTGGGCCTCTAACGCTGCCTGCAGCAAAAAGTACATTTGCAGATGGTCCAACCGGTGGTCTTCGGAGTCGAGAATGGAAATGAGCGCCTGGCTCGAGTCGCCGTTCTTGATCTTGAGGTGGTAGTTGGACACACCATGTAGCGCTTCGTCGTTGGGCAATCGATTATAGCAGTTGGGAAGCGTCAGCAAAAAGTTCACCACCAGCTTTTTAAAAGTACGAGCGGTGGTGGGGTCGTCTCTGAGGGTATCAGCGTCGCCAAAAGTAAACACAAACGGCACTTTATGTTTTAAAATCGGGTGCAACAGCTTGATCAACACCAGCTTATAGTCGGGCGAGCGGTCGATGTCAAAAAGGTCACCAGTAATCACCACCAACTGTGGTTTTTCTGCCTCGATGGCGTCCTCGATGAACTTCAGTGTCTTTAAATCACTCTTACATGCTTCGCCTTCACAGCGGCCGGAGTTCATGCCGAAATGAGCATCAGATAATTGGAGGATCCGGAACCTGCTGCCAGCAGCAGGGATCTCCTGATTAGTCCGGCGGGCCTCAAACTCGGTCATGAGTGTCGCAAATGACTCGTGGTCGTTCTTAGACACACTTAACATCGTGAAATAAGGGATGACGCCGTTCATCCCCGCCTGCTTATTACGGGCCAGTTGAGGGCGACCGAATTGAGGCACTTTAACCACCAGGCGGTTAGGACGCCAATCATTGAAATCTTCGGCACCAAATAACACGTCAACATCATATACAAGCTTGACGTCATCGGGGATGGTGTGGCCGGTGTTCTTAATGTACTTGGCATACAATTTCGTTCCTGCGAACGACACGCTTTCGTAGTCGTATAAGTCGCCGTCATCAACGTCGTACGGAGTAAATCGGAGCCCGACAAGAATGTGGTGGGCTTCAGACCTCGTCTGACGTCTGGTTGTCAAGTAGTAATTGTACAGGCGGACGTTAGCCGCATCGAAGGTGTTGAGGGCGACGGACTTTGTGTACCCGGCAGCGGGCGAGCACGTCGTCTGGATACACGCCAACACGCCCACGTCCAGCACCACCGAGTGCAACTGGTGGAAGTCGTCGTCGAAGGTGTCGAGGCTAAACCCGGGGCGGGGGTGGTAGGGGACGGTATAGAGAGACACCCAGGCGTAGAGCGCGGTGACGGCGGCGCCGAGGACGGCGACCACGAGTAGTCGCCGGAAGAACGGGTTGATCTGGAGCACCGCCATCGTCAGACGTCGTCGCTGGATGGGGTCCCGGCAGCCGTTGAGCCTCTTTTTATGTGCATCCCGCAACCGTTTCTAGTTGTCCCGCCTTATCCCTCACGTGCAGCCTCGAATACGCGCACCTACCCATGCAGCCGATCCAGACAATTTCTTATGGCTTTACGCAGTGAGCACACGCCCTCCCAGGAGGGGGCTTGTACCCAAAGCTTCCCCTTTGGGAGACGACAGCCACGCCCTATGAAATGCCTATACGTGTGGACGGGCGTATATGTCCACTTTTAGTAGTGGACTAATGGTGGTGTTGCTTAAATTAGAGTAGTGGTGACCGCAGCCAGTGTCCCCGCAGGCAGTGTCGCCGACACAGTGTCGGTGGGTGCGCACCCAGGTGCATCGCCGTTGGCTTTGTCACCCGAAAGTCGCGAGATTGTCGATGATTTTGTACTAAGTGACACAATGTGAGCGGGGCCGCTGCCCGTGGCTAGTGGGCCTAAATCCTGCCAGCGCATGCGACGGGGGCCGGCATCTGTTGCCTGGGGAGGTTGACAATCGGGTTTTAGACCCATTAGATACTGGCTAAAGTGTGTTCTCGGGCAGGGCTGAGGGGGCCGGGGCTCGCCGGTAGTCTTAGGGCACAAGCCCTGCCTAATTTGCTCGTTAAGGCGCCCCGGAGACGTAAATGGGCCCTTCGCCGCGGTCTAGACCGCCTACAGCGGGTGCGAGATCGACGCACTTTTTCGACGGATGGAGAAATTAGCTATGACTATAGACGACTACTGGGAGTCTGCGGCGAGCTTGGCGTCGAACTCCTCTTTGGTGTACTGAGGCGTCCATCTGAGCTTGTGTGCCGGGTGGTGCTCGTTGACGAACTCCGCCCCGAAAACTTGTTCGCGGTAGGTCGTAGGCTTTTCGGGGTACTCTTCCCACACCAATTTACGCTTCTGCAATTCAGGGATCACGTAGTTGACCACGTCCTCAAACGAGCCGGGGGACACCGCGTAGGTGATGTTGAACCCGTCGACCTTGGAAATGTCGACCCAGCGCTCAATCTCGTCGGCGACTTCGGTGGGGGTACCCCAGAACACGGGACCAATACCACCCACAGTGATTTGGTCGGCGACGTACTTACGCGTCTTCTTGATATCGGGCGACTCGCCGGGACCCAACTTGGTCCAGTTGTCAACAAAACCCTTGACGGCGTTGGAGCCGGTGTCTCTCAACTCTTCGTCTTCACCGAACTGGCCAATGTCGATCCCGGTCCACCCCGAGAAAAGCGCCTGGGCCCCTTCGAGGTCGCCGTGCGCCTTGTAGTCCTTGTACTTTTTCTCGGCCTCCTCGTGGGTGGGCGCGACGACAATGGTGATGAGTTGCAAGAACTTGATATCGTCCTGTCTGCCGTACTTAGCGGCCACTTGCTTAATCTCTTCGATCTTAGCCCCTAAACTTTCGGGAGTGAAGTTAGTGAGGAAAACAATCTCGGCATTACGAGCAGCAAAATCGATCCCCTCCTTAGACGCCCCGGCTTGTAAAATCACGGGTAATCTTTGCGGCAGAGGCTCGGTGATGGCGGGACCCGGCACTTTGAAGTACTCGCCCTCGTGGTTGATTTCGCGCACTCTGGTGGGGTCAGTGAACACCCGGTTCTTCACCACCACGGCGTCGTCCCGCCACGAGCTCACAAGCAACTTGTAGATCACTTGCAAGTACTCTTCGGCCCTTTGGTAGCGCTTTTCTCTCGGGGGCAATTCGCCTTCGGGGATCAAGTTGCGCGCCGCCAGGTCCAAGTACGAGGTGACCACGTTCCACCCCACCCGGCCGTTGGTCAAGTGGTCCAACGTGGCCAAGCGACGAGCGAAGTGGTACGGCTGTTCGGAAATGGTGGAGAAGGTGATCCCGAAGGTTAAGTGCTTGGTGACTGCCGCCATCGCCGACACCACGGCACTAGGCTCGTTGATGGGGAATTGCGCCCCCAGCGACGCCGCCGCCGTGAAATTGTGGGGGCCGTTGTAGACGTCGTAGGGGCCTAACACGTCGGCGATAAATAACCCGTTGAATTTCCCCTTTTCCAACAACTGGGCCAAGTTCGTCCAGTACTCGATCTTGTTGTAGTCACGTGAGTGGTCGTCGGGGTGGGTCCAGAGACCGGGGGCCTGGAGACCCAGGGCGCCGATCTCAAAGGCATTCAATATGAGGGGCTTGCGGTCGGTGGTCATGGAAGTCGAGTGTTGTGGCAATTATAATTAACGAGTACGTGGTCTCTTAAATACTGCCGCCCCCCCATACTTTGCGGCCGACGCCACAGTGAAAACTGTGGCGATATTGTTCGACGACGATCAATCATGTGGTGTCGGCTCATTACAAAACCCTAAATCGGGGAAATATTAGCCTATATACATCAGAAAAAGTGGTCAGAGACGCTCCTCGCGGATGTCGACGGAGGCATCCTTCAAGATCGCCAACCCCCAGAACCCCATCACGTTGAGGAGCCCCACCTGCCACCCATTGAACAATCCGAGTCTAGCCACCCGTTCCGCCAACGGCGTGTTGGTGTCGTCGGTGAACCACGAGTCGTTAAAGTTTACAATCAACTCGTCGTCGGGGTCGTCAATGGTAACCACGCGCATGGGGTCCTCGTCGGTGGTGCGAGGGGTCACGAGAAACCGCACCTGCTCCTTGCGCAATAAGTTCTCCACGGGGAGGGTGACGAAAAACTCCGCGATAAGCGAGAACAAGTTGACGAAAGTGTAGACGTTGGGGCTCGAGTAGCTGTCGATGTTGAAGCGGATGAAAAGCAAGTAAGGGGCGGTCTTGCGGAAGATCAGTTTGGCGACTTGGTAGAGCGACGTCAACACGCATATCGACGCCGGCGGGTGCCAGAAGAGGTCGCGGGGATAATACCGCAACAGCTCGCGCAACGACCGGGTGTTGATGTTGGGGTATGCCAGCTCCGCTCGCTTCAGGGGACGCGAGAACTTGGTGATCATAAACTTGATGCGGATCAAGTCGAGGGGCATGAGCACGAGCCCAGCCACCACGCACGCCAGCACCAGGAGCCACAACAGCCGCGCCGGGTCGTTGGAGTGGGTCAATTCTAAAAAGTAAGGGTCGGGCACGCCTAAGAAAGGCGATAATAACCCGGTGATCCACGCCTCGATCGTGTGGGAAAGGGTATTGTAGATGAACGAGGCGTTGACCCCTTTGAACAACGCGAGGGGCCCTTCCAAGTTGGCAATCAGCGAGAGGATGTCCCACGTACTCAGCGACCGTGGCTGGAGCTTCTCGTGGCTGGCCACAGGCTTAGGCAGCGGCGACGGCCGTTTCGACGCCGCTTTGCTTGCGTGCGGGGTGTCGTTCCACTCGTTAGTCAGCTGGAAGTAGTCGATGTGGCTCTCTTCCTCTTCGTCCAGCACGTTAAATAGCGTCAGCCCCGTGATATCGTGGGCGGGAGCGTTGGGGAGCTTGCCCACTTGCAATACTAACCGCACCATTTCTAGCGGTTGCGCCATCGCCACTTTCACGTAGTTTTGAGCAAAGCTCCACACGAGGTTCTTCAAGAGCTCCCACAAGTTGTTGGTGTCGAGGTACTCGGCAAGCTCGAGGTCCAGCACGTAGTTCTTCTCGACGACGACGGCGTCGTTGCCGGCGGCGTGGATGCCAATCAGCCCGCGCCCCACTCTGGCGTTATTGATCTTGGACACCGAGCTCAGCACCTGCGCCGAGAGCGGCTGCCCGGTGTCGGTGTTGATCAACCCCACCCCGGGCTTGAACACGACGGGGTTCCCCGTGTGGAACGTGTCCTTGTCGACATAGGGGCGATAGCTCCCCTGGGTGTTGCTCGACATTGACTGACTCTTGCTCCCAAGATTGCGCGCAGATGTTCGCCTGAGGCGGGGTACCCCGTGACTGCTAATTGAGCTGTCAAAACCGTGGTGATTAATTGTGTATTAATTGTGTATTAATTGTGTATTATTTAGTTACCCTAGTGGTATTGAGTGGACCGTTTCTATAATAATTGTGTCATCTCCGCAGGGGGAGCGTACGGCCCACGATCACACTGGATCACATCTTCTGGTACCAATTGCCTATCATTTAGAAGATGTAGTGTTTTACCATTCCCGATAGCAAAACTTGACCATAACCATTTTCAATTTCAGTTGTTGTCTTCCTTCATGGCGAGTTCATTGGAGCGTTGGATTAAAAACTCACCAAGAAACTTCAATGGATCCTCAGGTTTCGTTTGTGATGTAAGCTTGAGACCTTCAAGAAGGTGGACGGTGAGGTGCTGGTTCAAATAGCGCCGTACCAGCGACCCCCCGACTTCTTCGGTAACGGGTTTGCCTTTATTGGTAGTAGTCACGGGAGTGGGAGCAGCAGCGGGAGCCGGCTCAGATACTGAGGTTTCCGAGGTTTCCTGTTTAACTTCAACGCCATTAGTCTCAACGGGCTGTTCCAGTTCTTGTTTTATCGTCGTATCCACACCATTGGTGGTCTCAGGTTGAGTAGTCTCCATAGTGATGGGCGTCGCGCGAGTTGTCGCCGCTCACTCACTAACAAACTCTAACAATTACTCTTCACCGAGCACTCACAGGCAAATATCACTTCTGAGCATAGATTCATTAGAGAATTGATGTAAGCATTCCATTTTTGACTTTGATTCATGGCCATTGTAGCAGTAATTCTTCGACTTATAAAACTTGTCTATGTGGGAATGGTTGGTGTCGTCGTTGACCCTAGTCAGCCGTTGCCCTAATTAAGGCCAGGTCGCACCCATCTTGCCAGTGATTGCGCGCGTCACCACTTTACTATGGATCCGTTTAACGAAGTCCAAGAAGACGCCTGGGGGATGCTCAAGACCCTTGACGGGCTTGTCCAACAGCGCCGAGATTCGAAAATCGACCCTCGAGCCGTGGGATCCGACTTCTCCAATAACTGGCAAGAACTCGAGGAGATCTATACCGACCTCGAGCAAGCCCTCGAAATCTCGGCGAAGAACCCGGACAAGTTCCGTTTGAGTCCCAGTGATATTGAAAAACGACGTCGAGTATTGCTTGATCTTGCCCAGCGAATGGAAGCCACCAAACGAGCGTGGGATGAAGCTAATCTGCGACTTACACCTCAAGAGGTTACCACTATGAGCAATAGACTCAGTTACGAAGAGAACCCTTTCGCTGATGCTAATCAACCAGGACACAGCTGGCAGCAGCAGCAGATGCTTGAAGAACAGGACGTCCAGCTTGATCTGATCCACCAAACTATGCGCAATTTGAATCAACAGGCTCAGCTCATGGGCAGCGAGCTCGAAGAACAAGGGTTCATGTTGGACGACTTGGACCGTGACATGGATAACGTCGACAACAAGCTCCAGCGCGGGGTGAAGCGCATCAACAAGTTCATCGAGAAGAACAAGGAGCGCGCCTCGGACTGGTGTATTGGGATCTTGATGGTGGCGTTGGTGGTGTTGTTGGTGGTGATTGTCATTGCATGATTGAGGTCGACCTGTTCTTAAACGCATTTTATTTAATTCTTCCCCGTCAATGTGCTGATGACCTGACAATCGCCGGCATCTGACTATTTCTTCATACACAGTTTACATCTTAAACCAATAATAAACACTTCCTAGGTTTAGGTACTTTACGTCGGACATATCATCTATATGGTGTAACCTTCCAAAGCTCGCTTGATCTTAACTACACATACTGAACACCCGAGCCGGGAAATGAGAAATGCCGGGCCGGGTTTGAAAATCAAATAGATAATCTTTCGTGATACTTACAAGGTATCATGATTTCTTCATTATTGAGCTCAGCCTGAACCGCATAGTGATCGGTTATACCTCACTTATTGCTTCAACCATCACTTCAATGTACAACATACAGATATCCATTAGTAAGCAGCCCGGCTCTTTGACAACTTGATTCAACATTCAAACTCCGAACCTTCATGATTTATGTAGGCATACATCTTGTTGGATTTCAATTTGATCTCGATTGTCAAAGTTTTCGTTGGCTAATATCAAGACTGAAGGAAATAAATATTCTTAAATTGTTATCAACAAAAAAATAGTTGATGGTTAATTACTTGTAGCGACATTTAACGAAGCTTCAAAAATCTGGCACGCTGAAAAATGCACTCAAGACGTCGTGCTTAGGTACCAAGCCGTCTTCTGTAGAGTTGATCGTAAGCACTCAATTGTAGACAACGCCTCAATTGAAATCAGCTTCGAAATTGAGGCAAAGCATGTAATCAATCAGTTTTTCTGATTAAAAAATCAGGTGAAATAGTGGCCACATTATTTGTGAGAAAACCAGCATCACAAAACTAGCATTCATTTGGTAAATCAGCTGGGTTCAAAAGTCTCAATTGATTTCAAGGATGGTTCAGGACTGCTTCAACTAAGCGAATCTAGTATTTATGCCTCTAAACTCACTACACCTTGAAAACTAAGGTGTAGTTTAATAACTTGGGTCACTTTCCATATAACCAAATATTCACTGTAATTGAATTTTGTTTTCGTTGAGTTGGACTCCTCTTTGCATCATTCAATTTAATTTCTTTGCAAAGTTTAAGTTTAATGTATGGAACTCCCAAATGTCAGGCAAAAGCTTTTCATAAAAACCCCAAAACTCTCAGGTTGACTCATGAAATATTAGCACATATATGCCCAGTCATTCATTTCGAAAACCAAAACGGCATAGTTCAAAATGGATGGATCCATGAAAGTCTTGCTAATCTTGTTATGTGTGTTCTGGATGTTTCGAAAGCTGCCTGTCATGTCGTTCTGGATGTTTCGAAAGCTGCCCGTCATGTCGTAAATCAAACGTTGCAACTGGGACCACTCAACTCAACCCACGAGTGGTGTATTCAGACTGGTCAAAAAGTTTTTCCGGCTATCATTCACCGACAGATATGCCACTCTGTTTTAATATTCGGTAATAAACACAAGAAGTTCAAATTGAAACATTCCATAGCTCTCATCCACTAACTGTAATAACAGCCTCAACCATAAATTTATTCAACCGCAAAATTTGCGGATCTCCCAGTATCATTGAGCAGACCCCATATGCTTTGACGAAAATGGTGGGCGCGAAGAATGCGCTAGGCACTCACAAAATGTCAGATATTTTTTAGGCAGGACAGCAATCACTGAAACCGCTGGAAAAAGTTTATTGGATAAAGTTGTAGACTAATCATCCGCCAAATTCCAGGGGCACACCGGTGGCAATAACTAGGGTCGATTTTGAACTATCCCGCTTATACTTGTCAAATTTGAGGTGTCACCATCTTAGACTGCATTTGCAGCCATATGAATTACGAGTAGTTTTAAGGCTCAGGCCACCCAGAGGGATCGGTAAGCCATCACGTCAGCGGCTTTCACTCCTGCCGAAGAAGCAGACATCGATTGCTTGTGGCTTACCTACATATCTAGGCAGTGCCGCCAAGCAGTTTTGGGAATATTCCCTGTATGACATGCATGACTGACGAGGCGTGTTTTTAAAGCCGAAAAATGACATTTTCGGTCACACCATTTTTTCGTCCCCTTCCGATCGTCCACCGCGGGCCGAGCTCTTGTTCTAATGGGAAATACGAAGTGCATGAAAGTTTTATCATAGAATGTCTTGAGGGGGGAAATTGCTCTGAGGACTTGTCAGGCAGAGTCCCCTCGCGGGTTGTTAAATTCAGATCTATATATTATAAGGCGGCTATCTGAGTCGCCTGGTCGCCATTAGTTGCCGTTATCCCAATGAGGAGGCCTTCTTCATCTCTTGTATCAACTGCTTATCCAGCTCAAACCGTTGTTCGAAATGTTGTAGATCGAAAAACAAGTCCTTGAGGTGAGCGTCAAGCACTTCGAACCGGTCTCGGTCCTCGCTGACAAATTTGAGGGGGTCACTCTGCAAGGAAGCCGAATACAATAGCTCGGCAGACGCTTCTTGGAACATTGTGAGAGTGTCGAGAAAATAAAGCTCGTCGTTGAGCATCTCTCGGACGAGGTCTCCTCGGGGTATCTGGGGCTGGAAACTGCGTATTATCTTGCCAAACTTCTCTAAAATATCAACGATTCGAGCATACACGTCGCGACTGATTAAGCCCTGAGTGCCGTCATCAATGGTTTGTTGGATCGCCTGTTTGGCCTCGTCATTGCTGAATTGCCATATCTGAGGGTAATCCTGGTGTTTTATCGGTGGCCAGCCATGCCATGCCGTTCCGTATTCGGATTTCGCTTTGATGAGCTCATTACTCGTCCGCATGAGCCTGGTGGTTATGGGTATTATATCGAGCTGAAACGTCATTAGCTCCATCACCTCGTACATGTAGGCTTCGTCGCCTTCGTACGTGGGCGGAGAATCTCGTCCCAGGTTTTGCAATATCGATTGGAGAATGGTGTTTTCGTACGTGAGCTCAGTTTGCACGTTGACCATAGGATCATAAGTCAATTCTTTCCGTAGCAGAAGGAAGAATAGCCGGGACTGGGTCAGAGCCCATTTTGGGTAAATCTTTTTCGCAGCATCCATGATTTCATCCAACGTGTCCTTGACGTCAATGTGCGGGATGTCATAGGCCACCTCATTGAGCACGTCGAGGTGCTTGTCGTCAAACTCGGTGTAGGCCCATTGCGGGACGTCGATCAAGAACTTGAGGGCCTCGACAAACCGGGGCGGGTAGAGGTATTTAATGATTAACGCGAGGATGTCGGGGTCTTCCCGCGACAACAAGTGGGCCACCAGCAAGCGGATGGCGACCAAGTCGGCGTAGACAAACTCGTAGATCGTCTTGAACACCTGGGTCGTCTCTTCGGGCGAGTCCAACTGGTCGAGCTGGGGGCGGTATTTGCCTAGCAACTCGCTTTTGCGGACAAGTTGCAAAGAGTCCGTGGCCGGGTGGACCGCGGGGGTGTCGATCTTGGCCGGGAGGTACGTGTGGAGGAGGGCGGTGGCGGCGACATGGTACTCGATGGCACTCTGGTTGATTTCGAGGAGTTTCTGGAACCGCTCCACCAAAGTAGACATCGACAACCGCCGGCGGAGGGGGATCGTTTATCTAGGCCGAGGTGATGTGCCCAAGTTTATATATAAGAACGACTACAGCGAATTATTTTTTGCCGGCATGGCATTATTTTTAGCGGCCGGCGCCAGTGCCACTGGGGGACTGCCGGTGTCGATGCCGGCTGCCTTCGCGGACGATAACCCCGGGGGGAAATAAAACCGGGTGCATGGAGGCTGTCGTCGACGCCAAAGCCTCTTTGGCGATATGCCGAGGTCAAGTTCACATGGCTGCCTCCGTTCGCCGTCATTGTTCGGCGATGGGGGGAGGGTTGTGGTCTCCTAACCGTGCCATCTGGACACAACTTGGAACGAGAGGTGGCTCCCAACCGAAGGTGGGGAGGATGACACGGCTTCTGTGTGTGGTTTTCTTTGGCTCTCTATCTACGCGGTTCTTATCACCAGCTCTCTCTATGGTAAACGCGAAACGATTCAGACAAATAAAAGTAAGGTAGCGTGGTTTTTTCCACATCGACATAAAGTCTCGAGCCAAATGCACTCAAGTCATCATTTCGTTTCACGGATTACCAGAGGGTTGAGCGACACCCGAGCCGACGGCGTCTGCCGTCAAATAAGAAAGCTCTTGTGTCGAGGTCCACTGGGGAGAATCTCCGATGAGGTGTGTTTATCATGAGAAAAAATTTTAAATACCAATTGTGTGATTGTGTGCAGGATTCAGTCCACCGCGCGAAAAGGTTACCCGGTCATTGATTGTTCGGAACGGGGTTGAAAACAAATATAGATCCGGGTCTTTTTCCACGGATCATCCTCTTGATGCCTCTGATAGGATTTATCACGGTGGTATCGTGGACCTGACCACTCCCCAGAATTGCAATCGACAGACGCAAATCATAAGCCACCACTCACATCACGTCAACACCCATTACAAAACTTTTGGCTTTTAGTAAGAAATTCACTGATAGTTACGGGTATTTTCATGGCTCCCTTGTACTTGCGCTAGCCGTGCTGTAAAATACTTTTACTAGACGTCGGGGTATACTTGCCCATTCTGTGCGTGTCTAGCCCCCACGCTTCGATCGAAAAAGCGACAAGCGTTTTGTAAGTGAAATTATGTATTCACTGGCAGCAACAATAATGCAGTGTTGAAACGTGGTGCTGAGCCGACACCGAACTATCTATTTGTTGTCGTCGTCATGTAGTGCCCTGTGTTGCTTACAAACGTCGATTTAGTTACCGTATAGAGAGCGCAAAGTAGGTTCGTGCGTTACCCGAAAGTGTAAAATACGAAGGCTACATTTTTGTTGCTAACCATTTTCTTATTTTCAAATTAAGCGACCCTACCGATTTCGGTCGTGATCTAAAAGATGGGGAACTTGTGAGGCGAGCCCTCTACTTTGTGCCCTACATGGCATGTCAACAAATCTACCGCAAAGTTTGGTAATTTGAAAGTAAATCGTATATCATTCACCACCTTTTGGTCACACTATAAAGTTGTAATTGCTGGTCACTGGGGTATTGGCCCCCAGCTTTCGAACCCTCATGCAATCGTTTTGATATAGAGTATGTGTTATGCGCGAACCCTGCAGTCGGGGTGAATCAGCCTATTCTGTCAATATTCCCGATATAGCTAAATGACGTGCGCCATCACATTGTAGAAATATCGCAAAACTCGCAAAGGCATGAGCAAATGGGTATTCAACCGGTAGTTAGGAATTCCTTATCACAGAGAGTTAGTCATTGTGCCACACCACGACCATCGTGCAAAATCTGGAGGGCGTGATCAGCGGAAATCGCGCCCAAACTGCAGGCGGTATTTCAGGTGAGCCATGCTTACGAGATGGCAGGGTAAGCTGCCGGTCACCCCGTTCGCTTAAAATTGACCTTCTGTACGTATGCCATAACGGTTATTTTTAACTACCTCTGAATCGTTTACGATCTGGCTAAGACTAAGCGACCCTCACCACCACTGCCGCCAATAGGATATCTCGTATAAATGTAGTGCCTACCACTTGTTGAATACAACTAAGTTTTTGCTTTATAATCAATTTTATCGTCTGGTCGTGGTGAGAGGTAAGAAGTTTTGTGCTTAAGCAGCCATGAGCCCTCAATGGTCGATCCGGCTAAATATACCCTTATGACTCCATCACCGTCGTAAGCTTGCATCGTTCGCAACACGATGATGATCCCGTTGCAAAAGAAAATAAAGAAGCACTGCGGCAAGTCTGTCGGTGAAATAGTCATGCAAACATGATGTCGACGATAACTCCAGACTTTGGGTATAAAGCATGATTAATAATTATGGGCGAGATTCGGGGTACGGTTCGTTACGTTAAGCTCCGGCTAGTCGCATAGTTTGCATTGTTTTTGCGATTTTATTTTGAAAGTAGGATGACGACGCACCGAGTGTAATGTTATTCTTTTCACTGAGCCATGGATACAATTCGATCACTCCTTTCGTCCGAAGCGAAGTTGTCTGTCGATAATTACGTAGGATTCTTATCGCCCACCGATACCAGATGCACCCAGTCTTTTGTGTATCAATTCATCAACACCGCTTTTTTCGCACAAAGCATGCCTTATGATTTCATTATTTAACGGTAACAAATGTAGCTCCAAACCACTAGGCGATGATGCTCAATCTTTTTAGAACTCATCCTTTGCAACGAAAATCTATCCTTTATGTCATTATGTACAAGTTATTTACAAAAGTCAGGCGGTGGCGGCGGCCTCGGCGTCAGCGGGTATCTGCTGCTGTTCTTGATGAAGGTTTCTTTCAGCCTCGAATGCTTCCAACGCCTTTATGCGCAATTCGTCCAACATCACCGTCTGGTCGCGAGGGTTGAACGCCGGCAATTCGGTGTGGCGCACGAGCTCGGGCTTCCACACGGACTCGTCGCCTTTTCTCCACAACAGTTCCCACGCCACTTCGGTGTTTTCGAGCTCAAACTCGTCGATCACGTGAGACAAGTCGGCGACGGCTTCCTGAGTGTAAGTGGGACGGTACTGGCCGGAATACCAGATGTTACCTTCTTCGTTCTTCTTTCTCATCTCCTGGGCTTGATCCTTGAGCACCGTGTCACGAGCCCGACGCAAATCCACTAAGCCTTGGTAGGCGGCGACGGCGTAGTCGTAGTTGTCGAACGTGGCCACCGCCATCACCCGCCACAAGTCGGGCCGGCGACTGGGCTTACGGTTCTGCCAATTAGGCTGGATAAACTGCTGGTTGATCTGCTGCTGGTGGAATGCGGGCACTTGCGAGTACAACACTTGGCCCGAGAACATGTTCTTCCAAAGAAACACTTGCGGTGCCATCCCCAACTTCTGCAACTGGGTGGGGGACTTAAACCCCTGGGCCAAGCGGGACCCTTCGACTTTTCTCAGCTTGAGCTGCTCCAAAAGGAGCTTTCTCATGCGCTTTTCCGCTCTTAACCGCATTGGCATCTTGGGCTAAAAGGCTGTTAGAGTGAAAAATGGATGGTTAAATTTTTTGAGACTGGCCCGCACGTGATCAGATACTAAATATAATATAAAAACCAGAAATTAAACAATGAAGCTCTAAAACAAGCTCTTTGATCTGATCATGTTATCTCAAACTCAAAAGTTATTGTCTCCTTTTTTGCAAAAATCATCTCCAGAGTATCTCATGATGTGTACTCATCGACGCCAGCGTTTACACGGGCGCGCTTATCAAAACGGGCTGGTCGCGTGCCACGAAAAAAAACCAGCCCCTCCACCAAATGATAGTTGTCCTCGAGGCGATACCGCTATTGACGGTGTTCTTCGGGACATTCGCTATTAGTCTCCGCTACCTATACAACCATACCCTCATACACCTGTATCTGCCCCGAGACAAGCTGAAGATTAATGACCAAATAACCAAGTGCAACCAAGAGAACGGCACCGATCTTCCCTTGATCGACCTGGAGCTGCCAGTGAGAAGCCAAGGGCCACTTCCTCCTCGCTATATGCTTAAGGATAAGATCGTGGCGCTTATATTTGCGTTGACGATGGCGCTTCTGGTGTTATTTATCGTGCTCATGATGTGTGAGCTCACGGGCTTTTTCAAGGAGAAGACTCGGTTGGTGTTGTTTCAACTTACTATCGACTGTCTCATCTTCATGCTCCTGCTAGTGGTGCCGTGCTTGATCATTCTGTTGTTTTTCCATAAGGATATTGTGCCGCAAAACATGTGGCGATTCTTCCTCTCCGCCACAGTGTTAGGGTCATGGTTCTTCGCCTTACACAAGTGTGGAGATATGACCCGTCTGTTTAACCCAAGAAACGTCGAGTACCTGACGAGATCATTCATTGAAAAACAGATTACCGAGATTTCGTTGGCAGGTATCACCACCCTTGCGATATTATCGGGTATTGGTATCACGCTGACTCCCTGGCGGATTTGGAATGACCGGTGGGCAGTTAAAAAGGAAGTCACTGCTACTGAGTTATGGCACCAGATCCAGGCGTATAACCAAACCTCAGCCATTTTGACTCAGCGGGAACACCGGCTTGACTCGTTGGATGAGAAGTCTCCTGGACCTTCCTCTCCACGCCCAGGTTTGTTGAGCCGTGTCCAATCATTTGCCAGTCTTCTGGGGTTTAACCTGGAAGAGAAAGAGCTTGCACTTGAGATCAAATCGTTACGCAATGTTCAAGTGGCACTTGCCTCAGAGCTTCAAGCCAAGCTCCAGCAATTCTGTGCCAAGCCTACCCCGCAATTTATCGTGGTGTACCGCTATGGGTTCTGCTTATACTGCTTATACCGGTTGATCAATGTATTATTGATTCAGATGCCCCTCCAATTATGGCGGGGCCAAGGCGGTGACCAGCGAGATGCGTTGGCGGTGACGCTTGCCAAAGTGGCGGTGCTGATGTGGCCTAAAACTAATGAGGACCAGCTTGTGACTCTGCTTTCTTTCATTTTGTCAGGGCTGCTATTCTTGTGTTCATTTAATAACGTCGTGATTACGTTCACGCTGTTTTCGCGATACTTACCCCTCATGTCGCTGTCGCTGATGATGGTGAAGAACTGGTTCAAACACTTGGCCATTGCTGAGCTCGTAGGGATCTACGTCACTGCCACCGCCATCCTTATCCGCACCTATTTGCCCCGCACGATGTCCCATCAAATTTCACAAATCCTCCTGCTCTCAGGACGCACCAAGTCGCTGGCGGCCCAGACGATATCTGAGATCAGATTCATGGACCAGTGGTTCGACGTGGTGTTCGCCATCAGTTGTGTGGTGACCATCGGCGCCATCTGGATACGATACCAAATCGTCGAGGAACCTTATGATGAGGAGCTGTTAATAGAAACCGCCAAGGCAATTTAATGAGTACACGACATGAACCTAAAATTGTTTAATGTAGTCCCACCTATAAATCTTTATGCGACGGTAACGTATAATACATAACTAAGGAGCCCAGACCTGGAACGTTTGCGGCGCCTTGATCGACAAAGGCTTCATCTTGTCCTCCTCTTCCTCGGGTTTGACAGACGGAGCACCACTGGGGTCGGCGTCGGACGCTGGTGTCAGTGCCGACTCGCCGTCTTTGAGGGTGGTCAAGCTTTGCTTGTGAGGCTTGTATAACAACTGTTTGGCTTCGTTCAACAAACTCAGCACATCGCCAGCCGTGTCCTTAGCTTCCAAAAGAGTGATGGCCTCTTCGAGTTTCTTGGTGACGCCCACCGTCAGCTTCGCGAGCGCTAACCGGTCAATAAATACCTCCTCCTGTTGGCGAACCAAGTTTCGGCGTTCTCTTTCATAAATCGTTTGTAGTTCATCAAGCTTCTTTAATTTCGCTTCAATCCGCGCCAACTCGTGGTTGACGATAGTTGTAGCATGTTTAGACATCTCTCTTTCCTCATAAGTTGCAAACAAATGCAGTCGGGCCCCAATCACCCCCAACGTGGTAGCCACGGCGTCTTGAACCGGACTGGATTCCTTCTTGACCCCGTCCAAGTCTGAGTTGGCTTTCTCCTCCAAAATCTTATTGATGGCTTCCTTCCCGCCGTTACTGGCGGCCTTGGCGACTTCAGGGTCTACCAATTGCGATACGTATGCAAGCATCAGCACCACGGGATTATCCACTGACAGCACGGGGAAGTTGGGGGCGTATTTGAGTAATTGAGCCACCCGGTCTCCTTGAGGGAGGCTTGAGAAATCATTAAACAGGTCATCAATGGGAATTTGGAGGAATTGCAACACACACTCTTGCGGGGACTTGCCCACAATTTCCGAGACTTTGTACCAGTCACTGGGGTGTTCCTTGATCGCTTTGACTAATTTGTCAGTCTCTGCGTCGGACCACTCCACTACACGACGGCGCTTTCTCGCAGGAGCGTCGACGGAGCCGTTAGTCTTTTCCTCGGCCTCAGGAGAGTTACGCTTTGAAGAAGCCCCCAGCAAGTTCATGAGGTCACCGAAAGCGTCGTCTTCCTTAGACTCGGTTTCCGAGTTGGCTTTGCTCGTCTCTTTGATAAGACCCTCTTTTTCCATGAGTTTCTTCACGTGAGCCACGTCAATCCGGTCGGGGTTAACCTTGATGGTGTCAAAGGGGAACAACCCCCGCGGAGCGTCGTACTTGACGACGTAGTCACCAGCATAGGGAAGACCAACCTGTTGGCTTCCCTTTTGGTCGACAAACCCCGGTTTGAGCTGCGGTTGCACTTGGTAGTTGATGATCCCCCAACGCGTGAGGAAGCGGTGGACACGCATTAACGTACCCACGTCACCGACAAGGTTACGTCGACACAGGGTGAGGGTCAAGTACTCGTTGGGGTTGAGACGGTAGGCGTTGACCATGAAGTTTCGGTAATTAATGTAGATTTTCGGCGACTTCAGCGGGTGGGAGCCTTCAAAGAACTCGGGCAACGTCTCCTTCTCGATCGCGTGGATCTTCTTCATCAGGAACCACAGGGCGTATGAGGGTATTATGATGGTGTGGGTTTGCGTCACTAACAGGCGGGGGTCGGTAGGCGCCACCGGCTCGTCGTCGGCGTCGTCAGACTCGTCGTCCTCTTCCGGTTCGACGTAGTCTTCTTCGTCGTCGTCGACGATGCGCTTGCGACCTTTCTTTTTCGGTTCCTTAGGGAACAATTCGTCTTCGTCCTTCACTTGAGGCGCCCCCTCCAGTTTCAGCTTATCATCATTAGTTAGTATGGCAGCGGGCTCGCTAGGTTCAGCGGTGTCCTTAGCGGTAGTGGGCTCCGTCAGCTTCGCATTCTCCTTCTCCTTAGACTCGGTCAACTTTGATGGCTCAGCCTTATCAGTAGAGTCGTCAACAGGTTTAGTAGTAGACTCGTCCTCCGGCTTTGTCAGGTCGTCCAGATTTTTCAGTTGTTCATCTTTTGGTTCAGCAATCTCAGAAGTCTCAGCTGGCTTCGCGTCCTCCAGTTCCTGAGGCGCGGTGCCGTCAGCAGAGGTGGCCTCCTTGGTAGTGGTAGTCGAGGGCACATCGGGGCCAATAACCTCTTCCGTAGTTAGACTATCGACGACGTCATCTTGTTTAGCAGCAGAATCTTCCGGGTCGGGCTTGACGTTGACGTCATTGTCGGTAGCTAGTTCAGCCTCCGGCTGGTCCACGTCCATGGCGTCTTTAGCCACGTCTTCCGCGTCCGCAGGTTTGTCGTCGGTGGGGGCGTCAGGGATGTCAAACAAGTCGGACGAGTCTTCTTTTTTATCCTCGTCGATGAAGTCGAACCCGTTGGCGTTATCGAACTCCATTTTGCCCACGTCGAACTGGGGCTCGCCCTCGTCGGCAAGCAACGCCGGGTTGTCGCCCGTGTCCAATTCGTCAAGCTCAAAGTTCTCGTCGAGGCCAAGCCCCTGGTTCTCCGATTGGCCAGACATCGGTGGTGGCTAGTCAATTGGTATCGAGGCAATTGAAAGGTCAACGGCAACCAAACGTGAGTGGTAAATTTGTTTTTCTGGGTGGAAATTTTTGAGGAGGGCACGACGCCTACCGTCGGCACCGGCTTGTGCTCTGAAGGGGAGGGGCTAGCGTCGATGGTAATGGCTAGCTAAGTTCTAATTGTTACTGTGGTTATGGCTACGGCAACGCTGACAATTTAGGCACTCGTCTAAAAGGGCGCAACGTACTTTGAGTCGAGAAACACGCACAGCCCACGCCACATACGATATTAGGCACACGCGCCTGTCCCGAAAAATCTACGCGCCGTTTTTTCCCCTCCCACCCGACATGTCCGCCAGACGTGTGGGGGAGAGAGGGGGCTGTAGTTTTCGGGTTGGAATACGGGACACCGGAATAACTACGTCGTGAAATCCGTGGTGCAAACACGAGACATTTCTCCGCCCCACGGGAGGCCTGATCAGGCTGTTGACAACTTGGTAAAACCGAGGACGGTCATTCCACAAAGGGCCTGGGTGGCTGGCCTATGGCAGTGCTCGCTCGGGTTGCTCGAGGACACATAGAACGCTGCACGCCAATCCGGGGGCCCTGTTGGCTTACTAAAGTAAGGTGGTGGTAGTAGACAGTGGTGGACTCTGTGATAACCATAGTGACCTCTATAGTGAACATTAAGGGCCAGGGATATCGAGGGTAGTGTCTACGATGACAATGGCTAAGGGTTTTATGGATGGGGAGTTAATCGGCCAAGAAGACCACTTGTGTGACTAAAGTATACTCCACCATGACAACCATTCTCTAATTATCCCCAGATAAGCGGTGGCTGTTAGTTATCATACGGGGCTTTGGTTAGTGTTCTTTGGTAGCAAGTATTTCTCTAGGTCACGTGTCCTTAGGGTTACCAACCCGCACCGCGCTGCGAGTGGTGGGCTCTGCGCAGGGCGGTGGGCGTGCGACCCCATCAAAATTTTTCACGAGAGTCGCCTTTCACTACAGTCAACATGGTTCGTTACGGTGCCTCCCCTGCTAACCCTGCCAAGTCCGTCAAGGCCAGAGGTGCTTACCTCAGAGTGTCGTTCAAGAACACCCGGGAAACCGCCCAAGCCATCCAAGGCATGAACGTCGACAAGGCGCTCCGTTACTTCGAAAGAGTGTTGTCGCACGACGACGTGATCCCCTTCCGGAGATTCAACTCGTCGATCGGCAGAACCGGCCAAGCCAAGAAGTACGGCACCCCTTTCGGTAGATGGCCCGAAAAGTCGGTGAGATTCGTCAGAGACCTTTTGATCAACGCCAAGTCGAACGCCGAAGCCAAGGGTTTGGACACCACCAAGTTGAAGGTGACCAACATCCAAGTCAACCAGGCCCCCAAGATGAGAAGACGTACTTACAGAGCTCACGGTAGAATCAACGCCTACCAATCGTCGCCCTCGCACATCGAATTGATCGTCACCGAAGAAGATGAAGTCGTCGAAAAGCCCAAGGAAGACAAGAAGCTCAGATTGAACTCGAGACAAAAGGGGAGATTGGTCCACAAGAGATTGACCGCTGCCTAAACGGGTGTATAGGTGAGTAATAATAATGTAAATTACGGATAGAGACAGCTATTGTAATTGCCTTCCACATCATCTGATACCTGGACGTCGGTCTTTGATAATTGTATATAATCTCCATCTTGAAATATATCAGCATAGCCACCGGAACCACATCGTTTTGTATTTGTTTGTTCTATTATAGTCAACAGACTAGAGTTTGAGGAGTTGTCTCAAGTCTACAAGCGATAATTGCGTTAAATAATTAAACAATTGACTGAGAAATTAATTTGACCATACGCGTATTCATTGGCAAGATTAAGTGATGGTATTAACGTTTTTAGCTCTGTTCAACTTGTAACTGCTTATGTTGCTACACGAGTGTTTTTTTTTTTAAGGCAATGAGATATCTTGAAATTTACCAGTTTTCAGTACAAAACATTGCAACCATGTTAGTACCATAATACAATCCGACCAATACCATACTATGTCGTCTTTTCGTTGTCTAATTCTTTAAGTTTACAACTCGTTGTGCGCTACCATCGGCCTGCACAGATTTCAACCAATGAATACCCGCAAATTACTCTCACAAATTACGCAACGAAAAATTGAGAAACCAATTCCAACTACTTACAAATTAAAAAATGGGTGGTTCTGGTCCTAAGACTTACATGGGATGGTGGGGCAACATGGGCTCCCTTCCCCAAAAGCACATCACCACCTACACGGTGTCGCCGTTCGCCACCAAGCCGTTGAAGGGCGCCGCCAACCGGGCGGTGTTCAACACCTTCAGAAGAACCAAGAACCAGGTGTTGTACGTCCTTATCCCCGCCGTCATCGTGTGGAACATCTGGGCCAAGGCCAGAGACTACAACGAATACTTGTACACCAAGGCGGGTAAGGAAGAATTGGACAGAGTTAACGTTTAAGTAGCATTCAATACATCATAACTTATTGAGAAACCGCAAACAAAAAAACTGGAGAGAAGACTATAAAGGCATTGATCAGATTGTAGGCACTATCAGATTGTAATTTCCAATTACTTATCTTTAGCTTTAGCTCGTATATAGATGTTATGTGCGATCTTTTACTTCGATCTCTTGTAGACCTTGTTCAAGAACGCGGTCAACACTTCCTTCTTCAACCCTCTCGACTCGTCGACCTGGTCGATCTTTTGTCTCAATTTGACGACGATATCTTCTTCGTAGTTTTCGTAGATCTTGTCGATACCCATTTCTTGGAACAATTGCTTGCACTTAGCTTCCGAGGCGTCATCCTTTCTACCGTAGTTTTCGTCGAGAAGCTTACGTTGTTCTGGGGTCGCCTTAAGAAGGGCTTGGTTCACCACCCACGAGCACTTGTTATCCTTGATATCGGTGCCGATCTTGCCGATCTGCTCCGGGGTACCGAAACAGTCCAAGTAGTCGTCTTGGATCTGGAAGTATTCACCGAGGGGGATCAAAATGTCACGCACTTGCTTCAAGTCCTCGTCGGAGTTGATGCCGCTCATGTACATCGCCAACGCCACGGGCAAGTAGAACGAGTAGTAAGCCGTCTTAAAGATGACAATAAACGAGTGCTTTTGCAACGAGAACTTGCTCAAGTCAACAACTTCTTCATCAGCAGTGACAAGGTCCAATAATTGACCCAATTCCGTCTGGAACGTCACCTCGTGGAACAAGTCTAACAAGTCGACGTAGTACGAGTCCTGGCGGAAGTGCTTCTTGAGCAACACGTAAATGGCGCCTTCCAACATGAACGAGTCGTTGATGGCAATGTTGCCCACCCCTTCCTTAAGGTACCAGCACGGCTGGCCCCGTCTCGTCTTCAGCTGGTCCATCATGTCGTCAGCGACCAAAAAGTACGCCTGCAACAACTCGATGCACCACCCTAAGAGGGCGACCTTCTTGTACTTGGCGTCGTCCAACTCGGTGGCGGTGGTGCCGTTTAAGATGCAGTAAGTGTCGATGACCGATAAACCACGGTTGAGCTTACCGCCGGGGGTGTTGTAGTTGAGCGACGCCTCAAACCAGTCGACGGCCTCCTGGGGCATGTTGTAGCCGACGAGGATATCCTTGAGCTCCTCGACCAACTGGGAGAAGGTGTTCAAGAAGCGTTCACGTGCAGCCTGTTTGTCCATTACAACGATTCGTAGTGTAGAGAGCGGATCTGAAATTTTCGTTCTTTCGAGCTGTACGATCGTATACACGCCCGTCGCGCGACGTGGGGCGAACATTGGGTAGAGAGAGGAGGTAGCCATGAATTGGAAACATACAATAATTGATAAATTACAATTACAGTATTCTTGTGTCTGAACTGGTCTACTACGTTTGAATTATTATTGTTCCTTAAAGAATTAAAGAAATTGGCGAGAGTCGAAAGGGAATATGGTCACAGTCTCAATAATTGGAAAATTGTTCATAAATTGAAAATTATACCAACAGTACTTGAATCCAACACAGAATAGATGTATGATGCTTTCAAATTGAACATAATTTACCATTTTCTCCAAACCTTTCTTCCGTTTATTCTTAGTATACAATGCTAATGTCTTCTTCTCGACTTCCCCGGTCTCTTCTGCTTCTTGTGGTTCGAGAAGCCCGACACGTCCATCGACAGCTGGGCATCGTTCTTCCGCAAGAATCTCTTCTTGCCGCCAAAGCCGAACTTGGCGTCCTTAGCCTTCCGCTTGCCGTTGACCTTAGCCCGCTTGTTGGGGCCTTCATAAGTCTTACCGGCCACGGCATCTTCGAGGGCAATGTCAAATTCGTCGTCACCAAGCATCTCGTTGGTACCGCGCTTACGCTTCTTCAATTGATCGATCTTGCCGAGGGCCTCCTTCTTCTGCTTCGCCCGTTCTTGCAACGTCGCGTGCTGCACTTGTTTACCGAACTTCTTCAAGTGTCTCTGCTTCTTCGCTTCCTCCGACGCCTTCTTGTTGGCGGCCTCGGTCAACAACTTCTGCTTGAGCTTCTCCATGTGTTCGTCCAGCTTCACCATCTCGGCAAAGTAGTCCAACGGCCGCGAGAAGGGGACGTTGAGTTTGAGGAGCGTCGCCCGAGCCTGCTTCACAGCATCCAAACCCTGCTTGTAAAATGCCAATTCACGCTCGGTGTCGTCGTAGATGTCTTTAATACCGGCCTCAACCTTGTCGGGCGACACCACCAGCTGGTGCTCGACAAACGAGTGCTTGGCCCATGGGAGCTCGATACGGGCAAGCAGCTCGCGGAGAGCAGCGGTGTTGTTGACGGTAAGCTTCTGGTGGGGCACGATATCGGCGTCGTCGTCGAATTCAACGTCGGAAAGCGGGATATCTTGTTCTTCAGCCTCGGGGTCTTCTTCCTCTTCTTCTTCTTCGTCATCTTCTTTGTCTTCGTCGTCATCGTCGTCATCATCTTCGTCTTCGTCGTCATCGTCATCGTCGGATTGAGCCAACTTCTCAAGATCTAGCTTAGCTTCTTCTTCATCATCCTCTTCTTCTTCATCATCTTCAGCTTCAGAATCCTGGTTCTCTTCGGCCTTGGCTTGTTCTTCTTGCTGCTTCTTCAACTCCTTTTTGAGTCTTCTCTTTTCCTTCTTGGAGAGAGGCGCCAGGTCGATATCAACCACTTCTTCTTGTTCTTCCACTTCGGGAGCGGGTTCCTCGACGGCGACTTCAGGCTCGGGCGAGACTGACTTGGCCTTTTTCGAGGCCTTCTTCGTCGGCTGGGCCGCCTTTTCCATCGCCTTGTGGTTTTCCAATGCCTTCTTTAACCCCTTCTTAGCCATGGTTTCGCTCGGTACCGCTTTCGCCTCAGGAAATTCGCGATGAGATGGGGGGGCTACAGGTGCATGCAGGTCGATGGTGCTAGAGTGAGAGAGCCTACCATCAACAATCCTACACTAAAAGACTTGGTAAACTCATTTAATGATTTTACTAATTTAACCTTCTTTAAAGGCTTTAAAAGATTGCATGTCTTGTTTCAGGACCTTATATGTGGGTGGCAACCGAAACGAGTCCCACCTCACCAAACTTGAAACAACCACACGCGATATGCTATATCAACAAATAAATTGCTCAGTATAATCCCGTCTTGCTAAGACTACTCTCCATAATTGATGGCGTCGATAAAGTGTGTGGTTGTCGGCGATGGCGGGGTGGGGAAAACCAGTCTTTTGATCTCCTACACCACGTCAAGGTTCCCCCTCCAGTATACACCTACAGTGTTTGACAGTTATGCCGTGTCAATATTGGTGGCTGACGTCCCCTATACCCTCTGTTTATTCGATACTGCCGGCCAGGAAGACTTTGACCGGCTCCGCCCGTTGTCGTACCCGGCTACTGATGTGTTTGTGGTATGCTTTTCCGTCGTCCGCCCCACATCGCTCGAGAATATTAAGGTGAAATGGCTACCTGAGCTTAGCCACTACTCGCCGGGAGTCCCCTGTATTCTCGTGGGTACCCAAATCGATTTGAGGGACGATATCAAGACGCTTGCTCAATTAGCTAAGGAAGACGAACGGCCAGTCTCTAAAGAGGCGGGACGAAAATTTGCTCTCCGCTCAGGAATGCAAGAATACTTTGAATGCTCTGCTCTTCAACAGCGAGGGTTGAAGGAGATCTTTGATGAAGCAATCACTATTGCCCTCCAGCCCAAACTCACTGCCACTGCCAAACGATGCATCGTGTTATAAGACAGAAAAATCAACGGTTATACTCATAGTTCCACTGGTTCTTGAACGACTTCCCCGCCCCGTAGCGCCACCAACGAGGTAAACACAGGTGGAACTTGGTGTCGATCAGCTCGGTGATCCGCTTACCCTGGACATAGGCCTTGCACACGCACCGCTTTTGCATTCTGATCGTTTCCAGAAGGGGACACGACATGTAAGGGATGTGGAAGTAGCCAATGTCCTCAAAATGGTGTACCCGGTTTTTGTCCATGAGCAAGTTGACGGCAATCAGGTGGACGGGAGCGTCGCCCCAGCGTTCATAATAAAAGTTACCGGTGGCATCCAAGTAATCGAAATAGGTATTATAGGCATCACTTCTGAAGAAGTCCAAGTCGCCAATTTCGAAATTGGACCAGAAATGGCACAAGTTATAGCGCGAGCTGACTTCCGGTGGAGTGAACCCTTGCTTCATTTCGGGCTCGTGCGACGTGATATACTCCAATGAGTTATTCGGGTGAATAAGTTCTGGATGGGCCTCCATAAACTTCTCCACCGTCGGCCACAATGACGGGATGGTATTCTCAAACTCGTGGATGGCAATGACAAAGCCATACTGTTTATTCTGTTCCCTCATCACGCGGAAAGGATCGTACTGGAAATCACACATATACTCGACATCAGGCTCCACTCGGAAATAATACTTATAATTTTGGAGCCGCAGCTGCTTATAGAAGAACCCCAGATTGAAACGGCACATGTTGCGGTACAGTTTTGACCACCCATACAACACTCCCTGGGCCATCAGTTGGTTGATGGCCTGTTCATATTTGTGGGTATCGATCCACTTAGGAGTGTTCCAATCGTCTCGAGGGATATTCTCGTAAAATGCCTCGCCGCTGACCATAAGCAGGGTGCGTTCCTTGAACTCTTCAGTGAAGGGGACATCGTTAAGAAATACCCACGGATAGTGGTACTGGCGATTGAAGCGGTCCTCAAGACTGCGGATGGACTCCAAAGCACCTTCGAGCTCCTCATTACGAACTAGCATCACCATGGTGGCATTTTCCCGCCCAATGGGGTCGAGCTGGCGTTTAGGGAACTTGATATCGACGTAAGCATTGGTGGCGGGTTTCGGCAGCCCCCGCGCCATGCCATTATATTTAGGGGGACCATCGGGGTAGTGGTGCAGCACGTAGTAGATGAGGAGAGCCACGAGGCCCAAAAAGCCGTACATCCGTTATTGTGGGGGGGGACAGATCTTATCCCGCTGTGCCGCCGCACCAAATCTACCAGTGCGAAATGTTAGCGAAATTTACACTACTCTCAAATGAGGCCAGTTCCCGAAAGGTAACAATAATCAGTCACAAAAACGCAAACCCCTAACAAATTTACGATCAAAGTGAAAATTGAAAATTGAAGAAATTAAAGAAATTGAAAATTAAATTATGACGTAGTACTCCCCAACTTTTCTTTTATCGTATACCGAATTGCCACCGGTGTACCGGGGTCACGCGATGTACCGCTGCTAATGTTACTCCTCAGAATTCACTGTCATATTATAGAATGGCAACAGTGGTGGTGTTTTTCCTGCACACAATCCGCCCAATGACAAACCAGGGAATGGTGCTCACGCGGTAGCACCAAGAACCCACTGCGAAAAAGTCTTTCCCTTAGGACGACGATCACAGTTATGCTTCGCCGTGTGAACACCCCTTCCCTCAGACGCGGGTTGGCCACCACCGCCGACCCTGCGGTGAACCCCAACCGGGCGTTTGGCGGGCTCAAGGACCAGGACCGTATCTTCCAGAACGTCTACGGCACCTACGGTCACGACCTCAAGCTGGCCCAGAAGATGGGCGACTGGTACAAGACGAAGGAAATCATTTTGAAAGGCGACAAGTGGATCATTGACGAGATGAAGAAGTCGGGTTTGCGTGGGCGTGGTGGTGCCGGTTTCCCTTCGGGTCTTAAGTGGTCGTTCATGAACCCCCCTGGGTGGGAAAAGAACGTCGGCCCTCGTTATTTGGTGGTCAACGCCGATGAAGGTGAACCCGGTACGTGTAAGGACAGAGAGATCATCCGTAAGGACCCGCACAAGTTGGTGGAAGGGTGTCTTTTAGCCGGTCGCGCCATGAACGCCACCGCCGCCTATATCTACCTTAGAGGTGAATTCTACAACGAAGGGGTCATCTTGCAAAACGCCATTAACGAAGCTTACAAGGCGGGTCTCATTGGTAAGAACGCCTGCGGCTCGGGCTACGACTTTGACGTGTTTATCCACCGGGGGATGGGTGCCTACGTGTGTGGTGAAGAAACGGCGCTTATCGAATCGATTGAAGGTAAGGCGGGTAAGCCGAGAATGAAGCCTCCTTTCCCTGCTGGTGTCGGTCTCTTTGGTAGACCTTCGACCGTCGCCAACGTCGAAACGGTGTCGGTGGCCCCCACCATCTTGAGACGTGGTGGGGACTGGTTCGCCTCGTTTGGCCGGGAAAGAAACTCCGGGACCAAGTTGTTCTGCATCTCGGGCCACGTCAACGAGCCCTGTACCGTGGAAGAAGAGATGTCGATCCCGCTTAAGGAGTTGTTGGAAAAGCACTGTGGTGGTGTCAAGGGGGGCTGGGATAACTTGTTAGGTGTGGTCCCTGGTGGTTCGTCGGTGCCCATCATGCCTAAGGATGTCTGTGAAAACGTGTTGATGGACTACGACGCCTTGAGAGACGTCGGGTCTGGTTTGGGGACCGCCGCCGTCATCGTGATGAACAAGCAGACCGACGTCATCAGAGCCATCCAACGGTTCTCGCAATTCTACAAGCACGAGTCGTGCGGCCAGTGCACCCCGTGCAGAGAGGGGACGACGTGGTTGGCGAAGATGATGGACCGGTTCTTGGCCGGGCAAGCGACGGAAAAGGAAATCGACCAAGTGTTCGAGCTCACCAAGGAAGTCGAAGGCCACACCATCTGCGCCCTCGGTGACGCCGCCGCCTGGCCCATCCAGGGGTTGATCAAGTCGTTCCGCCCGGTGATGGTCGACAGAATCAACCAGTTCCAACTGACTCACGACATCGACCGCTACGGCGGGTGGGTGAAGGGCGGTAAGGTGTTGGAAGGTGAGGTTGTCGACAACCCCGTGCCCCACGCCCACTAATGATGTCAATTGCATGAACTTACAAATCTATATATAATTATAACGCTACGTTATCGGGAAGCCCTCATTGTAGAAAATGCCGAATTTTCAAGCCGCAAAATTTTTGAAATCATTGCTGACGTCATCATATTTACGCCCGTGCAGCAACGATGTTTTTCATTTTTCTTATTTTGATAGCTCTTATCGGAGCCAGATAGGTAATGGGCTCACGCCCTAATAGTTAACACGTCGACTTTGTACCCCTCCTTAGCGCGGCACTCGTATGCAGGCGTGGCATCGCCCCCTCTCTCCCCTCCGAGCGCCGTTAGCTGTGCGCGTAAACTCCTTCGGAGCACAGACTACCCGGAAAGATCATTCTTTCTCTATAACGCCCAGGCAGGACGATGAAATTACTGACAGTGTTGCTAGGGGCAGCGGGTGCCGCAGGCGCCTGGGGCGCGGTGCTTGCCGACGGCAAAACGCCCACGGCGCCCGCGGGCGGCGTCGTGATCCAGGGCGCCATCAGCGGTAATGGCGCCGCCAACGCTCCGGTTAACGTGGGCGCTGGTGCCGTGGACTATGCCACTTCCGGACTGCTGGCGGAGATCGCGCTGGATCTGGACCTGGACCGCGAGGACCTGCCCTACAACGCGTTCATCATGCTGGCGGCGATGATCCTCGTGCTGGAGATCGGCGACAAGACGTTCTTGATTGCGGCGCTCATGGCGATGCGCAACCTGCGCCTCGTGGTGTTTGCCGCTGCCTGGCTGTCGCTCGTGGTGATGACGGTGCTCTCCGGTGTCGTGGGCCACGCGCTTCCTGCGCTCATTCTGCCCCGAGTCACCCAGTTCATGGCGCTGGGTCTCTTTGTCGTGTTTGGCGTCAAACTCCTTAACGAAGGGTTGGCGATGCCCGCCGATATGGGTGTCGACGAAGAGATGGCCGAGGTCGAAGAAGAGATCGCGGCGCAAAAGCTCGAGGCGCAAGACCTCGAAAACGGCGACGGCGCCGCTGTTGGCCATGCCAATGGTAGTGCTGAAGATACCTGGTACCACCAGCTCTTACAGAACACGGAGAACCTCGCGCTGTTCGTCTTACTGCCGGTTTTCATCCAGGTGTTTGTGATGACATTCTTAGGCGAGTGGGGGGACCGGCTGCAGATCGCCACCATCGCCATGGCGGCGGGGCTGGAGTACTGGATGGTGATCTTGGGTGGCGTCGTCGGCCACGGCGTGTGCACCGCCGCCGCGTGCATTGGCGGCAAGCTTTTGGCGAAGCGGATCTCGATGCGCAACGTCACCCTCGGCGGCGCCGTCGCCTTCTTCGTGTTTGCCATCCTCTACTTCTACGAAGCGTGGCACCACGAAGAGTAGGCAAATTATAGCGGACTTTACGCCACCCTCTCCCAAAGGGACGCGCGCGCCCGATTATAGACAACAACACGCGATGACGAACGACAACCATGAATCACGAACCCCACGTAGATAGATAAATGGCGGCCTTCATCCCCTCACCATATGTTAGCTTTAATGACACACAAGACAAGCCATATTTACTAATCGATCAATGGGAAATAGGTTTGTGATTGACGTACACACGACTGTGAGCAGGGCTCTCGTACCCGACCCTGTACGCCGCCACCTGCCCTCTCCCCTCTCCGGATCCATGAGGCTCCCCTGGGAACTCGTCACGGCGGTGTTTGCCGAGGCCGACACTGCCACCAAGTGCCGCTTGGCTCAGGCCCTTCCGCCGTTGCGCTCGGTACCCCTTGACTACCACTACATTTGCGGCGGCGATAACGCCCCGGTGCTAAACTTGTTCCACCACGTCCACTGCCACGTCAGCATTGCCGGCTACGACCAGCTCTACCTCCGAGACCTCGACCACGACCACGTCGAGCTGCTCGCGGTGGAAGTGGGCAACCAGCCGCGGCGGTACTACTTTGATGACGTCGCCTTTAAGGTGGTGGAGTTCACGATGGTGGCGTCGCCGCCACCGCCCCAGCTCCACGAAATCGTCCCTTATTCACAGTTTAGTAGTCTACACACGCTACGGGTGCTCAATGGCTACCCCTGGACGTGTAACCGCCGCTGTCGGGTGATTGTCGATTTGGGAAGCCATGGCGCATTAACGACGTTAGAGTTGGCCCAGGTGGACATCGCCCTCCGCACGCTACCGCCAACACTTACCGAGCTTACCGTAAGGTTCTCGACGCTTGTGGAGCCGCCGACCGCTGTACCACCCACGACCCTCGAACTGCTATCGGTGGTCCACTGTCCCGATGGCCACGAACGCGGACGGTGGTACGCTCAAAGCATCGATGCCAGTCGCCATACGCTTAAGAGTATCAAGTACTCGCAGCCGGTATCGCCCGAACTCGGCCTAGTGTTGGCTAAAGGCGAATTCCCCCACCTTACCTCGGTGGATATCCCTGATTGTCCTGACCAATTACTCTGGCAACCGATCCCGTCGGTAACGCGGCTTACCCTCAACTGTAACCACGGCCAGGTGTACTACTACCTCACCCGGTTGGAATTGACGAAGTTTTGGTGGAATCTGGAGGTGCCTGAGTGTCCCCATCTCGTCGAGTTTAAGGCGGCGAAAGTGTTTATTGACGACGATGTCGCAATGCTACCCCTCCCCAAGGTGACTGTGTTTGATATGCTGTGGATGATGGCCGGTAGTGCCCCGTTTCTGTGGGATTTAGTCCATCTTCCGCGCCATCTCCGGCGGCTACGGCTCCGCTCCATGCGATTGAGGCAGTTTCCTATGGACAAATTCGACCACATCGGTTCGATTGACATGTCGGACAACTTGCTCGAGGAGATTGGCGATATTGACGCCTCAGAGATCAATATCGAGCGCAATCCGCTTAGTCGGCTAACCCTTTCTACAGCGCAAAAAGTGGTGGTGGACAACGTCACGACAGCAACATTCTCCCCACAATTAACGTCATTGCTGATTGACGTCACCAAGCTTTCGTCGTGGCAGTCGCTTGCGGGAGTCACGAATCTTCACCACCTCCATTTGCGGTGTGGCAGTGCTAAATGGTCAACTATCGACGTCAAACTGTTCTCGCGACCGTCACAGGCGAGTCTGCCATCACGGCTTGCCGCTACACTACCTCAAACTCTTGAACTGCTCCATATTGAAGCTGAAGCCGTTGATGATCGCCAGCTCCAATTTGAACCTGGGTGCCAATTGAGCGAATTGCGGATGCAATGCGACGAGTTTGGCCGGTTCCCGCTCCCACCCCACGTCCAAAAGCTTCACGTCGAGTGTGGTGTGTTTCGTCTTCGTCCTGATTACCCTAGGGGACTCACTCAGCTCTCTATCTCGACATGGTTCGACCGTGCTGGACCCAGAATTATCGGCGATAACCCCCAAATCTTCTTTGCCCAGTTTCACCAGCTACAAAGCCTCATTCTCAGAGGGTGCAATATCGAAATGGCCGACTCGCCGTTGGTATTACCGGCTACTCTCCACCAACTACGCATCGAGGCATTCCAGGTACAAGCGGTGCGGCTCCAGTTTGACCCACCAGGACCGACGGAACTACAGTCACTCACCATCCGCAACTGCTACATCGAAGTGCCGGTGCGTAAGTGCAGCTTAAACTTTGCTGATTTGGGCCACAACCAGCGGAGCCAACACGCTAAGTTGACTCACTTCGATACCGACGAGATCCCCGAGGGAGAGTTTCCCGAGCTGTTGGTAGCCGTCCACAGCGGCTATGGTCGCCACGCCGATTACTTGAACCCTCGATACATCGGTCGGGGATAGTATACTCTGTGTTCATCAGTGCAGCAAACATCATTGCTACAACTAATACCGCGCTACCATCTAGGCACGCGCGCGGTTTTTTTTCGTCGCACCCGAACCCGTGTCCCACACACCCAGCACCCTCCACCCCGCCATGAACTTCAACCAGGGCAACATGATGTCCCAGGGATCAATGGGGCAGCCTCCCTATGGAGGCGGCGGCCAGCCGCTGCAGCCGCCGCCGCAGGGCATGCGCCAATTTCCCACCACGGCGCTCGCCCAGATGACCCCGCAGCAATTACAACAACTCAAGAACCACCCACAATACCAGGAGATTATCCGCCAATACGCCCACCGCCAGATGATGTTACAGCAGCAACAGCAGCAGCATCAGCAACAGCCACCGCAGCAGCCGCCCCAGCCGATGCAGGCGCCCATGGGCCAGCCGACACCGGCCATGATGGCCCAACGACAACATTCGGGCGCCATGCCGCGCCAGCCGGGGCCGATGGCAGCTGCTCAGCTTGCAGCGCGTCAGGGGATGGGGGTAGCTCCCGGAGGAGTGCCGCAACCGCACCCAGCAGCGGTGGGGGCAGGGCAATTGCCTCCCGGAGTGGCGCCGGGAGCGGCGCCGCCAGCGATGGCGTTAGCCGCTGGTGGTGGCGGGATTGACCCCACTACAGGTCGCCGAGTGACGGCAGCAGTACCGGCAGTCCCTGGAGCAATTGCCGCAGCCGCAGCGGCGGCGGCAGTGACCCAACCCCCGCCACCGCCGCCGATCGAGGCTAATGCCATCCAAGTACCTCCGATAATCAACCCCGACCAGTACCTGCGACCGGTGCTTGCCAGCCTCAAATCGAACAAGATGGACGACGCCCATTACTGGCTGAAACAGTTGGAGAAGGAGGGCAAACCGGTGCCCTCGGACGTCAAGCTCTACGAAAACATTGTCGATGCCGACTCCAAATACCTCAAACAGTACAAGGAACAGCTCCGGGGGCTGAAGCAGTTGCTTGCCGATTTGCAGCGCGACCTGGTGTCGTACAACGAAATCAAGCAGTTGCGAGTGAACGCCATCACCCTCCTGTCGAAGCACACCTTCAACAACTCGATCTGGGGCGAAGGGTACCAAGGGTACGGCAACGGCATCACCAATGCCCCGACCAAGTTGGTGTTACCGGGCAAGGACATTACCGACCGCCAAATCAACGAGCGGGTACTTAAGCAACGCCAGCTGGGGGAAAAGCCCCACTTTGTGCCCATTCGCCTCGAATTCGACTTTGAACGCGATAAGTTTAAGCTTAGGGACACGTTCCTTTGGGACTTGAACGAGGAAGTGATTACGGTGGAGCTGTTTGTCCACCAGTTGATCGACGACTACAAGTTTGTCCTGGCGGAAAACTACAGCACCATTCTCGCCAGCGTCAAGGAGCAGATCGCCGAGTACACCAAGATACCCGAACGCACGCTGGGAGAGTTGCGGGTGCCGATTAAAGTAAACGTCGTCATCAACGACACTCAGCTCGTCGACAAGTTCGAGTGGGATATACTAAACTGCCACGACGGCGACGCCGAGGAGTTTGCCACTCAGTTGTGCGACGAAATGGGCCTCCCAGGAGAGTTTGCCACCGCCGTGTCCCACATCATCCGCGAACAAACGCAGATGTACCATAAGGCGTTGCTGTTCACCGGCTACTCGTTTGACGGTGCACCCATCCAGGAGGAGGAGACTCGCCTGCACTTATTACCGCAATTGAAGACCGGCGACGACTTCTACACCGTGTTGCGCAACTCGCAGGCGGTGATCGAGTACGGCCCCCTGGTGCAAAAGCTCTCGCAACAGGAGGTGGAGAAGCTTGATAAAGAGATCGAGCGTGATCTGCGGCGTAAACGTCGCCACAACCTCAACGAAGACCACTTGGCGCTGTTGGCAGGGGCACTGGGGGCCGCCAGCAACCGTGGCCCCCTGCTGCGACGCATGGCCTTCCACTCCGGCCGTGGGGGCCCGGCGCTCCCCGACCTCTCCGACGTGCCCAAGACCTTCCGCACCCCGGCGCCATCGTCGGTGTTGCCTGGTGCCGCCGACGTCGGCGTTCCTCGTGTCTACGACTACGCCGAAGTGTCGGCGTTCAAGACCCAAGTGCGCAACCCCGACTACCGACCACCATTGGCGGCCGATGCCGTGCGCTACCACTGGGACGCCAACCACGGCACGTTCATGGTGAAGCTTAAGTTCCGCCGGTTGAACTGAGCGGGGACAATTTACCCTTTCTTTAGCCGCGATTTCTGGGCGCTAATGTAGTATAGGACACCTCTTGACGGTATCCAGTAATAATAACGAATAATCATTGTACGCTGTATTTATTGCTCTTTTGTCTCATCTTATGCTTCTACCAGTTGCACATGTCAACTCAGTGCCGTTGATTAGCTTACGTCGGACATCGCCACACTATTCAAAGTGGCATGGAAACTATTTGGTTGTGTAGGCGCTCCCTGCATTCGCGCATTAAAAGAATTGGCTTAGGCATATGGTAAGTGTTGATAGCCTCGATTCTAAGTAGATAGCCTTCTTTGCTTGTTTGGTTGCCGGGCCGGCCATTATGGGTAAACAAGCATGTATGTGGGAAAGTCGTGCATGTGTCCAATCTTTACCACAGCAACTTCCACCACGAATTGGGGCTAGACTCTGCTGAGGCCATTGCCTTGCCCCCGCCACTCGGAGGCGGGCCCCTCGCGTCATCGCATCGTCTACCTGCGGAGTCTCCGCGAGGAAAAAAAATATCCTGTGTCCTGGGAAATGCTTTACTGGAATGTGTGTAAAACATGCGTCGTCAACTAAGTGGCCATCCACCCGGCGTGGCATGACCCTACTGTTCATGGGATAATACAGCCGCAGCTGTTTGGCTTGAACACCTACAATACTAGGTAGACCTTGTCTCCATTATTCATTGTCATTATCATCGTTCATATTCAATTACTTACGACTAACACTATAATACATCTCTCAACAATACACTGGTTTTTCAAAACATGACCCATTCATAGTCTACGTCGAGATCACGGAATCTGATTTCATTTCTGGGGGTGGCCTTGATTCTTTTCACTTCCTCTTCAATATTGCGGTGGTCAAATTCAACGTCGCCAGCACGAATCACCCTATAGTCCTTGAGCTCACAGTCTTCATCGTCATCGTGATCAGTGCCAGCGACGATAATGGCAAGAATCGTCTCAAGGGCCTCGTCCGTGATCTTGAAATGCCCGAAGCCCTCCAAGCCTTCGACTGGAATGTGTAAGTCGCCTTCCCAATGCATATTAACCACATGACGACTGACTGGAATCCTTTTTTTCTCCTTCAAAATCTTTTTGATCTTGGCCAAGTTCTTCTTGTTGTGGTCGAATTTCAATTTGGTTGATTCCCTCGTCTCCTCTTTGACCTGCGCCCTCAACTGGCGGCCACTCTCAATGAGCTGTTGCCAGGCTTGTTCGCGAAGGCTTTCTAAGGTGGGTTCGGTGTGAGGCATTTGTTAGGGGTGTACACTACGTGGAAAAAGCTATACTTATATCCTCGCGCCTGTTCCTTCGTATTGTCAGTTTACGACGACGTAGGCGCATGAGACCAAGAAATGTACAAACCCTATCGTGTAGCTCGCATTGTGGTGACTATGTGCAATCTGTGGTATAAAAAGACGAGGGATCCCAACGAAAGATCAATTTAAGAAATGGAACCATCCCGCCGCCCCATCAGATCCGAATTGCCTTCAGAAAGACGTTACGGGTCTAACCAACGTTCGCGGTCGAAATTAGAGAGACGCCGACCTGAGCGGTATGTGCCTATCAAGGGGTTGACTCATTGGGACTTTAAGGTTTCTGATCACAGAAGATCTCGGGTCTATGGGTATTTGTTGCGCATGCATGGAATTGAATACGATGACGATGGCAAATTTTACCTCAACTACGCTACCATTGAACACTTCTTGGAGCCCCACCTCAAAAATTATATAAGAAGAACTGAGTGGCACGATTAAGGTGCCGATCACAGTGTGTTGAGCAATTGTCGCAAAGTATATACGAGAATATAATTGTTTTATGAGTTTATCTGTAGACATGAAAAGTTATTTGAATGGCACGGCCGTCTTGCATAGGGAAATGGACAAGACCTTACAAAAGAATTTAAGAGACCACTTTGATCACATCAAATCCTGCCAATCGCATCTATCTACACTAATACCATCGTGAAATCACTGAACAAGTTTGTCTTTCATCAATTGGCATGGCTTACGTGTGATGTTAATAATCTTGCAGCACCGATGTTTTCTTGCGGGTTTGCACTCACCCTCAGTAGTTTAAGCTGGCAATACACCAGAGGGTGATCTGTTGGCAGCTGAGCTAATCACGCATTCTGATAGACTTGAGGTGCGCAAAATGACTAACATCTGCCTAGTAGATGAAGCAAGCACCGCCCCAGTGGCAGCCTAGTAATGCTTCGTTCATCAATCAAGGTCACATTGAGCGATGACGTAGACATTGCCGTACTATTTTTACAGCTCCAGTCACGACATTGGTCATTTACGATCGTACTTGACGACGCACTCGCCACCTATTGTCTCGTTCGAATACGCCATGCGCGTAAACGGTGTGTTCAAGGTTTAGCGCGAACACGGGGAGAAAAATTTAACTCAAGTCTAGTCGTAACCTCTGTTTTCGAGTGAAGGCGAGGTTTTATTCTGTGGCGCTTGTCAATGTGACGTGAAATTCGGTCCATCTAGCCCAACAGCGAAAGTGCTGATGGGCAATGGTATCACCTGGTATGCAGGATTCTTATCGTGGAATGTTGGCTTAGATTCAGTGCGCAGGGCGTTATCATGCACATTAACATCGTCTAAACGCGCTGATCGCTTTACCGTCAACCTACTCATTTCCTGAACAGTCTCAAGGCTTTCCGCAAGTATGGAGTAACAAAATCTAATTACCAGTATATTACACCTGTTTGTCATTTGTACAAGCCATTACCCTGTACCAGTGGCATTAGGGTGCAAGACTTACCTTAGAATCGTAACGTACCAGTGATGTTGAAGATCATTCCTGTATATAAGTACTTAATACGACGATCCCCTCTTCCTACACTATATATACTCTATACAGTTCCTACCAAATATACTCGTATAGAAATGGCTTTCTCCAACAGATACCCGATGCCTTACTCGAATGAGTCTCAGCGGGCTTTGACTTTATTGGGTAGCTCTCAAAAATCGTCATCCACGCCCTCATCGATGATGTCGATTGATTCCATCCCAGTGGAGGCAATTTTGGTAACCCGCCTGCCGACGTTATTGGTTACTGACAACTTCGTTCAAGGTTACATCGCCGTCGTGAATACCGAGCTCTTGTGCGTTACCTCGGATGATCTCAACCGCCTGGCCTCTGCTATGCGGGCCCGTGAACGCTTCAGAGCTAAGAGCGATTATATTGTTGTCTTACACAACATGCGACACAAAATGGCTACTCTTTTTAACATTCTCGTTGGTTTCAACACGAAGCTGATTCAGATGTTCTACGCCGCCACCAACGAACGCCCCGCGCAACGCGTTCTAATTGACAAGGACGCGTACGGCCACTTTCTCGCAACACTGGTCTTTATGTATGGCGACCCTCTCTTCTGCGTTGTTATTAGCGGGTCTCCTAATTTTGAGCCTCGGCAACATTTTGAAGGAATTCAGTACCGGCCTCAGGTTCAACGGTTGTGATGGCAAAGTTCACTGCAACAACATTTTTTTAAGATTAAGATTTGAAACGAATTTGAGAAATTAATGAGTTATTTTTACGTGCATTTTTTTTGGAGTTTATAAGAGGTTGTTAATATAAGAGAATTTCAAAAATTGGGCTCTTACAAAATTTAAATACGGAGGTCAAAGAAATCCTTCTTCCTAGCTGAAGCGACGGCAGAGCTGTTCATATCTATCTCATCTTAGTTGTATCTCACTAAATCAACCTCCTAAAAGGCCATCGCCAGCTTCCTGAAAACCATCATCAGACCTCATGCCCTCTCATCAATTCTACTCATGGCGGAGATAGTGTGGGAAAGCTTGGAAAGGATCAGCTAAAGCTGCAAGACAAGTTAAATCGTAGGAAGAATCATGTTGTCTTTATCCTTCAATTTAAAAATTGGTGAAATAGGTAAAGGATGTCTATGATGTGGCTTAGGTCTAGATTGAAGGTAGATAATAGGTAGCTGGTTGTACTAACATAGCCCAAGCAGTCTTAAGCATCAACTGGTACCCAGACGATGTCGACTGAACTTGGTAGCCGTTACTGGTATAGACCCTCAGTACCGTGCCATCCAAAGCCATTGAAAGAGTATTAGTCAAAATGAAGTAACACGATTCATCATTTTTGGTTCCACCGCTCAGCGGAGCGACGCTGGTGTTTTTCAGCATCCAAATGATCTGAAGTGTGGTTGGCGCTAAAGATAGTGAGGATTGCACGGAAACATCAATAGAATGGAGCACAGTATGAAGAATCTAGTTTTGAGTAAGTTTCAATGAAAGGAAAATCAATTCAAGCTTCTATATTTACTGGGAACCCTTGAGTTTATTACGGATTTGTTGCCTTCATATTTCCACCCCCAAACCAATGCTCATCAAAACACGACCACCCCACTCTCCCAATTCTACGCAGTCACATCAATTTTTATTATCTCTAACTACGATATCACCTCTAAAACAAATAACATCTGTTTCAGACCCATTCGTGTTCGATAACTTTTGGGTTCATTCCAGTGTTGATCAACCTCGCCCCTCACCCGACGGCGATCACGACGATGGCGACGCTTCCGGTGCTAGATCTCCACCATGAGCTCCGCACACCGTACCTGCTGCTGGCAGTGCATCGGGCCCGTCTCTTCCCTGGCCACCGTACCCTCCTCATCCTGCGCCACACCGTGGTGGTGCTTGTGGGTGCCCTCGTGCTGCGACGACTCCATTTCGAAGATAAGGTGATCACCGCCGTGTACACGCGTTTTCTGAACCAGAAACCGGCTCAAACGACGGCTAATGACGACCAATTAGCATTGGTGGTGTGTTTGGCCAAGGCGTGCCATATTTACTACCCCGACGGGCGCACTTACGTGGTCAGTCTCCCATTTACCCTACGCCACGCCGATGCGTTTGACCAAGGGCTTATCCTCGAGAAAGACCACGATCCCATCATCACGACCGACTCGGCACCCACTGCTGCTGCTCTTAGCTCGACGCAATCGCCGCAATTCAGTGGTGCTAAGTTTTTGACTTTAGTCGACCCCATCGGCGATTTCCGGGTATTGGCGACGTCGCTGACGTCAGTAATCGCTCCTAACGACCACCTAATCTGTTTCCCGCAACTGACAAAGCTGTCGCTGCTCTGTGTCACCCACAACCTTAGCGATGGCACCCTCACTCTCTACCACATCCGGAGCCTGGCCCGCCCCAAACTGCGGCTAATCCTGGCGCCAATGGTGAAGAAAAGGAACACAAAGCACGCGCCGATGCTGACGCCAAACCTGAGCCGCATCCTCGACGACGACATCGACATGATGGCAGCTGGAGCACAGGCAGTGGCGCAGCTGCTGCTTTCGATGGACAAGAAGCGCACGCTGACGCTCTTGCTGGACGTGCTGCTGATGGCGAGAATGGTTACCACCTCCGAGTACGCTGACCGCAAGCTGACGCTGGTTTTACGCAAAGATATGATATTGACCAAAGTGGACCAGATCGGCACGGTGGCTCCTGGCAGTGGCCTTAAAGTGTGGACGCTTGTAGGCCACGATCAGGAAGCAGTGGTGGTGGTTGATCGAGCCAAGGCTAAAGCGACGGTTCACATGTACCGCTCCCCCGTATCCGCTGGCTCTGCTGCTACTCTCTATACCATAGATTGCATTGACTGCGTGGTGTTTAACGATGCCACGTCGCTGTACCTTGTGGTAGCCGTGGACGACCACCATCTCCAGCTAGTGAACCCTTTCCTCGATGTGAAACTGGCGCCTGTGACTACCCATCTGGCCATTGCTCGTCTTTCCGGGTCATGTGACGATACCGTGGCCTTCTGCACTCCCCGTCACCATCTCCACCAGCTTAGGTTTATTATGGTACCTACTGACGACATCCTCAAACGGTGCTTGAAGCTGTTTGAGTACTTAGCCGGGAGAAACATCAGTGAGACTGCCCTCATGCTCTGGCGCAGCGCCACGATGATGAGTGCCACCAACGACGAGTGGGAGGCGTTTGCCGTTACTGTACTAGCCTTAGTGTTCCCGTTTGATGCCGTCACTCCTGAAACCACTCCTACCATCGGTATCTGTTCTCTTTTATCTACTGCACGCGAATTACAGGAACAGCGGCCGATGAACTACCTGCTTGGCGACTTGGTCCCCTACATAACGATGGCCCTCCACTTAATCAGAGAAGACTGTCGCTTAGACGTATTAGCAAATGCCGCCGTGATCAAATTGGGAGCGCTTTTGGCTCAACTAACCAAGTGGATGGGGTGGCCAGAACCGTGGACAACTTACTACCACTATGGCGAGGTTGATCGCGAAGTAAGGTTCCTTTCCAGCGTACTTTTCGAAGCTCCACCCAACATCTTTGCCCTGTTGGCCCTGTGGTTCGAGCCCCTGCTGGCCGGGGGTTCCTCGGGGTTTGTCACCATATCCCAGCTTACTGAAGAGAGCGACGCCGTCAATAATGAGATTACACCACGGACAGCGTGGGTGGTGCGGCTCGTCGAACTTCTCGTGTGTGATTATGGTATAAACGCCATTATCGAGATGATGGCGGCAGCAGGAGTTACGGTGGGTGAACTCGATACTTTACCTCCCGGTATCGCCCTTATCGTCAAGGAGATCCTCCTGGTGTGTCAGGAAGACCCTGCCTTTGAGTGGACGAACCCTGCTCTTGAACTTATTGGCAGACCCGATATCATGGGGCTTTCGCTGCTAAACCCTCAGTCAAACCCCACCTATCATCGTCGCAGTGAACCGAAACTGGTGGGACAGATTCTCCAGGGCATCATGAGTGACGACGTGGCGCAAATCAGTCCATGGGACGGCCAAGCTGAGGCCGATAGAATGGGGATTACTAAGCTTATCTTTGACTATGACCGTCGCTACTACGAGATCACCCTGTTGCTTCACCAGACGAAACCACAAACGGCTCACTTGGAAGTGGAGCCAGCGGTGAGCGAGTACGATGTCGTAATACTCCAACGTGAACTTGCCCGTATCGTGGCGCTGAGAACGCTCACGATACCCATGGGACGAGCGGCGCTTTTCTTCTCTGGGAGAACTCCGCTTTTGACGGAGAAATTCCCCATTGCCAAATTCAACTTGAACTGTTTGGTGGCACCCACAATGACCAATATTGTGTTGGCGGACGACGCCGTACCTCCGGCGATCATGGAGTGGGGGAACTTCCACAACGGCGTCCTGGCTGGCTTATCTATTTCCACGGAAAGTAAAGGCATTAATGGGTCGTGGATCATCTTCAATAAGCCCCCCGATTTGAACGCTCAGCATGCTGGGTTTCTCCTTGGTTTAGGACTCAATGGCCACTTGCGACGCCTAGAAGAATGGCACATCTATAACTACTTGGGGCCGAAACACCCGTTGACTTCAGTGGGGCTCCTTTTGGGGATGGCGGCGTCGTTAAGAGGCACCATGGATAATAAGCTTACTAAGGTTTTAAGTGTGCATGCTTTAGCGTTATTACCTCGCGGAGCTAACGACTTAAACGTCCCCGTGGTGGTCCAGCTGGCAGGGCTTATTGGCATCGGTTTATTATACCTTGAGACTCAGCACCGGCGCATGAGTGAGATCCTCTTGGCTCAGATCATGGGCCACGTACTCCAGAATGGCCAGGATACTATCCACGAAGGGTACCGTCTCAGTGCCGGCATCGCTTTAGGCTTAGTCAATTTGGCTAAAGGCGATGATTTACGGGGTTTAAACGATACCCACGTCATCGACCGCTTGATGATGGTGGCGATTGCGATGAAGGATTTCCAGCTGGCCGACGAGTTGGATAAACTGTGTGCCGGCGCCATCATCGCGTTGGCATTCATCTACTTGAAGACGAATAACCGGGTGATTGCAGCCAAGCTCGAGGTGCCGCCGGTGGAGCAGCTCCTCGACTACGTGCGGCCCGACTTGCTCTTGCTCCGGTGCTTGGCTCGGCTGTTGATCATGTGGGACTACATCGGCAACTCCGTCGGGTGGGTGGAGGCGCAGATCCCGCTGACGCTTGAAGGGCGGTTTGAGCTAAACCTGGACCACATGGCCTATTTCAATATCATTGGCGGGACGTGTATGGCGATGGCGGTGCGCTACGCGCTGACCCACGACGCCGTGGCCCGGGATACGTTGATCCACTACTGGGAAGCCATGGCCCACTTGACGGCCACCACTCCTACCAACTTTGACCAGAGAATTGCCCACCAGGGGGCGTTAGCCACTCAGGTTCTTTTGGGGCTTTGTCTTGCCGTGGTGATGGCAGGCAGCGGGGACTTGGCCACCATGCGCCGCCTCCGCGCCATGTACCACTGTACCACTAGCCACATGCATTATGGGATTTATCTGGGCACTAACTTAGCGCTTGGCTTTCTTTTCCTTGGTGGGGGCCAGTATGCCATTGGCTCGCTGCCCCTCGCGATCGCGGCGCTTGTCACCTCGCTCTACCCGGTGTTTCTGCTGCTCCCCGACGAGGCCAGCATCTACCTTGAGGCGCTCCGCTACTTCTGGGCGCTTTCGATCGAGCCCCGGTGTCTCGTGGTGCGCGACGTCACCAGCCACAAACCCCTCAAAGTACCCGTCAAAATCACCACTGTGGACGGCGAGGTGCGCCGGGTGGTGCTGCCGTGCCTCTTCCCCGACTTCAGCCGTATCCACTCGCTCACGACGGAGCTGGCCGACTACTTCGGCGTCGAGGTCGACTTCTCGCTCCAGCTGGCCTACCTCGACCGGTTCAAGCAGACGAAGACGTTGTACGTGCTGAAGCGCCGCAACTACGCCTGTCTTGTCCCCACGATGGCCCAGCTTCTTCTGGTGGCCAATAAAGTGTTGGAAGTCGGCGACGTCACCGAGGCGCCCCAGTACCAGCTCGAGGTGCTCAAATCGGTGGATACCCTCGCCAAACAGGTGTTGGCGTTTGACGAGCTTGATAACGACGACGGGGGCCAGGACCAGGGGAGAAACCAGGGTCTTTCCATCGCTACTATCGTCGATGACCAGGTGGAGTGGACTCACCGGGCGGCCGCCCCTACCATCGACGACGTGTGGAACCTAAAAGTGATGTTTGCCTTTGCCCGGTACTATTTGAGCCACGGAGAACTACACTACGTGTCCCACCAGTTTATTCACCACTTACAACAGAAATTATGGGCGTTGACTAGTTAGTGACCCAATGGTACTGCACAGTATTTCTCTGGTTACGTTGCCTTGGTCATATCCTTATCGTTAGCGGGGCCTTAAAAAAAAAAAAAAAAAGGAGGGTCTGGCCCCGCGTAACCGCGCCAGCCGTCCGATGAGGACACCACCACCATAACTTCGATAATAACCACAATACCATCCGTATATCACATCACGTGATACCTTTTACAAGTCTTACACACAACATATAATTAGCATTACACAACAAACGTTGCTTTCACCGCTGGTACTCGTCTTTTCCATCCCGGGTTACCGTCCCCTGGCCACCACCCTCTGCGTTCGCCCGATCGGGAAAGGAATCGCCAGAGCGCTCGCACACGACGTACCCGGTGGAGCGCCTGCTCGGCGGGCGCGCGCCCCGGTGCGTCCCTGGAAAAAAGAATTAAATTCTCCACCACTACCAGAATTTCTCCTTCCCCAGCCTTAAACGAAGAAAACACCCCACAAGGCGAGTTGCGGTCCTGTTGTTGTTTTGAAATATAGAGCAGTATGCGCAACTGGAGATATCCTCGGGTGAAAAAGCTGTACTCGACGTACGGGAGCCAGCAGCGGATGGACATCGGCCACCCGCTCCTTCGGGCGCTGCGCCAGGCAGAGCAGGCCCACACCGCCGCCGTGCCCCGGCCCCGGGTGAGACGATTTCTGACGCTCAGATCGCTGATACCCCGCATCCCCCGCCCGCTGCGCCAGGTGTTTTACCGCATCCCGGGGCTGAAGGTGTTGCCGTATATCTTCATCCCCCTGCGATCGTTCCACCTGGCGAAAAACACCACCCGCAGCTTGAAGCAGCGCTTTTTCTCGCTGGAGGCGCGCCAGAAGCGCCAGCAGAAGCGCAAGTTCATCAAGTGGTGGACGTTGACGCTGTTGACGGTGGTGTTGGGGCTGGTCGCCGCCAAGATCTGCTACGAGCGCGGCGAGACCTTTGACGACGACGAGTTGTACGACAAGTACCGCATCAAGCCCAAGTCGTGGCACTTGTACATGTACCTGACGTTACCGTTAAAGGCGATCTCGCGTATCTGGGGCCAGGTCAACTCGATCAATTTGCCCGTGTGGGTGCGGCTGCCGCTGTACCGCCTCTACCTGATGATATTCGGCGTCAACTTGGACGAGATGAACGAGCCCGATCTAACTACTTACCCTAATTTGGGCGAGTTCTTTTACCGAGAGCTTAAGCCGGGAGTGCGCCCCGTGGCCGAAGACGACTTGGTGTCGCCCTCCGACGGCAAGGTGCTATCTTTTGGTGTAATTAACGACGGCGAAATCGAACAGGTGAAGGGGATGACGTACTCGGTCGACGCCCTCTTGGGGCTCAAGCGGACGCGGTTGGCGGCGCCGTCGCACGCGCTCGACTTCGGCGACGGCGACGACGAGACCATCCACTCGCGTCACCAGGAGTTTGCCGACAGCAACGGCATCTCCTACACCATGGACGACTTTGTTGGTGGCGACGACGAGTCGCAGCACCTGAACGAACTTGCGTACATGGACAACGGCGACGGTACCGCCGAGGTGCCCCTGAAGCAAAAGGAGATGGCGGTGGCGCGCAAGTTGGTCCCCGCCGACTTGAAGGCACTGGAAGACAAGCAGGTGTACTACTGCGTCATCTACCTTGCTCCTGGCGACTACCACCGCTACCACTCCCCCACCAACTGGGTGGCGACGTTGAGACGCCACTTCATCGGCGAGCTCTTCTCGGTGGCGCCGTTCTTCCAGAAAACTCTCCAGGGCTTGTTTGTGTTGAACGAGCGGGTGGCGCTTCTCGGCTACTGGAAGTACGGCTTCTTCTCCATGGTCCCCGTCGGCGCCACCAACGTCGGCTCCATCGTTGTCAACTTCGACAAGGACTTGAAGACCAACACCAAGTACGAGTCCGATCACTACCAGAAGATCGCCGACGAAACTAGCCCCCTCCTCTCGCTGGATACCGACCTGGAGGCGACGCTAGTGTCGAACCTGTCCCTGGCGTCGGCGAAGAAGAAGAAGTTGAAGAAGAACGCCGTGTACGAGGCCACTTATACCAACGCCTCGAAGTTGTTGGGCGGCGTCCCGTTGTCGAAGGGCCAAGAAGTCGGTGGGTTTAAGTTAGGCTCCACCGTGGTGTTGGTGTTTGAAGCGCCGGCGAATTACCGCTTCAACTTGCACGAGGGGCAAAAGGTCAAAATGGGCCAATCTTTGGGAAGCTTTGTACAGAGATCTTAGCATTTTAGAACGCATCAAAAAATACTACCATTAACCACTCGTATGGTGAATACACCCCATGAAAAGAAGCCATTTTACCCCCAGGTAGTCACACCTGATATTAGTTATATTTGGTCGACTTCATTTGTGAAACTTTCTATACCTATTCTATAGTTTTGTTTTTTTTTAATTGCTTTTTTCACTTTGTACCTGTTAAGCGAGTATTGTCTACTTAATCTCGAAATCTGGGGGATCCCTTCAGATTTCTCCGTCAGTCGCGCTTTTTTTTTTTTTTTCAAATCATCACGTGACACGCGATCGACGCGAATCTGGCCTCCCTCCTAACTGACAACGTTTGACAAGTGAATACCCCTTGCCTGCCCCCTTACCTTCTTTTAAAAAAACATGTCGTTTTTGCACCTGATCCGAGGGTTCGGCCGCAGCTCCAAGAACAAGAAGAAGGAAGAGCCCGGTCCGCTGGCGTCGCCACTATACCTGCACGGGAACGGGCTGGCGCTGGCGTTGAGGCGAAGCCAGCTGCCCACCAAATCACCACAAAAGCTGGCACGATACACGGCGCCGACGCTGCCGACGAAGCGAAGTAAACCCGCCCAGCAGCGGCTGCCCACCCGCCGCAGCCAGGTGCCGGCGTCGCCCCAGTCCCAGTTCGGCCAAGCTAGTGGTGCCGGCGCCAATGGCCAGCCGTTGCTGTCGCTGCAGTCCCAGGTGTCAAAGTCGCTGCAACAGACGTCGAGCAATAAGGACGAGCCGTTGCCGCTCTACCGGTGCGAGCCGTTTGTGAAAACTGCCCTTGTCAAGGGTTCATATAAGACCATCGTCCAGCTTCCGAAATACGTCGATATTGGCGAGTGGTTAGCCCTCAATATCTTCGAGATGAACGCTCATCTTAACCTGTTCTACGGCGTCGTTCTGGATTACTGCACCGTCGAGTCGTGCCCGACAATGCTGGCAGGCCCCCATACCAATTACCTTTGGGCCGACAATAACGGCCAGGCAATCCAGTTGCCGGCACCGCAATACATCGACTACGTGTTGACGTGGATAAGCAACAAAATCAACGACCAGCTGGTATTCCCTACCAAGCTGGGCGGGGCGTTCCCCCCTAACTTCACCAAGGACTGCAAAAACATAAGTCGGCAGATGTTCCGCGTGTTTGCCCACATATACTATGCACATTTTGATACCATCGTCCACTTGCTGGTAGAAGCTCACTGGAATTCGTTCTTTGCCCATTTCATCAGCTTCGTCAAGGAATACAATCTTATCGAGCGCAGCGAGTTGGAGCCATTATTACCGTTGATCGAGGACTTTGAAGCGCAAGGAAAAATAAATTAGGACATATATATATATACCAAATCTATAAATCCATCTTTTACGGGTTATGCTATGCAATATTTGATCAATCCTCAAACATGATCTGGATCTCCTCGATCCGGCGTTTCTTCTGTTCTTCTTCGGCTCCCACTGCTTCTCCCAAATGGTTCTTGAGCTCCTGGATCTTAAGCATCTTCTGCTCGATACTGTTCTCCATGACGAACCTGACGACTTTAACTGAGGTGTTTTGACCAATTCGGTGGATACGGTCGATCGCCTGGTTCTCGATGCTCGGCAGCCACCACGGGTCCATCATAAACGCCTTGTTGGCCGTGGTCAAGTTCAACCCCACCCCACCAGCTTTCAATGACAAGAGCAATACCGTCAACCGGTTGTTTGATCTCTCGTCAAACTTCTTCAAAAGCTTTTCCCGCTCAGCCATTTGCAATCGCCCATCATACTTGAAAACGTTAAAATCACCCTGGATCTTGAGCTCGGCTTCAATGATATCCAAGTAAGATGAGAACTGAGAGAACACAATGACCTTCTCTCCCGGCAGTTGTTCTTTGATCGCCCGCAAATGTTTACAAAGCGCAATAATCTTCGAACTTGATCTTTCAGGGTCATATAAGAATAACCGGTATGGATACTTTGAAAGACCTTGGCTATCGTCAAACTTTGATCCTTGGGTCATGAATCTCACTTCCTTCGCATCGGTATTGGAGTTAGCTCTCAATTTGAATAACCTGTACTTATTCACTGGTGCACGACAATTGGGACATTGATCAGGGGTGCTCTCAAAGTCTAAGTGCTCCAAAATGCAAGAGAGACAGAAAGTATGACCACAGGCAGTCACCACCAATTCATTTTGAGGAATAGGGGATGTGGTACAAATTGAGCACTCGCTGAACTCGGGATCAAACTTGCCGTATAACGAGTACATGATCTTGTTGGCTTCCGAAGCCAGCTCAAACCCTTGCTTTTGCTTTGATTCCAATGACGTTTGAAACTTAATGAATTCTTCATCCTTTTCAAGGGCAGCGTTGGTGGCATTCTGCTCCTCAAGATCGGAGATGGCGGCTTCCTTGACCAAATCAACATGACAACAAATTTGACGTAAGCGAAGAATATGTGTTAAGATTTGCGAGTACTGCTTCAAAAGATGACCTGACTTGACCCCTTCACGAAACTTCTGGGTGGCTTTGGCTCGGAACCAGTCGTAGTACAACTTTTCCTGATCGCTGAAGTTGACTGTTTCCACTTCAACCACTTTCGGTGGAAGTTCCACGAGAGGTTTACCATCTTTTTGTTTCATCAGCTTTGTACGGCGCAAGAAGATTGGCTCCAAAATCAGTTTAATCACCTGGAGTGTCTGAGTAATCTCTTTATTCTCAAAAGGCACGGTGATGAATGATTTCCATCTGGAAAAATCTTGCCAGGGATTCAAACGGAGGAACTTCACAAGCGAGTACAAATCATCAAGCCGGTTGATGATGGGAGTACCGGTGAGTACCCATTTGCGCTGAGCGGCGACTTCGTAGATCAGCTTAGCCGTTTTGGTCGACCGATTTCTGATATTGTGGCCTTCATCCAAAATGATGCGGAAGAACTCCACGCTGTAAATGCCTTCTTTGGGCAAGTTCCCCTGAGCATCACGACGACGGTGTAAACGAACATACTCGTTGACAATGGTCCCGTATGTTGTAAGCATGACCACAGGCACAGGACGATTGGAAGCCTTGACATTTTTGATTAATGATCGTGACAAATCAAGCTCAGTGTCGTCGCCGTAGTATACTTTGCAACAGAAGTTTGGGTTGTTGTTGGCTTTGTCAAACTCGTTTTTCCACTGAGATAACAATGACATTGGCACCACGATGAGGGTAGTATTAGCGGCGTAGGGGCGAGTGGTTTTGATATCGGGTGATGCATCGGCGGGGCACGACATCACCAATGAGAGGGCCGAGATCGTTTTCCCAAGCCCCATTTCGTCGGCAAGGATGCCACCTAAAGTGGTTGATTTGACGACGGGTTCCTCAATTGACATTTCACCCGAATGCATGTTACCAAAGAAGAATTCGCCGGTGTTGCCATCGCTCAAACCAGTAGGGTCTTCAGGCCACTTATAACGATGCCAAAGAGGGTCAATCGTCTTATCGCTATCTCGAATCGCCTGTTGTTTCATTTCTGACTGCTGATTCAGTAAGCTTTCGACTAGATCATACTCTTTCTCTCTGGTAAGCATCCAGGCAAGGCCATGGCACTGGTATGCTCTAAGCAGCAATTTGAAGTTTTCTGAAGGGGGAGTGGTGGTTTCAGGAAGCAGTGACAAAAGCTTAGATTCGTTATTATCGGAGTACATCTTTTTAAGATGATCTAAACTTAAGTCACCATCGAGTGGAGTCAGCGATTCTGCGGAGTCGACGTCAATTGCAGCATCTTCTTCAGGTTCCTCCTCGCCACTTAACGTTCGTAATGGTCGAACGTTTAACTTGGAAAACAACCGTGACAATGCTGTTTGACGGCGTCGGAGTTTGACTTCCTGAGACGTTTCCTGGCCAAAACCGAACATGGGTTTTTTCTGGGTGGTCGTTTGGGAAACCACTACCACGTCATCATCGTCGTCGGCGCCGGCTACCCCTTGGAATGCCTTATGAGTCAAATAGATATCCATCTTAATGAAGAACAGATCACCTGTCAGTAACCTCTTGGCCGTCTCAAAGAGTACATGCAGTTTGAACTCGATCATTTCGAAGTCCATCAACGGAGCAAATATTCTCGTCAAGTCTTCGGAGATACGCCCCACTTCTCGGTCGTGTTCCTCGGTGTACACTCTCACCACTGCCAGGTCCTGATTCTTTATGCGTTTATCGGTCTTAGGATTGAGTCTCTTCAACACCATGGGAGTCTGGTAAGGCAAGGGCTTCACCGTAGGCCGTGTAGCCGTTACCTCTACTTCCATTACTCCGATATATCTTCGCCACAGACGGCTCTTTTCCTGAGCCTGAAACCACTGAGAGTATTGTTGAGCTCGAGCAAACATATCGTCCAACTGGACCTTATTTTCCTCCACTGTAGGTGGCTGTTCTTGAGGAGCAAGTATCAGACCTTCAAAGGTGAGATCGTCGTCAGAATCATCATCAATCACTTCATGAGGAATGGGCGTCGTCGTCGCTGGCTCCACGGGCGTCACCAGCTCGATGGAGACGTCGTCATTAATGGGCATGAGCTCCGAGATCAGGATCTTTGCTCGCTTTTGCGGTGACTCGGTCTTGCCCTCCCGCGACGAGTTCCACTCTTTAACCGCCTCCTCAGCATACTTTGGATGGTGGCGGTACTTGTGGTATAGAGCAACGACCTCATCGGTGGACATGGGCGCCTGTGTCGTCACCTCTTCGGTGAACTGAGCAAGCAGCACCCCTCGCTGGTTTGGCGTGGGAGCGGCGGCATTTTCTGCAGACGGGAGGTCGACGTCCACAAAGAGCTTCTGCCTCCGCGTGTTGGCCAACAGACTGGCTATATCGGGGAAGAACCTCTTTTTGGCAACCATACCCCGGGCGAAGACCTGTACGCGTATGGTGCGCGTCGCTCTCTGATCGAGTATATGCATTATGAAAGGCTGAGGGTCACACATCTCTAAACATCACCTGTGACGACCCACACCCCAAAAGTATTAAGAATAAATATATATATATAAATCATTACAACATCACTTGAATTTCGAACTCGTCCTCCAACTCGGTGTCGCCGACGGTGTCGTTTAAGCTCAACGGCTCATCGTCAAAGATTAAGGTGGCCTTAGTGGTAGGATCGAGCTTCTTGGCTTTGAGGTATTCCTGAAGCAACTGGCGGATGGGCGTTTCGGCAGTGGCGTGGACGTCGATACGTTTGTTATCTGCGCCTTTGAGACCAAGGAGCATGCTCAGGTCAGCAGTAGCAGTAGCCGCGGGGGCGGTGTCGTCGTTTGCCTCGTCAAGTTCGACATTTAACACATCGTCTTTGCCGTTGACGTCATCGGGGTTGGTGTAGCCGAAGTCAGGGTAGAATGTTTCGTAGTCGTGTTCATGCAGTTTGGGGATCAATAGGAACACCACCTCGGTGTCGTCCTTGTCGCCCCCGGTGTGGGGGATGCGCAAATAGCTGGGAGACCACCCCAGATTAATCACCGTGAGCCCTTCCTTCCACACTAAGCAGGTGTCTTCCTCGTTGTATGCTGATGCCACTTGTGGGTCGGCGGCGTATCGTTTTTTGAACTGGGTAAGGGCGGCGCTAATTACTTTGGAGAACGACTTGAGCCCCCGGCAGATGACTGTGATCTTATCGTTGGTGCCCGCAATCACGGGGAGCTTGGAATGGATGACTAGCTGATAGCGTCGAGTCTCATATTCGTTGGTGACGGCGGGCGGCTTAGTGAGGGACGTGGTGAATGAGGTGGCAAATGACGTTAGTTCCACCCCAGGTTTACTCACAGTGGAGCTAGCAACCGACAGCTTCGAGCCAAGCAATTGTGACGAAAACAGCTCGGGAGGCACCGTCATGACCTCGAGATCATCCGCGTCGGTATCATTGGCAACATCATCACTTATAGGGTCTGTCTCCGTTAACGCTGCCTTTGGGGTCACCGTCGATGGCGACGAGCTGGTAAAAATCGATATGTCAGGTTGTTCATCGTGGATAGCGTCAATTTCTTTAAGATCACTTGGATCCTTAGAGAACAGAACGCTTGGAGACGCTGACGCCGACAAGTCGCTGGGACCGGAACCGAGCTTCTCCAGCTTGCGCTTGTCTCTCTTTTTCTTCTTGGTCTTCTTTGAGCCAGCAAGACTGAAGAAATCGTCGGTTATGCCATGCTTCGCCATGAGGAGAATTCCCTTGGGTCAGGGTTAGTTTAGTTTGTTTAGGGTCCAAAATGTGTGACCTGTATATAGTGCGTGCGCATTTGTAAAACCGCCGCCTCGATGAACAGAGAAAAAAAATTTTCAACTACCCTCTTTGATACCAGTGAAAAGTATGTTTTCCCCTGAAGAAACTTGAGGTGAAGATCGGTCAAAGAATCACACAGGCCATCGACTGCAGATGCTGTCGGCGATAGCGCTAATGCTTTCACTCGCAACAACTGACGTTTGTGGGGTGTGATACCTTTGGCCGGTATACTGCTCTTGAATCCACAATAATGAAAAAAGTGGACACTCATCAGCGGTCGTGTGATACTAACTGTCTAGATGACTAGAACTTCCGTTTTGGCTGACGCCTTGAATGCTATCAACAACGCCGAAAAGACCGGCAAGAGACAAGTGATGATCAGACCCTCGTCGAAGGTGATCATCAAGTTCTTGACGGTGATGCAAAAGCACGGTAAGTAACGCTTGTTTCAGAAAGATTCGTTTGTCCCTGACGCCCCCGAATTGATAACTGGATGGAATGATCGGATCTCAGTCCCGTTCTGTCTTTTAAGTATTCGGAAAATCAACACGGGAAATGTATCTTACACGGAGCCAGACAAATTTTTTTTAATTACGTTTGGGTCCGTTTAACGTTCCTGGACAAATCTTCCGTCAGGGACATTTCATGACTTTTGATTACAGAATTACTAACACATCATAGGCTACATCGGCGAGTTCGAATACATCGACGACCACAGATCGGGCAAGATTGTCGTTCAGTTGAACGGCAGATTGAACAAGTGTGGTGTCATCTCCCCCAGATTCAACGTCAAGATCGGCGACATCGAAAGATGGACCGACAACTTGTTGCCTGCCCGTCAATTCGGTTATGTCATCTTGACCACTTCTGCCGGGATCATGGACCACGAAGAGGCGAGAAGAAAGCACGTCTCGGGTAAGATTTTGGGTTTCGTTTACTAGGTAATTAGTTTGTAAGGTTTTATGTATCGGTTTTAATGGAATAATTCTGTAATGAATTTCTGTAATGATCATCAATTATTAGTGGTGGTGATAGTGAAAATTAACGCGCACCGTCATCCAACCACCGTCTCGCGCCTTCACCATTTCATATTACAGCTGATGGAACACGTGAGGTTCGTGGGCCAGGTGGTGTCTTGGGCGGTTCGATGTGGGTGTCTCGGCCACTTGATACAGGAGTACGTGTTTGAGTTTTCCGAGACTAGGGGAGAGCTGATGCTCCCCACCCTCCAGCAGCAGCACGACTACGTCGCCACCAACAAGCGGTACCGCTTGGGGCGGGGGCTCGACATGGGCGACTGCATCGTGGCGATGAAGCCGCTGGACCCTCTCCACCGCGTGTGCAAGCGGATCACGGGGATGCCCGGCGACGTGGTGTTGGTGGACCCGCTGCTGAGTCTGGAGCTCTCCAATTCTCCCGCCAGTGTCATTAGCCACGATGGCTATAACAAATACATTGTCGTGCCTGAAGGTCACGTGTGGGCTACGGGGGACAACTTAGCGCTTAGTCTTGATTCTCGGTCGTACGGAGTGGTGCCGATGGGTCTAATTACGGGCAAGATCGTGGGTGCTACTCTGGTGGGAGATAGTCTCCACAGTCTTCTGGGGATCTTCGGGTTCAAGTGGTTGAATTACCGCAAGATCAGCAATACCTTTGTCGATGATTGATGTTATGTAGATAGACAGTTTAATGCCATAACGAAACGAGTTTACGCTCTCCCCGCCGCCTGGGTGGCCTTGAGAAACCGCAACACTTTGCTCCCGAGGAACACCGCCGGTACAGCGACGACAAGCGCCCATTTCACAGTGGCGAAGATCAGCTCGCCCAAGTAGTAGCGGGCGATGATTACTTGGAACACACCGAGGGTGGTCAAAAACGACGCGTTATAGAGAAGCTGGATCTTGGTGATGAAACGGAATTGGTAAAAGATGGCATCGAGACCAACGACCCCGTACCAGCCAATAAGCAACGCCACGAATAACACAAACGCCACCCCGAGGAACACGATGGGGATCGCCGGATTCACCGTTTCCGGGTTCGATCGGAATTGGTGGAAAATCTCGGGTTTGGCGCCTAAACGGTCATCCTGTTGGATAAGTTTCACCGCTTCGGAGATTTCTGTCAGCGGCTCCAATTGGCCTAAGAGCTTCACGAGACGGTCTGACAGCAGGGCAATGATGAATTTGACGGCAATGGGGCCGGATTTAAGCGCTTCGGGCAACGCCTTCGCGGTCAACGACAACGACACCTTGGAGCCGTCGGTGAACTTGGGCACTTTCTGGATCAGGTATTCCGGCTTAACAGCGCTGGCAAACTGGATCACGAGCTGCTGCGGTTCGTCAGTAGTTTTCTTAAGGTTCAATTCCACGGCGATCACGTCCTGGGGAGCCAGTACCGGCAACGACTGGATCTGGAGAGTATTGACTTCGCCAATGGCAATCTTCTTATCGTTGACCAGGAGAGAACCCAGCTTTATCGTGTAGGCCCAGGCGACGGCCAACACGGTCCATAAGGTGACGAACTTCATTCCAGGCTATGTCAACTGATACTCGGACGTGTCGATTTTCATCGTTCGCACCAGCTGTGTTAGTCAGAGATTATGTCACAGACACTACCTTGTAAGCATAGACGATTGCGCAGAGGTAACCCAAACGGCTATGAGTGATGAGGAGTACGATGAGTTCGGGAACCTCATCGGGGGCGATTCCCAATCAGACTACCTGGATACTGAGGCATCTCCAGCGTTAGTGTCGGATGCGTTAGTGGCTCATCAACCCAATGTAATTGTGGCTACGCCCCAGACCACCGTCGCTGACCACCTTGAACCAGTTATACGTCCCAAAACGGCTCGCCAATTAGTGGTTGATGCCCTGAATTCCTTGGCTACTGCCTACTCTAAAGAGTATATGGTACAGACGATGACATCACTACCTGACCGCCAGAGGAACGTGATGGTAGTGGGGCTGATGGGGTGTGGCAAAACACTGGTGGTGGACATGTTGGTGCAACAAGCCCATCCTGATGAGAAAATCAGTGGTTTCACTCATCTTACTCAGTTGGAAAGACAACGACAGATGACGCTTAGTACGTACCCGGTCACCGTATTACTTCCCAATTTGGATGATCAGTCGTACGTGGTGACTATCCTCGATACTCCCGGTCACCCTGACTTCTACGCTGATGTCGAAGCGTTATACGCCGGTGACTGTTGTGTGACAATTGCTATTGATGCCGTAGAAGGCCTTGGACCCTACGATAAGGTGCTTATCGATAACGCCTTGAAAAATAAGCTTCCGTTATCGGTGATCATTACAAAGATGGACCGCATCATCCTCGACTTGCGGCTATCACCAGACGACTGTTATAGCAAATTACGGTATGTCATTGACGAAATACAAAGCTACGTTGCCACTAACGAATACAATCAGGAGCTGAAATACGCCGTAACCATGGACGACGTGGTGTTTAGCAGTGCTAAGTTTGGGTTTATGTTCTCCATTGCCAGTTATGTCCGCCAACTATCACAAACACAGCCAGATGTTGGTGGCTTACGACGGTGTCTAGCTCAGGGTTATTGGTATAAGGATGGCGAGGTCAGCGCGAAAAAGACGGCTGGTTCGGTTCTGGCGTTCACTGCGTTCATCCTTAACCCGTTGTATAAGGTGTTCACTCATACCCTTGTCCATAACCAAGGCGATAAAGCGTTGCCTAAATTGCTTTGGGATGAGTTTAACATCTCTTTCCCCAAGTCCACATATGAGAAAGACCCTGCTCATTTATTGCGGGATATTTTGCGAGAGATTTTCATCGGCACTCAGTCATATATCGATGTGTTGCTGCGACAAACTCCACCGTCGTCTCATAAAGTTGAGGATTCCACAGTGCTTGGCAAAGTGCTTCGCCTTGTTCGGTATACTGACGAAAAACACCTCGCGTTAGTTAAACTACAACGCTCGGTATCTAAGCGACAACGGGTCACTGTGATTGCTGGTGAAGTTAATAAGGAGAACTCGCGGACGGAGACTATCAAACAAGTAAGTCTCGGGTGCGGTCCTTACAGTATCTCCTTAGATGAGGCTCCCGAGGGAAGCATTGTGCTTATTGAAGGCATTGATGCCACCATCGTCAGCTCGGGTTACATTTGCGAACAGTTCCCCTCGCAACCAGAGATGTTTCCTAAACCACCTAACTTCTGGCTTTCCCTGGTTCTTAAAGTGGCCATTGAGCCGATGGACTCTGCCGACCTTCCCAAAATGACGGAACGCGTCCGCTGGGTGCTGCGTGAGTTTCTTGCTGCTGAAGTGAAAGTAGAGCTTCTGGGAGAGCACACGATTTTCGCTACCGGTGAGTTATACTTGGACTGTCTTCTTAGTCGAATCAGAGGCGCTGATAATGATATCCAATTGCGAGTGACCATTCCGCTGGCTCGCTTTTCGGAAACGGTGGAGGCCCTCTCAGTGGCTAAGATAGAGACTACCTCAAAACAAAACCTGTTCACGGTAATGGCCGAGCCCCTCCAGGACAAAAAGCTCTCGCGCGCTATCGCTGAAGGCAGGTTCGAATTGAAGCCAAATCAACCGGTGAAAACCACCGCCAAAATCCTTAGAAAAGAATACGGTTGGGACGCCTTGGCAGCACGGTCGCTTTGGTGCTTTGGTCCTCGTGATAATCAACTCCCTTCCCTTTTGACAGATGATACTTTGGAAGGCGAGACTGATAAGGCATTACTCTACTCCGTTAAGGACTCGGTAACCATGGGGTTCCAATGGTGTGTGTCTGAAGGACCCCTCTGCGATGAGCCGATAAGAAACACTCACTTCCGCATAGTCGACGCTACCCTTCTGGATAAAGAGATCTACCGCAGTACCAGTACCATTGTCCCACTCGTAAGAAAGGCATGCTGTGCTGGGTTTATGACGGCGTCGCCCCGGCTTATGGAACCAATCTACCGTATCGACATTGTCTACTCGGGAGTTGCTGGCAACAGTCACGCGTTATACGGAAGCATCAAGAAGCTTGTGATGGCCCGACGGGGCGAAATTACTTTCTCTGAAGAGATACCCGGATCTCCGTTGCATAGAATGTTGGGGTATGTCCCCGTCATCGACTCTGTGGGTCTTGAGACTGACATTAGAGTTCGTACTCAGGGGCAGGCGATGTGCTATCTCTCGTTTTCCGAGTGGCTGGTAGTTCCCGGTGATCCCTTAGATGCTGATGTCCACGTGGAACCGTTACTGCCGGCTACTGGTGATGCTTTGGCTAGAGATTTTGTGATGAAGACAAGAGCTCGTAAGGGGCTCAATGATGCCCCCAGCTACCATAAGTATATAGAACCTGAAGTCTACGAACATCTTCAGGACAATGGCCTCTTACTTTAATTTAATTTAATACATTTTTAATACGTTCAACTGCCAATTATTGGTAAGTTCGAACTATCGAGCTTTCTTGCAAGTTTTTCTGTAATCTCGACAATTTCAAATAAACCGCCAAATCCCATACTAAACGGATATTTTGTAAATGACGTGACGCTAGTTCGATTCTTCATGATTGAGTTAACGGTGTGGCTTAAAACGGTTGTTACGGTGGTTGTTAGCTTTATGGCGGTAACTTAAATTTTCTTCATCGTCAGAGGGCTCTCTGGCGATGCCGAAAATTTGCGTCAGAAGCCGTTAGTGCAATGGCAGCGACACAGTGGATGAAGGGTATGAGCAAGCCCATAGGCTCCTTCATCCGATAGATCCAAAAAGTTGTAAATGTTATCACACATGGTGATGTTTCAGCTGTTACACTGAAAAGAACAGATACTACACTTGATCTAAGCCAAAAGGCAAAGAGATTTAAAGAAGAAAAAACTCTTTGTGCGGCGTTCCCATCTCTTATATACCCAGCGAAATTGATCAGGGCACGCCCTGTCATAGAGAAAATTTTGTCTGAGGTGGCGGTACTGCATATCGCAAATCTAGCCCTAGCGATGTTGAGTTCGGCGCAAATTTTTTTTTCTTTCTGAAAAAAACTTCTTTACCATTCTTTCTTCATGTACTCTACGTCTGCGTCCCCTCTCCTAATTGGGCAGCAGCGTCTGCACCGTTGATGCATCTTCCTCCTATTTCCACTGGCTTCCTTATCGTTACGAGCCCGCACTGCGACATGATGCATCCTGCACTGGCCCGAAGCTCATCTCAAGAGATGGCTTGCGAATTCAATATTATAAATACTCGCTCACGAACGGGGTTCTCACCATCAATTTTTTTTGCAGATGCTGTTCAGAAACCACAAATACGCCTCCAAGCATCTCAGAACTCACCGGGACCGCCGAGCCCCTCATCATGACCACCACCACCGTGGTGGCCCCCGGCGGTACCGCAAGTACTACCACCAGCAACCTGAAGAATTAGTGTACGTCGAAGAACCCACTGATAACTCCGAGTCTGAAAGTAACACCAGCGACGACGACGTTCGCTACGACTACGACGTGTCGTCGTCGTCGGCATCTGATTCTGACTCGGACTCCGACGACGATGACTTCGACAGCTCTCGGGACATCATGGTGTACGACGACCTCTCCGAAGGTGACGTGGAATTGAACGAACTGGAAATCGACGACCTTGACGAAGAAGACATTTTGCGCATTCTTGAGCACGAGGGCCGTCTTGTTGACTTGAACGACGACCTTGTGGCTTTGTACGACTCGCAAGCTGAATCGCTGAGCGAGGATGACGAAGAAGAAGAAGAAGATTTTGGCTTGGACTCCGACGAAGAGCTCGTGGAATACCTCGACCTCGACGACCCCACCCAATTGAAAGTGTTGCTGAAGATTTTGGACGCTGCCTCCGACTCCGAAGATGATGACGATGATGAAGATGACGACTCGCTGGACCTGGACATCGACGTTGAGGACCAGCTTGCCCTTTGCCACACCCTTGACGACGACTCCGAGCTGTCTTCTGAAGAAGACGAAGACGATCAAGTTGTGTTTGTTACTGTTGACTCGAGCGACTCTGAATCCGACTCGTCGTCGTCGTCGGACTCTGACTCCGACATCGACGTCGACTCCGACTCCGACGCCGAAGGCGTCACCATCTACGAACGCGAATTGCCTTACGACGAACTGGACGATGGCGATGACGACTACGACTCTGACGGCTTCCTTGTCGCCGAAGACTCCGATGATGAATACCGTGTCGTGGACTTGAGCAAGGACTTGGAGCAGTCGAAGGACTTTGAAGTTGAAGAACACGACGACCACTACAAGATCAACATCCGCTTGGACTCGCTTGTCACTGAAGAATTGCGCCTCGACTTTAATAAGGCCGAAAACGAGTTGATTGTCAAGGGCAAGTTTGACTTTGGCATTGAAGACTCGGAAAACGATGACGAAGATGACGACGAAGACGACGAAGAAGGCGAACCCGTCGAAGCGGTGGTGACTGTGGCTGAAGAATCCGACTCGGAAACCAGCTCCCTGGACTCTGAGCTGGACTCGTCGTCCGACCTGGACTCGCTGGACCTGGACTCCGACCTGGACTCGCTGTCGAGCTCGCTGTCGTCGGACTCTGACTCCGACTCTGACTCCGACTCGCTGTCGGATCTGGGAGACGAAGTCGAAGACGGCGAAGAAGGTGAAGAAGCCATTAAGGAAGTCGTTGCTGAAATCGTTGCTGATGCCCTTGCTTCTGCCGGTAAGAAACTTGAAGAAGAAGCCCAAGACAAGGTTGAAGAAGACGACGAAGACGAAGACGAAGAGTTTGTTGACTCCGGTGCCGTTGCTGACGTCACCTGCGACATTGACGATGAAGAGATCATGGAAGACGCCCAATACCTCACCAAGGACTTCGAGACCCAGGAAATCAGCTTTGAAAAGCACTTCCGCTTCGACAAGTTGGTGGCGTTTGAAGACATCACCGCCAAGTTCACCAACGACGAGTTGGTGATCACCGTCCCCCACACCGGCGTTGACTACTTGAAGGAGGTGAACTATGTCCCCATTGCCATCGAAGCTAAGGCTATCGAGGACGTCGAGATGACTGATGCTTAATTCATTTGCTTCTGGACATTGCATTTTGAGTTATTAATAGGATACGATATAACTATGACGAATTTAATGAACGACCACTAACGATAAACAAACACTTTGTAGTCTCAACAAGCGTTTCACCGATTGATAAGCACACCCCATGTTTCAAACACACTGCAGAGCGCATAAATAGCAGACGCGTACCCGCGCCATGGTATAAATTTACTATAGTGATCAATTCTATCAAATTTCACAGATAATGTTTAATCACGAGCAAAAGTATATTAACTACACGTTGATTGATATGTTTAAAGTGCTAGACTTGGATCTGGATGAACCCGTGTTTACCATCTCGATTTTGAAGGCACACATGATGCGGCTTGTGTTGGCGCTTATAACTCCGTTTGTGTTTTTGGCCCATCAATGGAACAAATTCTGGAGCAATGTTGAATTTTATTTTAACGCTATCCTCTGGATGTCTAATGACGACGTCAGCTGTTGTGCTAGACAGCCAACGAAAAGTGGTGTCTTTGCCTGGCTCAATAACATACTCGGTTATTATGTCAACTACATTTGGGTCATTCCACGCAACATTCACAAGATTTATGCAGCGAAGAAAGACCCTAGAGGACTCAAAAACCTTCAATACGTCATGCCTCAACTCAATGCAAGCTCGGTCGCTTGTGTCTTTGAGTATCCCATGGTTGACTTGAAAAAGCCAGCTGATTCACCTAAGCCATACCTTGACGCTGATAAAAGATATGTTGAACCTTCAAAAGAAGAACTTGAAGAAGCAGAGCAGTTGCATGTTATGTACAAGGAAGAATTTGATAAAAGGCGGAATGTCGAGACTGTCAAGTATCTTCGCCATGTGGGTAAGTTGGTGACGTGGATGTGCTTGAACTCCTCCGTAACAGAATTGGTAATCTATGAACGGACTGGTACCCTTGGAAAATCAGTCGATGAAATCAAAGAAGCCGTACTTATCGGCTTATCCCAAATGATTTGCTTTTGCGACTCGTTCGAGATGCAAGATCTCAGCCGCTTGGTCCCCAAAATTGTTGTCGATATCGACGGGGAACAGCATGACGTTTCAGCCCAGTATCCGATGATTGGATTGGTCGATGTTAAGCCTTCAAAAGAATTTATCGTCAAGTTTGTCGATGAAAATTCCGACCATGACACCCTCAAACCATCGGAGCTTATCATGATAATGAGCCCGGAAACCAAGTTATTTGGCTACTCCAGCTGCGCCGAGTATGGCGACCACGACGTCACCATCAGTAATTGTGTAGATTTTTCCTTTGGTAGTGTGGTCAAAGCCATTCTTCTCTTCCACATGAACGGTGGCGGGAGGGGTCGCTTGTGATTACCATTTTGGTACATATGCGCGAAATTGAGATTTTGAAGGGCCGTCACACGTATTACATTCCATCATGTTTAAGAGGAGTTTGGGCGTGCTTTGGGGTACCAGCCGGATCGTCGGCTCCCTGGACGTTCGCTCCATCCGCCACTTTGCCAGCAAGTCGATACTATCAGCGTCGAGCGAACCACTGAAGGGTAAGGGCACCAGCCAGGATAAGGCCAAAGTTGCTAGTCTGCTGTCCCCACTCAACTCATTTATCCAGACGGAACTCAATGTCAACCCCGAACAGATACTTGCCAAGCCTGCCGAGGATGAAGACGTGCTGGATCCCATGTTCTACGATAACGAGCCCTATATGGATACGTACCAGGTGTACAAGGAACTTCGCTCAGCCGGGTTCACTAGTGAGCAGTCGGATGACATTATCCACATGATATGTGGACAACTTAACCACAAGATGTCGAAAGTGCTTGAGCAGTATGCCCATAGATACGAGCTTGAAAACGAGCGGTACCTCTTTGAGAGTGCTCAGCAAGAAATCCGAGTTGATATCACTCGGTCCCGAGAAAACCACATCGCCGAGTCAATCAACACCACCAGTGTATTGGAACGTGACTTGCGTACCATATCTGATGAACTCTCATCAGACTTCATCCAGATGAAAAACGATAACCAGGTGGCGATATCCGAACAGAAACTGGAGAACACGCTCTCTACTAAACGAATACATTTGAAGATCCAGGAGACCAACCACAAAATCACCACCGAGCTTAACTCGGCCATGCGATCAGAGATCGAAAGTTTGCGGTGGCACTTGTCCCGGTGGGGGATCATCGCCATCTTGGTGTCAGTGTTCTCTGGGTGCACGCTGTTCTACGTATACAAGGCTAAGGCCGAGCAACGAAATACCCGCAACGAGTTTGTCCCCTTGGTCATCTACGAGCCCAGTGAGCTTGAGGAGGATGACTATCACGCCGACCTTGACAAACTGATGGTGTAATTATATAATTTTCTCAATCGACGCATTTACGAGTAATCGGCTATATACTCGTCGCCCCGCGCAATTTTCTATATACACACACCGATGCCGTCGGACCCGTGCTTGCCCCAAGCGTGTGCCATCCAACGCTGCCTTGAGAAGAACGGCTACAATGAAAGCAAGTGCTCCAAGGTGATCGACGCGTTGTACTTGTGCTGCAAGACGTTTTACGAGGAGAACGGCACCGACCAGACCACCTGCTGTCCCAAGATCGAGAAGCTCCAGCTTAAGCTTAAGCAGCGGGAGCTCGGCCAAATAGATGCGGAGCTTATCTCTACGAATAAACGCTAGCGACAAAGAATGTCTGTTTCGAACCGCGATACTAGGCTATGGGCGTAGTACGACGTACAGGCCGGAGAAACAATTTTGATCTAAGGCTTGCCCGAGCACGAACGATCACAGGGTGATGCAGTATGTATGTGGAGGAAGTCATACAAACCGTGACTCTAATGGGCGCCTACTTAAAAAGACATTGTATGAAGATTTCTCCGATGGCGGTCGCGCTCTTTTTATAGTGGCGATCGTCAAAGGGCGGGTAACTGCACTACCTTTGGCAGATGGCGAATTTTGAAGGTATATTGAATTGTGCAAAAAAATGGTGCAAGAGAATGATTCTGATAATTGTAATGGTGGTGGTTAGTCGACCACTCGCTTTTCTCCCAGTTTTTTATCGTATTCGTGGACGTTAGGCAAGTATGGCTTGAGCTCGGAGTTGTCGTCGAGCCACAACGACTGGCTCAGGATGTTGCGTATGCTATTGTCGATCTTCACCGACTGCTCGTACTCACGAATGACGTCGTCGATCTTGGCTGGGGGGATGTTTGCCTCCTCCAATTGCTTGGTGAGAAGAGCAATATGCAATGCCATCTTCATGTCTCTCTTAGCTCTATCTTTCCGTTCTTGAAGGGTATTCATGTCACGTTTCTTGCGGGCAGCCTGGTGGTTTGCCTCTTGTAGCTGGAGTGTTTTGAGGTTGATGGTGACGAGTTCTTCGTTCGCCTTTTCAAGTTTGATGCGGTTCAGGTAGTTGTCCAAGGCGAAGTATACCAACGCCAGTGTTGCCAACGCGTTGGCGATCCCCGTAAGCATCGATTCGCCTTGTTTGTGGTTGTTATTGTGGCTATTTTCTTGAGTATTGGACCCGTAGGTGGCGCGATTGGCGTCGGCGGCGGGGTACTGGTAGCTAGCTTCAAACCCCGATGGAGCCGGCAGCGGCGGCGGCATTGGCTCGCCATAGGTATGGGGAGGATTGCTGGGGTTGGTGAAGTACAGCGGCGGTCGCTGGGAGGCGTATCTCTTGGTAATGACGCGTATTCTGGCAAACATTGGAGGGGTCCACACGAACAGGACGGTACTAGACTTGGTGCGCGCCACACGATTCAAATAGAAACCTAAGGGTGACGATCTCACATCATCAGGGTGAAACATCAAAAGTGTGTGTGTGTTTTACATTTCTTCCTGAACCTTGTATATTACACATTATATATAAAATGCTTAGTGCTTTCTGGAAGCAGCGATGACACCGTTCATCTCTTCAACCTTCTTCAAGGCTCTCTTGTGGGTACCCAATCTCTTCTTGGCCAACTTCTTGGCTCTCTTTTCACCGGCGTTTCTGATCAATTCGATCAATCTTCTTTCGTAAGGAGCCAACCCGGCGACTTCCGACACGATCGATCTGACGAACTCGGTTCTCTTGGTGAGGGCACCCTTTCTGTACGAGATCTTGGGGGCGACTTCCTTAGCGGTAGTCTTGTGACCCTTGTTGAGACCAACAGCAATACCTAGTTTGTTAGTGATTTGTTTGGAGGATATATTCCGATGACGAAGACGCCTGGCCAATGTGACTTTGAGTCAAACGAAAGCACTCTGTTTCAGAGGTTCTGCAGTTCTGAAACGGAACGTCACATTGGGATCAGGGAAACAACTCGGGTTCAAGTGGACGCGATGTGTCCTGGGAGAGGGTTGACATACCAGACTTAGCCATGTTTAATCAATGTCTTGAGGAAAGAATTTTCCACTGATGCTCAAATTTTTCCCTGAGCGAGCCTGATTATGTAATCGAGCGCGACTCCACTATGGCGAATAAGCATCAGGGTCGCCAACCCTAAGTCACGTGGATACCACTAACAACTAAACTCTGACAAGGAAGGGCTATCGTTATCATTCAATGGTTTAGACCTCATCATTAACATCGTATAACATTAACGAGTAGTTGCATTTAGTGCTGTTTGTGTTCAAGCCATAATTACGTATATTCCATCAATTGGCTCCCCGCGTTACACTCTGCGAATCACTAGCCGTAGGGCTGACCAAACCCCATAGAGTGTGAATCACACATATCGATAGCATGGGATGTTTTGAGAGGACTATAAGTCTTCAAAAGCAGTACTCAACTAATTTAAGAATTAAAGATTTCATTGGTAGACGCATTACCTCACCAGATAGGCTTTACTCCCTCTTTACGGCCATAGCCATAGCCTAATAGATAATAGTGAGTACAGATGGATGATAATGGATAGAGACTAAGCAGTAGAGAAACTACCAACATGGCGATAATTAGCTATCAATTGGTCATGGTCATTATGATATTTTGGGCGTGGTTCCACTTTGCTTTCGCGTCGTGGAGTCCTCTCTATTTACACGTAATATGACGGATCAGGCGACGATGTTGCGGAGGTCGGCGCCGGCTTCCCGCAACTTCTGCAACACGTCCGACTCGGGGATGTGCTTGTAGTTCTTGTTGAACTCGGAGCGGGTCAAGCCAGTGTACAGCTGGCGGCGCAACTGGTAGAACAACACGTTGAGCAAGTACTTCTTGTTCTTGAGCACCAACAGGCCGTCGTCGGCAATGAACTTGACTTCGGGGTTCGCCGCCTGCGCCAGCTTAAGCTCCTGCGCCTTCATCACGTCGTAGCGCAACTTCCACCCGAGCGCCCCGAGCGTCTTGACCCGGGCGGGCTTGTCCTTGGTCAAATAGTTGTCCAAGCCGCCCTCGCGGTCGACCGTCTTCAACACCTTGGTCGAGACACGGGTCTTGATCTTCTGCTCAAGCGTCAGCAGCCACAACGTCGCCTTGTGGATGTTGGGCAAGTGCACCCTCAAGTTCTTGTTCCCCGCCTCGGAACACGTCTTCGACCGCTTCCGCTGGCGGCCGCCGTATAACCCGCGGTTCTGGCGCTTGAAAAACTGGGTTTCGTAGTGGTAATCCGGGTACGCCGCCGGCTGGAGGGGGATCTTCACTTGTTGCGGGATCACGTCGCCCTCGCGGAAGTGGGTAGTGTCAAACACGGGCTTCGCCTGCTTGAGGATCTTGTAGTACTTGTCGTTGGTATTGCGGGCCATCAACGCCGCCAGCAGGCTCATCCACCGCACCCCAATCATGCCGGTGCCAATCATCGGTGAAAAATTTGGCACTCGCACTGGTTAATGCGACAAGGCCCAAAGGCCAACCAGAGAGAGAATATGAACCGGATCTAATATAGTTTAAGGGTTAAGTGGCAATTTAACGTAGAACTGAATGAATTAGTCTATTGATGATTTAGTCAGTGTATAGAATTGGAATCAAGAGATGGGTAACAATGAGTATCTGTGTATTTTAGAAGTTCTAGTATGGTGATTTACAAGTCGCTCATTCTCAGCAGTTGATGTTAGTTGAGAAAGTTAGTCTCAACTCTTAGAAAAATTTACATTTTCAAAAAATTGGATAATGACGACCGAATCAAGTGTTGCCTATACCTACGGGTCGATACAGAATCAATGTGTTCACGTGATCCACACACACACTCCATTGTCTTTAGGACACAAGGGTATCGGACCCGTTACTGGCCAGCTGCGGCTTATAAGCCCGCCATGCAGCTGGAGATGCCGGCCACCCGCTATACACTATGAGGCGTATTTATGCCTACATCTACTGGCTGAATTTACCTTCTCATTCCCCAAATATTTATCTCACGGAAGTTTGCTCTTCTCACATGGGCCTAGTGTGTCGCAGCCACAACCATTGCCGACGGGTAAAATAAGGGGGGGATACATCCCACGTTGGCAAGCGGTAGCCAGCAAACCAACGCAAAGCAAAGCCAGAATCAAAACCAAATAAAGCTAGAACTATAAAGCTACTGCCACTGACTCAACAGCTCATACTCCTAGACGATATTCTATTCTATCGCCGCAGAGATTATAGCTGAGATAGTCCAATTACCGAAACTGTCTCATCGCTATCATCGCTGGCTACGCTATGATATCATAGGGTAGCCAATTTTTTCTCTGGCAGCGTTTTTTCAGTTGCGAGCCCCGCCGGCCATTATCGGGGTGTTATCGCTCCCAGGGATATTGTCTGGCACATCAGGCACAATGAGCAGCCATAACGTCCGACCCGCCATCGCCCCACCGCCACAGCGCCCTAGCGCCAATACCAGTAATATAACAAACCCTAGTAGCTCTCACAAAACAAAACTAATCACCCACTACCTAGCTATTTCCTTCCACCCGCTCCTCTCGCGATCAGTGGCGATCGGAGGGCCCGTGGCCGTGATCATACGGCAGGCGCCGCCGCGCCAAAAAAAAGCGACCACTAACTCCCGGGCCAAAAACAATATCCTTCCATGGCGGGTGAGTTTGCCAAGCTGTTTCTTTTCGGCCAGTTCAAACGAGAGGCGACACCACTGCTGATGAAGGACGCGAGCCTCCCCGCCGCCGACATGGGCCCACCGCCGCCCCAGGGGTCCAAGTTCATGCCCAAGGGGCTTGTCAACGTCGCCCCCGCCACCACCGCCATTGCCCAGGACCTGTTGGCCTACGGGCTGACCACGGGTCCGGGGACGACCTCCCAGGGGTTCCTCAACACCCTCTCCTCCTCGCAACACCAGGCGCCGCCGTTTGCGCCGCCATCGCAGGCGACGCTGTTAAAACCTTACGGCAACGACCCCGTCATCATCACCACCGACGAAACGGGACAGACCATCGCCCAGCTGACGGACAAGTCCCAGCCGAAGGGGAAGCTCAAAGTGACGATCATCGCCGCCCGCGACATCAGCGCCATCCAGCCCTACGTCGTGTGCACTTACGAGAGCTCAGAATTCGTCACTCACACCACCGGCTCCATCGGCAAGCTGCCGCTACACCCGAATAAAGGCATCCTGATGAAGGCGGGCGGGTCGCGCCCCCACATGTACCAGCGCCAGCTGCTGACGCAGCACTTGCCGTCGTTAGGGGAGACGACGAACCCGCTGTGGAACCACGAGGCCAACTTTGACGTCGTCGGCTCCCACTCCGAGCTCGACATCAGCTTATACGACGCGGGCAAGGACGACGCCTTCCTCGGCCACGTGCGCATCATGCCCCACACCATCACCAACCGCCGCTCCAACGAGGAGTGGCTCGGGCTCAAGCCGCGGATCATGGGCGAGCAGGTGGTGGGGGCGATCAAAGTGGTGTGGGAGTACACCCGCTTGGACGGCAAACATAGCTACGGGCCCGACGACTTCGAGATGTTGCGGTTGTTGGGCAAGGGGACGTTTGGCCAGGTGTTCCAGGTGCGCAAGCACGACACCGGGCGCATCTACGCGATGAAGGTGTTGCTGAAGAAGGTGATTGTCAAGAAGAAAGAGATCGCCCACACCATCGGCGAGCGCAACATCTTGGTGCGCACCAGCGCCGCGGCGCTGCCGTTCATCGTCGGGCTTAAGTTCTCCTTCCAGACGCCGCTGGACTTGTACCTCGTCACCGACTACATGAGCGGGGGCGAGTTGTTTTGGCACTTGCAGAAGGAAGGCCGCTTCACCGAGGAGCGCGCCAAGTTCTACATCGCCGAGTTGGTGCTCGCGTTGGAACACCTCCACGACAACGACATCGTCTACCGCGACTTGAAGCCGGAAAACATCCTTTTGGACGCCAACGGCCACATCGCCTTGTGCGACTTTGGCCTTTCGAAAGCCAACCTCAACAACGACGGCACCACCAACACCTTCTGCGGCACCACCGAGTACTTGGCGCCCGAGGTGCTCTTGGACGAGCTGGGGTACACCAAGATGGTCGACTTCTGGCTGTTGGGGGTGCTCATCTTTGAGATGTGCTGCGGGTGGCTGCCGTTTTACGCCGACAACACCCAGCAAATGTACAAAAATATCGCCTTCGGCAAGATCCGGTTCCCCAAGGAGGTGTTGAGCGCCGAGGGCCGTTCCTTCGTCAAAGGGTTGTTGAACCGCAACCCCAAGCACCGCCTCGGCGCCACCAACGACGCCCGCGAGTTGCGCGCCCACCCGTTCTTCCAGGACATCGACTGGAACTTGTTGCGCACCAAGCTGATCCCGCCGCCATTTAAGCCCCACTTGACCTCGGAAACCGACACCCTGAACTTCGACCCCGAGTTCACGCTGGAGCTGACGGCGATCCTCAAAAAGCAGATGGAAATGGCGACGACGCCGTTGCTGCCGGGGATCCAGGCCAACTTCAAAGGTTTTACCTACGTCGACGACCTGGCGTTCGAAGACCACTACGGGCGGCTGCATCGGCAGAACCAGTTCCGGGGACCGGGGCTGTTTATCCCCGGCAACCCCAACTTGCCCCCCGACGAGGACGTCATCGACGACGACCAGATCGACGAGGAGGACGAGGAAATGGAGATTGACGACCAGGACGAGTTCGTCAACGGCCGCTTCGACCTCTGACGACACTCCTTTTGAAACCACACACCCCACCGATACACACACTTTACCTTTTTCACGTTTTTAGACTCTTTTAATTGACATTTCTGTAAATTGAGTGTATACATCGGTGCAGCAAACACTCGTGCAGCAAACATCAGTGCCGCACAATATCCCCACTACTAGCGCGCGCGTGTTTGCCAGTGTCTCCACCAACCTCCCCTCACCCTATAACTACCCCATATGGCTCAGTCCGGCAGACCCCGCGGGCGCAAGGCCCACCGCTCGCTGAGCCACCAGGTGGCGTCACAGCTCCCCCAGCACCAGCAGGTCGCCCAGGTCGCCCGCCCTAAACAGTACTCCCACCTGGTCTACGCCAACCCGGTGTACGTGAAAAGCATCCTTGCGCCGCCCCACCCTCACAATCACCAGCGGACCAATGAAGAGGCGACGGCCCACGACGATGCCGACTTGATTATGTTCCGTCTGGACGCGTTGCTGCGGTTTGTCAACAACCACGAGTTCATTGAGAATATCACCACCAAACGGATCCATACTCAGGATATGGTGGCGCCCCCGCTATTTCCGACCCCGGAGGTGAAGCTGGCCGAGGACCGGAAGCCCACAGACGTCTACTTTGGCGATTTGGAGGAGATGAAGCGCCAGGAACAGCTGCTTGCTCAATTAGCGGCAGAAGTGCCCGAGGACAAATACCTGATAACTGAGGACCCTCAGTACGTCTACCAGCGCGCCGCAACTACCACATTAGCGGAAACCTCCCCCGAAGAGCTCCTGGCCCAGCTAGACACCGTGCTTAGTGAGTATAAGCTGAAATTCAACCGCGAGTACGTGGCGCAGTACATGCCGAAACGGTACCTGGCGAAGATCGTGACTGATGTCGACGAGGCCCCCAGCGACTACGACCCCAAGGACGTCAAATTGCAGGAGAAAGAATCTGAAAACCAGAAGTTCAACGGCGACATGTTCGGCGAATTCAACAATTTCGGCGATAGCGGCAACGACATCGACGACATGTTCAAGCCGCAGCCCCAGATGCCGATGAACCAGATGCCGATGAACCAGCAGATGCCCCAGCAGCCGATCAACGCCATGAACTCGGGGAGCATGGGCAACGGCGGCGCCCCGCTGATGGCGATGAACCAGAGCTCGAACATCGACCAGATGGGGGTGATGGGCGACCTCATCAACTTCGACGGCGACATGGGCGCCTTCGACGACGCCGACTTCCTCAATTCGATGAATTAACGATCATTAAATCCATGTCCGGAGGCAGCTATATTGAGCAAGACAGCCTAAGGGCATGGTCGAGGCTGAGTGGACTCAGTTCTGACTTATTTTGTATTATTATAATTTTCCAATGATTGGCCGAGGTTTTCATTCTTACCATAATCGTTTCGCTCAATTTACCATGACCTCGGCTTTGGGCAGTGTCGCCCACCGTGCTACTCGGTCCATTATCCAGTTGCGCGTGCGCGGTTTTTCAATATAAATAATTCTCACCATGAAATTCACCACTAGCCCATCAAAACAACGCTCTCTCCCCTTATTAATGGAACAGAAAAGTACCTCTTATTAAACCAAAAATCATATTTGTTTCATTCAATGCTCAAAACACCTTTATTTCTCATTTCTTTCCCCTCATTCTGGCAGTCATCGTCGCCGTTGTCGTGTCCGCCAGTGCCGCGCCCGAAAAACGTCTACGCGATAACCACTGGCAGAACCCCTCGCTCAGCTCAGGTAGTGCCACCGCCAGTACCCCCAGCAACACCCCCCAACACACCCGTGCTGCGATGGATCCGATGCTGGCGCCGTCCGGGGAGGACACCCGGCAGCGAATATTGAACCAGAGCCAGTACCAGGCGCGGGCGCGGCTCCGGCAGCAGAAGCTCAAAGTGACCTTCATCGGCTACATCATCGTCCTCATGTTCTTTGCCTTTGTCCAGTTCATCGGCATCGCCTTCTTCACCCTGGGGTTCTTGTTGAAACGTGAGGTGCTGCCCATAGTGCTGGATATTGCTCCCATCGACGCCAGCTACGATAAGGCCGTTGTCTTTGTCATCGACGCCCTCCGCTTTGATTTCACTGTCCCCGTGCAGAACTCGTCGAAGCCGTACCACAACAGCTTGCCGATTCTCTATGACCTTGCTCAGACGCCGCAGGGGGCCCTCCTCAAATTTGTTGCCGACCCCCCAACAACCACGCTTCAGCGGCTTAAAGGGATGACGACGGGGTCGTTACCGACGTTCATCGATGCCGGCAGCAATTTCGACGGCACTGCCATCGACGAGGATAACTGGTTGCTCCAGCTCCACCGCCATAACCGCACAGTGGCGTTTATGGGCGACGATACTTGGGACGCGCTCTTCAGCCAGTACATCGACCCTAACCTCAACTTCCCCTACGACTCGTTGAACGTGTGGGACCTCCACACCGTCGACAACGGCGTCATCGACCACATGTTCCCCTTGCTTGACCAGCCCCACCAGTGGGACGTGCTCATTGGCCACTGCCTCGGCGTCGACCATGTCGGCCACCGTTACGGCCCTAACCACTTCACGATGAAGGAGAAGTTGCTGCAGATGAATCAGGTGATCGCCGACATCATCGACAAGCTCGACGACCGCACTCTCTTGGTGGTGATGGGCGACCACGGCATGGACGAAACGGGGAACCACGGCGGCGACGCCCCCGACGAGGTAGAGCTGGCGATCTTTTTCTACAGCAAAAAGCCGTTGCCGTTCCACAAGCTTGATTCAAGCCACTATAATATTTCCAACGCTGGCGCCGACTATCGTCGGGTAAACCAGATCGATTTGGTACCGACAATGTCGGTATTGCTTGGGCTACCCATCCCTCATAACAATTTAGGGTTCCCCATTGAGGAGGCATTCTCTTCCCACGCCCAGTGGGCGGAAGCTGCCGAGGCGTGTGCTCGCCAATTGGACAATTTCCACCGCCTCACCGAGTTGAAACTGGCACCGTTACCCGCTAAATACGACGCTAATGAGGCCGCCGCGTTCCAGCACCGGCTACTCGAAGAGTGCCACCGGATGTGGGCCGAGTTTGACCTCGTCACCATGAGTTTGGGCATTCTCATCATCTTCCTCGCCCTCACGTTTATCCTCACCTACGCCCGGCTGATCCCCTCGGTGCGGGTGCTGACGATGCTGTTTGAGTTTATCGGGCTGGTGGTGGCGATGCTGCTTTTGGGCGTGGTGCTCAGTTTCTCCGTATACATCGTGCTTAAACCCGCCGATTTTACCCTTAAAAAATGTATTGGCGTCGGGGCTCTGCTCGGCACCATCATCGGCTTCTGGGCCCCGATCATGGACCGGTTCAGCGTCAGCTGGTTGTTGCACCAAGTGAAAGACTTTTTCGTGTACAACTTCAACACGTGGTCGTTCATCGGCCTCATGTTCGTCGTCCTCCACACCCTCGTGTTTGCCCTGAACTCGTTCGTGGTGTGGGAGGACCAGATGATCAACTTCTTCGTGGTGACGTTCGGCTTCGCCCTCGCGTTTGCCTGTGCCACTCTGGACAAGTTGACTCCCGCTACCAGGATCTTAGGCCTAAGCCACGCGGTGACATTCACGGTGTTGCTGCGAGCTACCGCCGCCATCGGCATCTGCCGCGAGGAACAGCGCCCCTACTGCGTGCCCCTGTTCGCAACGCAGTGGTGGCTGTTGGTCCTCCTCTTCGTGGTGGCGTGGTTGTTGCCGGCGGTGATTATGCATTTCTACAAGCTCCTGGACCTGTACCACTCGGCGGCGCCGTTGTGGGTGGGCAAGGGGCTCAAGCTGGTGTTGGTGGTCAACGCGGTCTACTGGCTGGTCGAGTGGCTCCAGCTGTACGAGCCCGTCGCCGCGTGGGTCCCTTTTGTCAACGGCTACCTCGTTAAAGCGATCAAGCTCTCGGTGGCGCGGCTCATGTTGTTCTCGACACTCTTCATGGCCAACTTGAGCTGGTCCAAGGGGCCGCTCTGTGTCAAGTTGGCCAACGGCGGCGACCGCCAGACGATCTTGGGGTACAACAACGTCTACGGCTCAAGCTACTTCTTGTTGGTGCTCAACTTCTTGGCGGCGGTGATGTTGGTGCTGAAGCCGATGGCGGCGGTGCTGTTGGCGATGTTGGTTGTCCAGATCTTGCTGTTGCTCGAGTTGTTCGACATGTTGGATATCCGCCGCAACGTCGTCACCCCGATCGTGTTCACCCTCTTGGGGTACCAGCACTTTTTCTCCACCGGCCACCAGGCGACGATCCCCAGTATCCAGTGGGAGGTGGGGTTCATCACCACCGAGACGATCTGGTTCCCCTTCACCCACTTGAACATCGTCCTCAACACGTTTGGCCTGTTTATCGTGGTGGCGTTGGCGATCCCCTTGATCACGTTATGGAAGATCGTCCCCCTGAACAAGCCCATCACCGTGCTCCTGCAGGTGATCACCAACGTCACCACGATGATCACCTACCAGATCGTGGTGTCGTTGCTGTCGCTCTTGTTTGCCGCCCACTTCCGCCGCCACTTGATGGTGTGGAAGATCTTTGCCCCCAGGTTCATGCTCTCGGGGATGCTCATCATCGTCCTCAACGTCGTGTTGGTGTTGGTGACGTTGTGGTTCGGCACGGGCAAGGTCGTCACCCAGGTAAACCGCATCTTTGGTAAGTAACTTTGATAGACTACTGCATAAACCGTTTATGAGTTGTAGATGGCCATGGATGCCTTGACAGCCATTGACAGTGTTTTACTAAGATCACATTGCGTCCAAGTCTGATCATATTTGCATCCAATTTCTGCAATGGGTCGCACTTGGGGCTAATTATGAGAAAATTACCTTAATGGTAAAATTACGGCAATTTAGGTGAAAAATTCAAATGAGACGTGTCACCATGGTTAACGTCTTCGCTTACACGGTAAATCACTTTCATCATAGTAAAATCGACCAGACAATTCCTCGAATACAGTTTAGCAGTACCAATAGAGCCATTACTACTGCTTTGGTAAATAACCTCAATTCGCAATGTTGATGTGTTTAACGGTGAAATTTCACTCTACCGTGACAACCACATTGAAATATAACCCTCAACCGTTGGCGCCGTCGGAGAGTGGCGCCGGGAATGTCCTGAGCCACTAATAACGGTGTATGTAGGATCTCGTCAGGGAGATGCGTGAATTAAAAGCGGCCGGGGTCTCACGACGCACAAATAGGGATTCACATGAGCGCCGTTCGCCAGCGGCTCGGACGTGTTCTGGCGACACTATCTAAGGGAATTGACTTAATTCTATAGCCCCAAGTTCTCCGTTTGTCTTTCCCCCGATTTTTCACCGCGTTTGTACGCCTATTTAGGGCAACGTGGTCCCCCCCGCTGGACCCGGGGTGTCTAGGGCTTTTTTTCTCCCGTACCCCCCCCTCATACAGCGGGCAAAAGAGGGGTAGGCGAGTGTGCATAACACATTTCGAGCCATACACACCCGAATAGTGAGAGTACAGCCGAGGACGACGACGGTCGACCCTTAAGGGCCACAGTGTCCCGAACCCGTAACTGCCCGGGAGATACCTTCAACGTCGTCCCCCTCTAACCTACGCTCCTAGTTGTTATCGCCACCACGACAATTTTGTGCTCTACCTGTAGTTATGCCTATTTCCGTGTTCATCCGGGAAATACCGTGGTGGGTGGTGGCTTTCCGGGTGGTGGTCCTGCCACGCCGACATCCCCACTCTTGGATGTGGGAGTCGCGCGGTGCCATATATAAACTGGCCACGCCCGCAACCCCGGCAATTCCCACCACCAATCCTCGCCCCTCATGTTCAGACAAGCGGTTCGGTCGTTTTCTAAGTCGCCCGTGGCGAAAGCCGACTACTCCAAGACCATCAAGAACTTGAAGATCAATGCCGACACCAAGGTGATCTACCAAGGGTTCACCGGTAAGCAAGGTACCTTCCACGCCGAACAGGCGATTGCCTACGGCACCCAGGTCGTGGGTGGTACCAACCCCAAGAAGGCGGGGCAGACCCACTTGGACCGCCCCGTGTTTGGCTCCGTCAAGGAGGCCATCCGCGACGCCGGCGCCAACGCCACCGCCATCTTCGTGCCCCCTCACATCGCCGCCGCCGCCATTGAAGAAGCGATTGAGGCCGAAATCGAATTGGCCGTCGCCATTACTGAAGGCATCCCCCAACAAGACATGGTCAGAGTCGCCCAGATGTTGAAGACCCAGGAAAAGACCCGTCTCGTCGGGCCTAACTGTCCCGGTGTCATCTCCCCCGACCAGTGCAAGATCGGGATCATGCCCTCCAACATCCACCAGCGTGGTAGAATCGGTGTCATCTCGAGATCGGGTACCTTGACCTACGAAGCCGTCGCCCAGACCACCCTGGTGGGGTTGGGCCAGTCGTTGGTCATCGGGATGGGTGGTGACCCTTTCCCCGGTACCAACTACATCGACGCCCTCACCTTGTTCTTGAACGACCCCGAAACCGAAGGGATCATCCTCATTGGTGAGATCGGTGGTACCGCCGAAGAAGAAGCCTCGGAATTCTTGAAGCAACACAACTTGACCCGTGACGTGCCCAAGCCCGTCGTCTCGTTCATCGCCGGTGTTTCCGCTCCCCCCGGTAAGAGAATGGGCCACGCCGGTGCCATCATTGCCGGTGGTAAGGGTGACGCCAAGTCGAAGATCGCCGCCTTGGAATCGGCCGGTGTCATCGTCGAACCTTCCCCCGCCAGATTGGGCCACTCGTTGTACGGCCAATTCAAGGACAGAGGGTTGTTGTAAGTTATAGAATGATAGATTATATGAGACACGATTCGTTTAATAACACGCGAGGAATTTTGTGAATACCCCCACGAAAAATCGCAACCCCCGCAAGCCACCAATAGTGATATTTAAAAAATTTAAACTAACAGCAGAAAGATGATGATAAGTAGTACAGAACGAGTAGGGCCTACAAGTCTATAAAAGTTTGACCTATAATACTCTTCGCGAGGCTCCAACAATTATTGATGGAGAAAATGTTGAGACCACAAGGCGAAATTTCAAAATACTCTTTCCAAACACAAATAACCATGATCCCATAATTTCAACCACTACCTCTTCATAAATATTTATAATCTGTAAGTAGTGTTTTCAACAGATTCACTAGCTCTACTTTCGATGAGTCGTCACGTGAACGCTCACCGATTTGAAAAATTCACTTTTACACGAACGACCCCAACCATCATGTTCAAGGCGGGTATCTTCCGGGCGGTGGCTCCCCGGGTCCAACTGATCATACTGAAACCGTTCAGCACCAGTGCACCCGTTTTCAGAACCAACCACTCGACCCGAACCAAAGAAAACGTCCACGACCTCAAGACGTTCCTCACCCTAATTGGGCGCAATACGATGGAATACCACGACACCTTCGAAGGCGACTTGCAAAAGTTCTTGAAGACGTCGTCAAAGGAAATGAAGAACTTGGGCATCGACGTCCAGCTGAGAAAGTACATGTTGAGATGGATCCACAAGTTTGAGAACGACCTCGAACCGTTAAGAGTCCACCGCAAGGGCAAGAAGAAGCACGGTGGGGAGCGTAAGGCTAAAGAAGTGCTTGCGAAGAAGAATGCTCTCAAGCGTTTGGAAGAAAAGGAGAAGTTCAAGCAGGAGGAATTGGAGGCGGAAAACCGGGGCGAGAGAGACTTTTAATATCTTGTATATATATATTTAAACTACATTGGCATTGGCGATTACTGTAGGCAAGCACAGATTTTATATCAGGTTTTATTTCAGGTTTTGTATCAGGTTTTGTAGCACCAGTTTTGTTCCCAAATCAAGAGCACAGGCTCGCCCCTATATAGAGGGCATAAAACTATCTCTCAAATATTGACAGAGAAACTACAATATAATACTACATTTCCGAGTGTAGTAGCATTTTTTGGGGTGTCATTCTTATGAAAAGAAATGCTGCTCACCATAGCTACAAATAATTGCCTTTCGTGAATGACCCCGGATTTCGGAGCGAGTTGAGTGGCGAACGACCCTAATTAATTAAACAATTAAATGTTCTGTTAGCCACACCAGCAGTGCTAATAATCTAAAAATAATCGAAGTACTACTGATGCCAGATCGACCCTCGCTGCCAACGTGTCGCTGTCAAAATCATGTGTAAATTTTATTCTCGCGTCGTGTGCCTGTCGCAGCCCGGATTAAGCTACTACGTACACTTCCTTGCTACACCGCCATGGCTTCCACTTCCTCGCCAGCGTCGCTGACGTCGCTGTTTGTCCCCGTTGAATCGCAGGCCGCCATCCAGGTGATCAATGAAAGCAAGGAGTTCAACCCCAGGATCTTGGAGTACGTCGATAAGGTGACCCCGGCCGCCGTGGGCAGCGACTACCACATCATTTCCGTGTTTGGCTCCCAGCTGACGGGTAAGTCGACGTTGCTCAATCGCTTGTTTCACACTGATTTCGATACCATGGACGATTCTCAGGGCCGGGCCCAGACGACTAAGGGGATCTGGATGGCGTACTCGCCCGCCATCACCTCCACCAACGCTAAGCTGAAAAATAACGACAACATCTTCGTCATGGACGTCGAAGGTACCGACGGCCGTGAACGTGGTGAAGATCAAGACTTTGAACGTAAGGCGGCGTTGTTTGCGTTGTCAACCTCCGAAATTTTGATCGTCAATATCTGGGAACACCAGGTGGGTCTCTACCAAGGGGCCAACATGGGGTTGCTCAAGACGGTATTCCAAGTAAACCTCCTGCTTTTCGGTAAGGCCAAGCTCAGCCAGGACGCCAATAAGGACCACAGAGTGTTGCTTTTGTTTGTCATTCGTGATTTCATCGGCAACACTCCCTTAGAGATTACTGCGGAGCAATTGCGGGTAGACTTGATCAAGATGTGGGACACCATGGACAAACCTGCTGAGTTGGCCCACCTTCGCTTTGACGACTTCTTTGATTTGGACTTCCACGCCATCCACCACAAGATCTTACAACCCGAAGATTTCAAGCATGACATTGCCTTGCTTGGGGACAGATTGACCGCCCCTAAATCGTTGTTCAAGCCGCAGTACCACCACAATATCCCCATTGACGGGTGGACGATGTACGCTGAAAACTGCTGGAAGCAAATCGACTCCAATAAAGACTTGGACTTGCCCACCCAACAGATTCTTGTTGCCAAGTTTAAGTGTGATGAGATTGCTACGTCTGTGTTCAACAACTTTGCGAAGAAGTTTGAAGCGGTAGTCACCGAAAACCCTCCCTCAGCTGACACTGATTTGGAGAACTTGGGCAGATACATGCAAGATTTGAAGGAGGAAGTTTTGCAAGAGTACGACGAAGATGCTCTGCGCTACAACCCTACCGAATACAAGTTGCGCCGTGATTTGTTAGAGGAGGAGCTTCACTACAAATTCCAATCGGTGTTCGACGCCCACGTCACCTATGCCTGCAGAGCCCTCTTGGAAAAGTACGCTGCTCTGTTGAAATCTCTTAAGGGCAAGGACTTTGCTAACCAGCTGCAACTCCACAATGAACAACTTGACAGACAATTTGCTGAGCTTGCTTCACACTTGCTGTTGGGTGGCGCATTGGAAGTTGCTCACTTGAAGGCTCAACTTCAAGAGGAAGCCGAAGTGATTTTCAAGAAGCAACAAGCTCACGAATTGACCACCCTTGTCAATAAGGGCGCCAAGCGGTTGGGCAACGCTATCAGCAAGTACATGGAAGGGGAGTTGTTCGAAGCTGCACATGGCGAAGAGGACGACAATGCTTGGGAATTGATCGAGACTGAATTTAAGAAATTGCAAAAGCTATTCTTGGAAAAGTATCAGAAGGGGGACAAGATCGACTTTGGCTTGGCCACCTCGGATGCCCAGAATGCGGAAGCTGTTGAACGGTTTAAGTTTAAGGCGTGGGACGCCTGGTATCAAGCCACCCACAAGCTCATTACCAGAGAGAGTGTCTTGGCTGTTCTCAAGGATCGGTTTGAAGGTCAGTTCAGATATGATGAGCATGGGAAGCCTCGGTTGTACCAGAACACTTCCCAACTTGAGATTTCATTCGACAGATCCAAAGCTTACGCTTTAGCTGTTCTTCCCCTTGTTTGCGTGGCTTGTCGTTCCGACGGCAGTGAAATCACTCCGCTGGTTGACATCTTCGACCCTCGTGTTCGTGCTAAATATGCGCATGACTCGTTGGTTGACGAAGAAGACCTGGACTCCGAAAATGAGACTTCCTTTGCCCAAATCCTCGATGACAAGGACCAAGATATTGTCATCAAGAAGTTCAAGAAAGAGATTGACGCTCAATTTATTGAAACGAAGCGACTGATCATCCAACATATCACCCAAATTCCCTACTACATTTACATTATCATTTTACTTTTGGGCTGGAACGAGTTCATGGCGGTGTTGCGCAACCCCTTGTTGTTTTCCTTACTACTTATCTTTGGCGGGGCGGTGTATGCATTGTACACGATGAATATGTTGACTCCTGCAATCTCGGTGGCCCAGCGCTTGTCTGATGAGGCCATCCAAATCGGCAAGGAGAAGTTGAGAGAACTCTTGATTGACGATAGCATGACTCAAGGCAGACAGATCCGCAAGGCTGGAGGCGCCGCTGCCAGAGAAACCCGGGCTGAGGTCGTCGTCAACGATAGCGACGAAGGCGAAGCCATTGAGATGCAAGAACTATAAGCTAGCTCACCGTTCTTTCTTTAGTTCACCCATATTTCAGTAACCTTTAATTGATCAATTTTCGACGTTTTGTAACCTTAATTTCCTCTTCACCTGCGAGCGATTTCACACCAGTGTCGACGTTATAAACCTTAGAATAATATTTTGGTTGGGGATCAAGGGGAGGCTCAATTTTTAGTTGGTCAATCAATGGGTCTCGACTCGGTGGATTCCGTTTGAATTTGTCGTTTGTAGCAATATTTGGGTAGTATGACGGTACTTTCCCTAATGGGTTGAGTTCCGGGTTATAGTAGATCAGTTTATTACCCCGCAATGTCGTTGACTTTTCGAGGTTACGCACCAACGGAGCCATCTTCTCCTTGTGCAACCCATGCTTGATGATATAGTCCCAAGTCTCTTTCACTTGAGTATACCTGGCTTTATCCTTATCACTCACGGGCGGGGTTGTCTGCCATCGCTGTATTTGGTGATATAACTTTACAGGATCAGCCTTCAACGCCCTCTCATTCTGTAGCTGTCTCTTTTGCCGTTGCTGGATTTTCAGCTGCCGCTGTCGTTCTTGTTTCCGTATATCATCAGTAAGACTATATGGTCGACTCATTGCGACTGTTGGCGACCCGCGCTCACATTTGACCAACTTCAAGCCATATGTCCAAGGAGAACTCCCAGATACCCTACGAGTCGTTGGAATCAATACGACATCGATTGAACCAAGTCTACGTCTCGCTTCGAAAGCTTGCTGATCAAATACGGTACCAACCAACGGGCAAAATCAGACTCCCCAACTATGCCCATTTTGTTAACCAATTTCAAATCCTTATCACCCAGCTCAACTCCATCACATCTACCCTTAATAACAATGCTGAGGTGTTATCGTCGACCAATGTGTACCCGCTCCCACTGTTCCCCACGTCACAGCACGAGGGGTTGTTGACAACGTTGTTGCGGAAGAAGGTGTTGCCAGATGTGGACGAGTGGATGGAAGAAGCGAGAAAGTGTCCCGAGGGAGTTACCGATCAGACGGCCGAATGGTACGCTACAAAGCTTCTTGAACTCAGAGATGATGCGTTGTTTTTCGGGTTCGACACTCAGGAGGAGCTCGACGAACGGGAAACACCCAAGGGACAACAACGAGTGGAGGAAGCGAAGCAGAAGGAGAAAGCGAAGGCCGAGGCGGAGGCGAAGATCACTAATGGTAAAACCGCCATGTCCCCTGACGATACCCTCAAATTCATGTGCACTGGACTCATTGAATGATGCATTATACTATATAATGAAGAAGACACCGACCATGGTATCCACTTATGAAATCTTACTAGTTCTGTTCACGAAGACGTCCGCCTTCCAACGGGGTCTTGGTACTCAATGCCTTGTTCAATGAATTATAGGCGTGGGAGTACGCTCGGTAGCAGTCGATGAGTAAACAGTATTTACGTTCTCGCACCTCTTCACCGTCATCCTCGGTGTTCACCGCAACCTCCACCTGGTTATAATCGCAGCCATCGATGAGCTGGTAGTCGGGGGTGAACTTCTGGTTATACGTATCGATAAGAAGATCAACCGTGCTAGCGAAATGCTTAGTCTGTCGTTTCAAGGCATCGAACTCCTCGGCGGCCCAAAGGCTTTGTTCCTCAGCGACAATGACGGCCGATTGTGGAAACAACGTGATTATGAATACGAGGAAATCCTTGAACAAGATCAGCAACCACGTCGCAAAACGGTACCACACATTGCGGTCTCTGTTGATAATGAGCTCAAAGTCGTACGGACGACGAACCACCATGCGGACAATCTCTGTTCGGATCAGAGTACATGTCTGCTGAGTGGTCCGCAGGATTAGACGAACCGTACGGGCTACATATTGGATCGCTCGCTCGTAGCTTGTACGGCGAGCCTGGGGACGTTCAGGAAGAAGGCTTTCCAAGAAATCAGCGACATTTTCACCGGCTACGAAGACGGCAAAGAATGAGGCAGCCACAGTCGCAATGCCCGCCGCATAGTACCAGAATCGCAGGAACATGCTGATTCCAAACATGTTGGCGAAAATCAAGATGCCAAGACCGTACATGAAGACGCGTTCGATGATGGGACCAGCCACCTCGCTTGCTCTTCGAGCAAACTCAGAAAATGCCTGAAGAGAAATCCAGAAACCACCATCATTTGCCGCCTCAGGTGCGTTGGGTTCGCCGTGGTTGTCATCATGATGGTAGTGCTGGTTCGGCGATTCAAACAAACTGACCTTGACATGTTGTAGAAGTGTCTCACCATCCGATCCACGGAATGCAGCGTGCACTTTCAGAGCACCGCTGGGAGACAAAAGCAAGTATGGTGCTCCAGGGGACGTCTCGATGATAATAGCTTGAGATTCGTTGAGTTCAACCTCCTTTACTTCACCCTCGTATTCGAGACTGATTCTGTAGAACGTAGACGAAAGTTCGTCTTGCGGCATGAGTCTTACCGTATCACCATAGCGCACTTGTTCGAACAGTTTCCCCGTCAAGTCCATAGTTTTGTCATCAACTACAACTCTGAGGGGTTCAATGGGCACGAACTTCTCGCTGTCGTCGCGTTGTGAGGTCTGCACGGCTAATTTGATGGGCACATTGGGTGGGTTTCGACTGAAATATTGATATACAGGCTGGTGGTCGAAATCATCATGGTACTCCAAAAAGTCTACCAGTTCAACTCCCAAAACTTGGCGCATGGCAGCCTTCATCTCCACCACAGTTTTGTCGGCGGCGATGGTGAACAAGATGGGGGGGTCTCTGGCGTTAGTGAAAATCTCAAAGGTGAAGTCAGGACCCACCTCTGCACGTAATATATCGAAGAAGGCTCCGCTCAATGGAGCGACATCAAGCCCCACGACGTCTGATAATTCAATATCGTGGTCGGTGACCCTGCGACCATTATAACTCCACGCCACATTGGCCAAACCAAAATCGCGCTTGATCTCCGCCATAGGGGTGTCGAGAGGAAACACTTGCCCCGGTACAATCTTATTTTCCTGGCACACACACACAAACGTGTCAGGAGCAGCGGCAAATGTGTTTAAGCCATCGTCGCGGTAGCGGAAGGAGAATCCCTGGGCAAATCCCGCGTGGTTATCGATGATATCACCAATCTGCCATTCGTCGTCCAAATTGTGCTGTTTGTATTCGATCCAGAAGACGCTGGTGCTGACGTGTTGGCGTATAGCGTTCACGAGGTGGAGCACGGTGTGTTCTCGGGTTATTCGCACCAGGAGCTCGCGGCGCTTTCTGTTGTCGGTAGCGTCGTCAATATCGATCAAACGGACGACCACCAATACTGGAGTATCCATATTGGATGGATGTTGTAGGTGCTTCCAGGAGAAAGGTATGTGTGGTGGCTATTTGCTCACGTGCAGCTTCACCCGCGAAACGTAAGCGACCGCGAAGACGATTAAACGGTGGCGAGTGAAAGTGGAAAGTAGGAGTATTGATATATTCTAAAATTAAAAAGAAGTCCAGTATAATTGAATAATTGAGTAACTGTGTAATGATCAAGTCTCAAGAGAATTCAATCGATTGATTGATCTGTATGAAAACGGTCGTTAATTCATGTAAATAGTGTAGATATAATCTACAATGAATTGTTCAAAACGTAATGATATACACCTCCCCTCAACTGGATAAGTTACATACAATCTCCCAATAGTTCTGGACTAGCTTTAAATTATCTATTAGCTGAGTCCCATCGTTTGACGCTTCTGTGCAGTGCCTCATAGCGCGGATCGACTCAATCGTACTGTCTACCTTGAACCGCCATGAGTAAGGAAGAGTTCGAAAAGGTGTCGATGGAGTTCTCCCGGCTCCAGAACCAGATGAATGAACTCATTGGAGCCCGCAGTCAGTTGGAGACCCAGTTCCAGGAGAACAAGATCGTCCTTGACGAGTTCGAATTGTTAGATGACTCGGCGAAGATCTACAAGTTGACCGGCCCGGTGTTGTTGCCTCAGGAATACAGTGAGGCCAAGATGAATGTGGAGAAGCGGATTGACTTTATCAAGGGGGAGATTACTCGGGTGGAGGACAAAATCAAGCTGTCGGAGCTGGACATGGCCGCCGCCAGAGAGAAGTTGCTTGCCATCAGATCCCAATTAATGTGACGTTTCTATTTCTATGTACACTAGCCACGCATGAGCTGCGATTTAATCAAGTTAAAAGCACTGATCCCGTTGAACAACGCCCACTCTTCGACGTTGTTGTAGGCCGCCCCCATCTCCTTCAACAGGGCGATCTTATCGGCGACGAAGGCGTCGACGTTGCCGGGGTTCTGGATCTGGTACAACTCCAGCAGCACGTAGATGCTCGACAACCCCATCCGCTTGGTGTACCAGGCAAAGTCGTTCGACGCGTCCCCGGCGTAGAACGCGATGTCGTCGCTGAGGTTGTGGAGTTCCGCCGCCGACTCGGGCATGTTGTAAGGCAACGCCAACAACGCCACAAGCTCTTTAAGGTCGATCTGGTTGTTGTAGGACAATCTCGTTTGCATCAAGTTGGTGGCCCGGGCGTACTCGTCGGTTATCTGGTGCAACGGCGACTCGGGCGCTATGGCGTACTTCTCGAGGTTAGCCCGCTGGGTCTTGAGCCAGTGGATGGGGAGGTCGAAATCTTTCACGATGGACCCGGTGGCATCAGAGTAGTTGAGGTGGCGGGTGGCGGCGGTGATGCACTCGCGAGTGAACCCGTAAGTAGGGACGAGCTTGAGCGCCTCGTCGAGGATGACCGTTTGCGGGTTGTTGGCGATGATGGGGTTGGGGTGGTCAATGGCGTGGTACGCCCGTACGCCGCGGAGGCGTAATGTTCTCAACATCGGTTGGTTATTGGTGGGGGGTGGACCAATAGATAGGCGATAGATACTATTGATGCGGATTGAGAAAATCACCTCCGTAACTCAAACAAACCAACCCCTCGAAATAAGGGAAATTCAAGAGATATTTGTTCTTAAACGTCGATAAATCAAATTAACTGAATTCATAATTCAATTTAGTTGAAAATACTAACTATGAAAGTCGTTTAACTATTGGTCAGAGGGAAAGCTAGCAGTACACCGAAACCAATAGAAATACCATTTACGCGAGTTAACAAATAAATTTCATAAGTCTCGTTCAAACTCTACTGTTTTCCTTTGTACGTTGAGTCCAGATTTAAATCGTCATATTTGCCATCGCCTGCACCTAAGATCGCCCCTCAGCGTTATACCTTCAGACTAGTATGCTTGTAAGTACCATATACCCAATGTTCTCCCAATAGCTCCGAATACTAATGTCAGATCAAACCCATTGAACCTCCTGGGGCTCGTCACGAACTAGATGAGCGGGTGAATGACCCGATTGAACCTACTGTTGTCATCAATATCCTGGGTACCCTCACTGCCAAACCATTACTTGTGATCCCGTCTACGGTGAAGATCTTAGCTGAAATTGATAAAGCCCAACCCATTGGCAACATTGAGATCGTCTATCCTACACCAGAATCAAAAACTAGCAAAAATAACGACGGCGACGAGGAAGAGGAAGACTATGATGAGGATGCCCAGTTATACAAGGCGATGGCGGCCCGGGCGTCGGCACCAACCAAGATCTCGATATTGGAACACGCTACGTACTTGCTGATAGTGATTTCTCCGTTGGCAAACCCCGTGGAGTACAATTTGATCGCTCAGAAGATTGCTGACACTTTCACTACCACCAAGGTGATTTGTGTTACTCCCTGTGCTATGGACCATACGGTGGCGTGGCTCGGTACTCCCGTTAAGGGGCTTCGACAACTTGTACCTCCGGCCTCGATCACCGGGATTGGCGCTGCGTTGGCTCTGAGAGTAAAGAACATTACCATCTTAGCCGTCAATGGTGAGGGTCCCCCGGCGTTTGAGCGGGTTCTCCCTGATGCCGTGGTTGACGTCAGTCACTACCTCCAAAGTTTAGTCCCCATCGACGCTGATTACCCCAAAAAAGTGTCTACTGCCATCCGCAAAATCACCGACTCCATGTACCTTTAAGCCGCAAGCAAACCACCGAATACAGCTAACACAGCTAATTGAGTCCACAAATCTATTGTGGATCTAAGCTCAAAGTGTCACCGGCTACAATTAGAGAAAAGTGGACCTACAATTGACGAGCAAAACTAGAGAACCACCCAATTACCGTAGTATAACCTACAATAGCTAAATCAATAACTCGTTTAGGTTATATCCGCCAAACTATGTAGCATGATATCAATATGGTCTATTTGCAGGCGCTCGGTGGCACATGCCGAAGGCACTCCCATTGTCTCTACGCTGTATGTGATCGACACCGATTTGACTGTTTTTTTCGGGGGCCATCCCGGTCACACATCCGAGGGGCGAACTTAAGAGTAAGTGCATGAGATTCATATGAATCCAGACACTGGCGCCCGCCGCCCGTCACGTAGGACCGTATTAGGGGTTACGATGCTGCCCCCCACCACAAAAATGCCCGGTGGCTCTTTACCTGCCGCGCGAGGGCACTATAACCCTCACCTAAGCTCGCTGTCGGCAGGGGCTTTGCGAGGGCAAGGCTGACCACAGGCGGAACCAGCATGATATGCAAGCAGATGAAGATGGTGCAGCAGTGGTATAGCCCGCCGGTGATTGGCCGTAACGGCACCGTAGCCTCGGTAGCTTCAGCCCGTACTTAGTAGTGTCCTCATTTTGCCAGTTCTAGTGGTTCTTTGGTGGCTATGGTGTTGGATTTGTCAGCTGTTCCCGCCCTCGGTGGCCAGTGTCGGGGAGTGCACACAGCGCCGGCGCCGTTCACTGCCGGCTCACCTAAATTCGCACCTCACCCCCGCCAATCCAGCAGCCGATCCCTGGTCGATTCCCCGCCACTCGCCCGCCCCCGGTTACCTTTCAGCACCCCAGTTCGCGGGCGTATCGTTTCCACGCTGACTACTGACATGAATTCGCCCGGGGCGATGGCCTCGCCCGACCCGATGATGGCGGCGCTGACGCTGTCGCTGATGGCGATGCCGACGCTGGCCGCCGAAGGCGACTCCCCCAACTACTCGTCACGGTCGAAACAGACCCGCCGCCTGGTCGCCTGCAAAAGCTGCCACTCCCTCAAAGTGAAATGTACTCCGGCCAACCCCGACGACCCCGCGGGACCGTGTTTGCGCTGCCTCAACGCCAACCGTACTTGCGAGATCGACTTGACGCAAACCCGCAAGCGCCGCCGCAAGGAGCCCGGCGTGCTCACCCCCGAGTTGAAGGGGACCACTGACGCCGAAACCATCGCCAAGTTGCAGAAGAAGGTCGACCAGTTGGAGCGGTTGTTGGCGCGCAAACAGCCACAAAAGCCCGTCGACCTGCCCGACGGCCTGGTCGACCTGCCGCCGTTCGTGTCCAAAAACGACTTGGAGCGCGAGATCCTGATCCTCGTCGACTCGCTGAGCAAGTTGCTGGACTTGACCAACTCGCTCAAGGACATCGCCCTGCGCCGCACCCAGTTGCTCACCCAGACGAGGATTAAGGACATTGTCAGTGCTGGCCACATCACCGAGGCGGAGGCGGCAGAAAGACTACACCTCTACCGCACCCGCATTTACCAGCAGCACCCGTTTGTCGAGATCCCCGCCAACTACGGCGTCACCGAGATGCGCCGCGAGTTGCCGTTTCTTTTAAACCTGATCGTCAGTATCACTAACCCTATTGCGGGGCTCGAGCTCTCGCAAGATAAGGCGTTGATCTACGATAACTTCGCCGTGGAGACGTTGGCGCTCGAAGTGTTGGCGGTAGGGTCAAAGCTGATCCAGCTCATCCAGTCGTGCTTGCTTCTTTGTCTCTGGTATAACTCGCCAGAATTGTTCAGACAGCGGCGCTACCAGTTGCTCAACTCGTTATCGGTGCTGATGTTACACGATTTGGGTATTGTCAGCCGCCCCAACTATTACTATACGGACCAGGGGGGACCGCTATCTACGAATTCCTACCATAGCGTCAACGAGGTGTCTCAAGACTATCGAGCAATGGTGTTGGTATTGTATTTCAGCACTGTGAGCATCTGTCTTATTCTCCGCCGGTCGATCTACGTCAAGTGGACCCCTTACGTTGAGGAGTGTTGTCTGATACTCGAACGACTGACTGAGAAGCGCTGGTACAATTTGGCGGTGTTTTCCAGATTATCTAACGCGCTTGACAAAATCCATCATATCGTCCACGCGCTGGAGATCCTGGAAAGACGCAACTCGTCGTCGCTGTTTGTGATCCACGAGCTCCAAAAACTGCTTTCCATCATTCGCAACAAGATCTCCCACGACGACCACCGCACTTTAGCATACTACTTCTCGGTAGAAGCATATTTGCACGAGCCCAACTTGGGTCAAATATTTGATGGTGAGGACCAGGAAAACGCCCGCTTGACCACCAACTCCATCCGCGCCATCTCCAACTGCACCAACTCCTGTTTGAATGCTCTTGACGAGTTCTGCAAGTTGCAGCCCCAGGAGGTGGTCACCATCCCCTTTTTCTACGCCCTGCGGATTATTTACACCGCCGGCATGCTCTTGCGGCTTCGGTTCTTGATTTTATCGGTGTCGTCGTTGATTGAAAAGGACTTGGTCCCGCAAAAGGCGATCTTCGCCATCCAAAATGTAAATAGGTTGGTTGACGCGTCGCTGCTGCTCTCAAACCACAACTACTTCTTGAGAAAGACAAGATTGGTGCTCCAGCTTTTCATCCAAACATACACCAGCCAGGTCCAGGAACTTCTCCGCAAAAACGGTGCTACCCCTCAAAACTTAAAACCCCAATTATACAGCCGCACCGAACTCTCAGAGATGAGCCGGTTGGGTCAACTATACACCAGCGGTAAGGAGATTGAAAATAATGTGCTTACTAATGAAAACGGCCAAGTGGGCAACCAACCGCTTGAAATACTACTGTACGCCGCTGGAGTACAACGTGACAAGGAACTGCAACCACCACCGCCACCACCGCAACAACGAACACAACAGCAACAACAACCACTGCCCGCGCCCCGGGTGCCCACAGCTGGTTCATCGAGTATTCCTCCGGCGCTTGCCTCCAACCCGGCAATGATGGCCCGGGCCAACGCCATCAACGCCGCCAACTCGCTGCCGACGCAGATGGGGGCAAAGTACCCCATGAACAACATGGCTAACCCGTCACGCAACAACTCCATGATCAGTGACACGTTGCCCGAGCAACTCGAGAACCTGTACCTTGCCCTTAATGACGAATTCTGGACAGATTTGTTGAGTCAGGACTCAGATAAAGTCAATTTCAGCAATAATTTCAACCCGGGTACAGGGCTGGAGGAAGTATTTTTTATGAGCTAGACCACGGTAATTATTGGAGTATATATGTATAATTATAATATTTGAATAAGTGATGAAGGAAAGAGAGTGAAGTTTGGCAAACATTCAATATTAAATAAGAACTACTCATAGAGTATGATCCCAAAGTGGTTTTGCAGCTCATCTTAGTCATCAGAGACATTCATTCTACATCTCTATTTTTAGCGTTATCTTATTTGATGCGTTCCCCACACTTACTGTAATGTCAATTTTGCATCGCTTAGGTCAATGGGCATTATTTTCCGAAAATTAAGTGTATAATCTCTATATCTATCAAACTCTCACGTAGTGCAATAGTTGGTCCTTGAAAGTAGCCACCAAAGGCTCCACTTCCTCTTTGTTCTTGTGATCACAATAAGTCCACACAAAATTCAACCCGCCAGTGGACGTCAGCACCACGTTGATCATGAAATCAGCAGAACCAGCCATGACGTCCTGGAAAAACACCATATCGGTTATCTCCAGCGATTCCACATAGCCCAAGTTGGATATCTTTACCGTATCAGCCTTTGGCTTACCGAGAATGGAATCGAAAAAAGGGTCAGCATCTTTGTCAGTAGTGTAGAAATCTACCCAACCTTGCATACATTGCATAAGCAACGGGTTTTTGGCATCTGAGCGTAAGTTCTGATGGGCCAGCCTCACACGGTCCCAAGAGAAGCCGTCCAGTCCCCGGTACCATTCGCGTATACCAAGACTGGCTTGTACTGAGATGATGTAAGGCTCTTGAAACTCTTCAGGCATAAAATGGCGCATCGACATGGCAGCACAGTGGCTTTGGTATTTGTTTCCACTCAATTTGGACAAAACGATGGCGATCACTGCTTCGACAAACACGGTAAGCGACACTTTTTCCTTACGACAACGGGCCAATACTTCACTGAGCTCTTCCGCCGATAAGTGGATGTGTTTAAATGCCAACGAATAAGGGTATTCCGCGAGTAATCTGCCGTCCCATTTCTCACCATCACTAGGACACTCACGCTGGGTGGTCATCGCATCGCCAGGTTTAGGGTAAGGCACAATCTCATCGATAGGCGGTGGGAAAGTGCCGTGAGGATTGGCAGGATCGAAAACAATCGAGTCGGGAGTGACAAAACTATTTTTGGGAGCCGACAGTAATTGCAGAGCGAAGTACTCGAAGAAATACCGGCCAGCCATACCGTCAACGATCGTGTGTTCAAACATCCCCACGAGCACATGGTCTCCCAATAATACTAATCTCATCAACGGGGTGCCATCGTAGATTGACCAGTGGTGCTGATTAGTTCGTTTCATGAATAGTTCAGACACCACCCCATTTTCAAGCCATTCGTCGGGTTCCAAGATCTCCAAGATATCCTTTAAGGAAATTTTGAGCGGCTGATAATAATACTTACCCTCATCGTCCTTAGCGAGATTTGACGCCAATATCGGGTACGTAGTAAGCGTGCGATGAAGGGCAAGCCATACCCGTTCCAAAGTGAGCTGAGAACGGAAAGTCGCCTGAATATAGAATCCTCGATGCTTATGGTTTTCACCCCGCTTCCGGTAGAACTCCTCGTAGGGAGAGAGGTATCTACGGGATGGGCCCATATGATGTACACTGTCACTGTGCGAAATCAGGGTCTAAGCGAATGACAAATACCTTCTCGAAATGAGTACAGTTCCGTTGAACCGATGACACGCTCAATATACCCGACTACCGAAAGCATACGATAATCATTTTCTTTTGATATGACGTGCCCAACGGATTTTCGGTGGTGGTGGCAATTATAGTGGCTGATGAGCCAGGCTGAGATCAGTCACAATGCGGGGTTTGGGAGGCGGCACTGTGTGCAGTACCGCAAGATCACACTCATAGAAGGCGCCAGAATAAGTAAACCTTATCTATAAGTTGTGCTAATATGCCCGTGTTCAGTGAGTATTTCATTACATACCGAAAAATATGACTAAAGCTAACGAGTCAGTACCCGCACTGGTTAAGGTGGCGATGATGGTGGGGGCGGTGGCAGGGACCTCTCTTGCCGTGTACAACAACCGAGATCGGATCCTTGAAACGGCAGAACAGCTCTTGGAGCTCGGGGCTCAGTACTGTCGGGAGAAGTTGGAAGAGTCACGCCAACAGCGGATGGCGGCAGTCCCCATGGAGGTCTCTGACGAGTTCCATGCCGCCGACGAAAAGGACGTCAAGGCGCGTACGCTGGCGACGGACTACGACGACGACTTTGACGAGCCGTCGACTCCTGATCCTCTGGACGCGGAGATCTACGACGACGCGTTGGACTTGGACTAGGCATTATCGGAATACTTTGGGATAGGACTAAGGGAGGAGACTGTATATGGTTTATTATGATTGTTTATATTAGTATATTAGGATACCACCGCCAACACGATGATGAGAACAATAATCAGGAGCACCACTAAGAAAATACAGCTCCACTTCGACCTCCGCCTTTGGTACTCGTTGGCCTTGACGAGAGCACGATCAGCCTGCTGAGCGTTGTCGTTCAATTGTTGGACGTTGTCTTCGATGGTGTCGAGCTGGTCGCCCTGCTGGTGTACCAACTGGCCCAAGTCTTTGAATATCAGGTTAATTTCCTGGATACCTTGAGCCACCTGTTCGATCTCCTGGTTGCGCTCTTCAGTGAGAAGTATATGGTACTGTAAGTCGGTATCGTTGATGGTATTTTGTTGCTCGTGTACTTGTAGTTGTTCCTGGTTATCGCTGGCTCCAGCAGAAGTTTTGTTTTCATCTAATAAGGGTGTCGTTTCCACGGGGGCCTTAATCGGGATAGTCTTCTTCTTATCCGTATACACCCGCACCCCATTACTGAATTGGCGGTGTAAATCATGGAACTCGTTAACAAGGCGTTCCTTACGCACCATTTGTCGATTCAGCACCTCGAACTGGCCGTTATTAGAGGTAATGACCATATTGAGGTTGGCAAGAAGCTTCGATATCGCCAGCTCTAGCCCCGTCACTTGCGACACCAAGGCATCAGTCAGCGACCGCAATTGTTCGCTGTCTCGACGGGTGCCCACTTGTTTTCGGTTGGTTTCAAATTGAGATACTAATTCGGAAAACACCTGGAGTTGCTTCAGCGTCTTGTTTATAATCTGGTCGAGCTCGGCGTTCTCTCCCGACACTGGAGCCGACTCTTCTTCAATCACCGGTTGTTTCCCCACGGGCTGCTGTGCCTCCAAGTCAAGATTGGCAAACGACATGGCGGGTGGGTGCTTTCAATTGTGGCGCACGGTATATAGTGGTTGCGCCAGATGGGAGGCCGCTGCGTGAGCGATAGGGCAACCGCCGTTAGCCCAGTGCGATGACGTCACGAGATTAGGCGAAGCTAAACTTCAAGACTGAGATTACAGACACTAACAAATTGAATTGAATTAAAAAGACTTCGATATGGTTTAGGAATTGGCATTTATCCATCAGTGCAATGCTCAGCTCTTGGGGATTGTTCATCATCATGTAGTATGATATTTAGGCGCAAATTCCATAATTATTCAACCTTATCGGACCTAATTTAATACTATACAGTTACAATACACTTCCATGATGACTATATAGTAAGTCATTAGTTTCTCGAACCTTCCAGGTGCTGTTAATTGCCGTCACTGCTAGTGGCGGGCTGAGGGGTGACAGGAATATATACAGTACGCGCCCGCGTCAAGCGAATTAATGAGACGCGTCTAGATTCAGAAAAACTTGAATACATCCCCATGGCCTCCCGAGCGGCAAAACTCGAGCAACTCCGCCGACTCAAAAAGGCTCGAAGTGGTGTGCTTTCTGATAGCGAAGACGACAATGACGGGGTGATTTACGATGAAGTCGACGAGTCCACATACCGTGATCATAAGCGAAAACAGATGATGGAGGACGATTTCGTGGTTGATGACGACGGCGAGGGCTACGTCGATACCGGTGCCGACGAGTGGGATGATGCCACGCGTCCCAATTACGATTCTGATGACGAAGACAAACCCCAGCAGCAACGCAAGCGTAAAAAGGCGACGAAAGTGGCGAAATCGTCATCCCACATTTCCAACTTCTTCAAGCCTCTGGCAGCCACCGCTGCTGCCGCCCGTCCCCAGGCTAAAGTGGACGCTAACATTGATGACATTTTAAATGATTTTGGTGGAGCCGCTCCCAAACGAATGAAGAAGGACGCGTTTACCATCTCCAAGCAGAAACTGCAACTGCCGACCCCACAAGCGAAATCGCTGCTGTTTTTCTCAATGAAGAAGAGGAAGACTCAACAGGTGGTCACTGATGATTTTGATGATGACTCTGCTATGGATGTTGACGATGTCGGGGTTGAAGAAGACACTCCGCCTCTGGAGCCTATGGTGGCAGAGGAGGAAGAAACCAAACCCATGCCTCTGTCGCCAGTTAAAGTGCTGTCACCTCCTGCAACGCAGGAATCAGAATCGGACTCGGACGATGACATCGTCGTCGTTCGTCCTCGAGCTGCTGCCGTTGCTCCCCGACCGAAAATGTCAACCATCTCCTCAATCAAGGCGAACGTGCTCCAGCTGTCACCGATCCGGGGATCTACAGAAGCAGTTGGCAACAAGCCTAAAGTGCTGCAAAACGCGGTGACCCAGGACGGCAGCTTCAAAATGTTCTGGATTGATTATTCCGTTGCTGATAACACCCTCTTGTTATATGGCAAGATCCTCACCAATGAAGGTAAGCTTGTGAGTGGGGTTGTTCAAGTCAATGATATTCACCGCGAATTATACTTCTTGCCGAAAGAGGGCTACGACGTGAAAGAAGTCTACGAAGATGTGGTGCCTACATTGCAACAAACTTTCGAATTGTCTATGATCAAAGCGAAACCAGAAACCATGAAGTATGCATTTGAAATCCCTGACATACCCCAAGAAACTGAATATCTCAAGGTGTTGTTGCCCTTCAAATTGAAGAACAACTACTACAGACAACTTCCCATTGAGCCGAGCGGCAGAACTTATAGCCATGTGTTTGGCAAATCGGCTGATATTTTTGAGGAATTCATTTTGCAGCGGAATATTATGGGACCGTGTTGGTTAGAAATCAAAGGTGGTGACTTCAATGCCTTGCAAAACAGTTCCCACTGTCAACTCGAAGTGGCTTTGTCTTCGCCTAAATTGGTCACTCCGATTACCAATAATGCTCCACCTGCTCCTCCTTTGAAGCTCATGTCTCTTTCAGTGCAAACGAAGCTTGATGAGAAATCGAATAATCAAGAAATTATTGCTGTGACAATGTCAACATACAAGGATGTCTCGCCTGAGGCTCACGATAATTTGTTAACTCCTTCTGAAGTGGTTACGTTGTGTCGACCAGTGGATTCTCAAGTAATTCTCAAAGATCTTGAGGCTCGGGCCAAGAAAACGAAATTCAACTTGAGAACATTCCCCAATGAAAAGGCTTTACTTAATGTCATGGTAGCTTTAATCAAGAATGCCGACCCTGATGTTTTCATTGGTTACAACTTGCTCCAAGAAATCATCGAAGTCTTGACGCATAGATTGCGCCATCACAATGTCACCTTATGGTCGGCTTTGGGTCGACGTAATCGGAGACTGTGGCCTCAACGCTTTGGCGGGAATTCGAAGTCCACCCTCATGCAAACTACGGAAGTGTTTGCCGGTCGTTTATTGTGTGATATCGCTGGTGACTTGGGTCGTTCGCTTTCCACGAAATGTACCCTGTGGGAACTTTCAGAAATGTATCGGGTTGTTTGTGGTAAACAATATGCTGGTATGGAAGTCAACTGGGCCAATATGTCAAACCCCGACTACTTCATGACCGTCTTGAAGGAAAACAAGACTCAAGCCGAGATCCTGGCTGAAATTGCTTCCGTCATGCAAATTTTGTCGCTTCTGATGCAACTCACCAATATTGCCGGGAATGCTTGGGAAAAAACTCTCGAAGGTACGCGTTCGGGTCGTAACGAGTCGATTCTTTTGCACGAGTTCCGTCGTAACAACTACATTCTTCCTGATAAAGGTGGTGCTGCTGTTCAACAAGCCCAACAAGCTAGAGTCGACAATGAACCTGATGATGCCACCACTCAGACTCGGAACAAAAAGCCTAAGTTTATTGGGGGTTTAGTTTTCGAACCTGAAAAGGGTTTGCACCAAAACTACACGTTGGTCATGGACTTCAACTCTTTGTACCCTTCGATCATCCAGGAATTCAATATCTGCTTCACTACAGTGGCTCGTGACGACTATAATCGGACTCACGACGAGCAGAATGACATGCCCTCGTATCCTGAGAGAGATCAAAACCCAGGTATTCTTCCCAAGTTGTTGAACACTCTCGTCCTGCGGCGTCGGGAAGTGAAGAAATTGCTTAAAGATCCGAAGTTGACGCCTCAACAGCGAGCCCAATTTGACGTCAAGCAGACTGCGTTGAAGTTGACGGCAAACTCGATGTATGGGTGTCTTGGTTACGTCCAATCTCGGTTCTACGCCAAACCGTTGGCTATGTTGGTTACAAACAAGGGTCGTGAAATTTTGATGGACACGAGACAATTGGCAGAACTGGAAGGCCTTAAAGTGGTTTATGGTGATACCGATTCGGTCATGATCAACTCTGGTTGTGCTAACTACAAAGATGCCGTCAAGATTGGTAACGACTTTAAGGGCAAAGTTAACGAGAAGTACAAGTTATTGGAGATTGATATTGATAACGTGTTCAAACGATTGTTGTTGCATGCCAAGAAGAAGTATGCTGCGATGAATGTCACTTATGACAAGGAGCTGGATACGGAGAACCTTAAGTTGGAAGTTAAGGGGTTGGATTTGGTGCGGCGTGAATACTGTCAGCTTTCTAAAGACGTGTCGACGTTTATCCTTGGAAAGATTCTTGGTGAAGATGATGACCATGAGCAATTGTTACAAACGGTGTACGACTATTTGGAGAACTTGAGTCAAGAAGTTCGTGCCAACAAGATTCGTCCTGATAAGTTCCGGATCAATAAGCAACTTTCAAAGGACCCCGAAAAGTATAATGATGCTAAGAGTCAGCCGCACGTGCAAGTTGGTTTACGCCTTAAGAAACAAGGTAAGGTCATCAAGGCTAACTCGGTGATCAGTTATATTATTACTGCCCCCACTGCTGACAACACCAATTCGACGGAAAACGAGCGGGCTCGAGCGTTTCAAGAGGTGATTTCGAACAAAGAGGCTGGCTACTCTCCTGATCCTAACTACTATCTTGAAAAGCAAATTCTCAACCCTGTGCAGCGGTTGTTGGAAGCAGTTGATGGGGTGGACATTGTTCGCGTGGCAGAATGCCTTGGTCTCGATGGCACTAAGTTTGCCCATCGGGAAGCTGCTCGTCATGCTGCTTACGTCCCGATGGAGGCTAATTTGAAGGATGAGGAAAGATTCCTGCAATGTCTGCATTTTGTTGTCACCTGTACATGTGGTAAGCGTTTCCGCTTTGGTGGTATCCAAAGCTCGCCTGATTACAAAGTCGGTTACAATGGTGTCTCGTGTGCTCTGTGCAACCAATCCATCTCTGGGTATACCTTAGCTGCTCAATTGGAGTACGCAATCCGCCGTCATTTGGCTGCTTATTATGCTGGGTGGTTAAGATGCAATGACGCTCTGTGTAACCACCGCACTCGTCAAATTGGTGTTTACGGTAGACGGTGTCACGGAACCGTTGGGTGCAAAGGGGTCATGCGTTATGAATACACTGACCGGGACCTTTACAACCAACTCTTATATTTCAGCTCGCTTTTCGACGTCGACAAGGCGAAGAAGGGCCAGTTGAAGTCGTTGGACATTCCTGGTGTTGAAGCGTTGCCTCATGGTTCGTTGGAGGCGCTTGCGGAGCAGAATCGTGAGTTATTCACCCGGTGCACGTCGGTGCCGGAAAAGTATTTGAGCAACTGTGGTCGTCGCTACGTCAACATGGGATCGATTTTCAACTTCCTCCAGGTATAATACTTGTAATTTTCATAAACATTCATTTTTCGTTAAAACTCTCTTGTAGTTTCAACACTCTGAAACACCCACCACCCCACGCGCGTCTTACCATGGAAGCGTAAATATATTATGACACGATGATAACAAAAAAAAACACCTCAGTATGTTGAACAGTCACTACGAAATCCTTGGTTTCAACCCGGATAAGCAGTCGCCGCTCGAGGTTGAGTTTCTTGTTCGAGATGCTATGGCAATAATCAATACTGAGGGACTGCTTCGAAAAGCCATACTATTGTTTTGCCATCCAACGGTGAGAAAAGTGGTTCCCGATATTGACTGTTACTGGTCTAACTTAGCTGATAAGTGGCTATTTGAAAATGTTCCTAAAGTCATTGTCAATATGCCGGTCAATCAGTTCAGAATCGTTATCGACTTCATCAAGTCAAAGTTCTCCACCAGCTGGTGCATCTTGGGGTTCCTCATTCTGACGGTTAAGTACGGCAACTCTATTCGTTTCATCAAAAGACTTGCAAAACTTCTTGATGTGGGTATTGTGCATGACAACACTATGCTAAATAGTTGGTTTGGGTTGTCATTATTGGATATGATGGGTCAAAGACTAGGTACTATAGCGGTTCCATCCTGGACACAAATCATCAATGATGGTTCCATTGTGAACGCCGTTGACTGTTCAGCAATTCTGGTTTCCTCTTCAACTAATGAGTTCAATGCAGTGAGAACAGAAAACTCGATGGTAACCTTAACAGTGGGACACTCGATTCAGTTCACCGAAGTCTTGGTCACAAAGTTTGACGATACCGCTTGTTCTGTTGTCGGGTGGGTTATCGGTATGGAATCAGCACAGCTTCAGCAAGGATCACAAATTCATTTGACCATGGACCACGCAAAGGGGTTCGACTTAAGCCGGTCTGCTGTACTCGAACTCACAAACGTGAATGTAAACATCAGCCTTATTGATCGCAACTTTATTCCTAGTTTACTGCAGACGTTGGCTCTCGCAATAGGATATCAACCAGATGGAGTCGTGGAGTCCGGGGTCCCCGTCTTGTCAACACCTCCTTCGAAGACAGCCGACCCCAATACTACTAATGCTTGCGACGCCGATATTTACCCCCACGGCGAAACCCTGTTTTTCGATAGCTCCCCCATCAAAATGCCGTACACTAGGCCGCGGCGACATTTTGATTGTGACGACGAGACTGGTGTCATTGATGATCTAATTGATATCAGAGTCGGAGAAGGCATGCTCAGCCCCCCAAATTCAGCCACGGCGTATTCTAATCTTAGCGATCTTGGTAAACGACGCCACTTATTGGTAAAAGAACTTTACCACCTTCAACAACAGGCTCAAGAAAAAACGTCAGAGCTACAAATCATCGACATCGAAATGCAGAAAGTCATGATGGAGTTGGGGCTAGCTCTCGAAGGGTCTAGGTAGTGAAGATGGCTGGTCAGCATCGTTATAGCCCGTAGGCGTTGACAGGCGTAATTGCAAGTTACGCGAGGTGAAACGAAATTCCAGAAATGTATGAAGAACTGTGTGATTTTGGAGAGTTGACAGAGTCGTCAGAATAATTCGTCTATTCTCGGATTCGTACCTACGTCCGCGTCGTCGGGCAATTTTCCGTGCCACAGCCTTGTAGTCATTAAAACTAGTCTCCGTGATTTCCGATTCTGTGATGTCAGACTTCCGTCATTCAGGTCAGGTTTGTGGCTGGCAGCGAGCCCCCGTTTTAGTCTCACTAAAATCCTATGATTACTTACCAACAGAGGAAGAGACTACAAAGTGATTTTGCCAATTGTCACTTTTCCATTTGCCTGTCATTTAAATGGATTTCCGCGCTGGCTGGCTTGTTTCCATGACACGAAATGAGTGTTCTATTGTCAGGACAAACAATAGGATTCGCGCACCTCCACATTTTGGGGGCGGTGCATACACCCACCCACGTAATTTCAGTTTAGCCGTTTGCAGTTGCCCACGATGCCACGTGAACGGAACCAATTATAGCCTTACGAAACTGGCTTCACCTATGGCTGAGGGGTCCAAGGAGCACTTTGCGATCTTTGTGGCACCGTTATTGACAACTTTTTTAAGTGTCAGTGCCAAAAATACCTCCGTATCACGGTGAGGTTGGCTGTTCCTGACTACGCGGGGCGCGCTCATGTCCATTTCAGTGAAGCGCCACCGCCCACCGCCGCAGTTAGACGATGTCGGTCCGGGCCAGCCCCGGAGGGAACTGGTGAGCTGCGAAGTGTCAGCACCCTATTTGTGACCAACGGTTGCCGACTCTTCGCTTAGTAATGTCTGTTTGGTTCTAGCTCTACTTTGGTAGTAAACTCGAAGCCAGTCATGGCCCCCAGTTTTTTTCCTCACTGTGGTAGTTTCGCAAGCAATAGAAGAACCACCAGTGGTGCGGCTGCATATCGCAGCAACGACGCAGTCGCGTAGACAACTGTGCAGAGTGCATGCACGATTGCCCATTTTTGTGACCAGTATACCGGAGGGGGTCCCCAATTGTAATTGTTAGTATAAATACAACTGAAACGCTCGATAGCCAAATTCAAAACCGAAAACAATCACACACCAATGAAGTACACTGCTTTGCTCGCTGTCGCTGCCGTTGCCGCCGCCGAATTCATCCCCCTCCCTGGCCAGGCCGTGGGCTCTGCCGCCTCTGGCTCTGGTGATGCTTCGCAAGCCGCCACCACTGGCGGCTCCGAATTTGTCCCCCTCCCCGGGCAAGTTCTCGCTGCCGACAACGGCTCGCAATCGTCGTCAGCTGCTCCTTCTCAAGCCCCTGAGAATCACGCCGCCCACTCGTCGATCCACGAGCTGAATGTCGACAACCACGGTGCTGCTGCCCCCACTGGCAACGGCACCGCGGCTGCCCCCTCCGTTAGTGTGGCTGAAAACGCCGGAACTAAGTTGCAAGCCGCTGGTGTCGCTGCCGTGGCTGCCGGTGCGTTGTTGTTGTTGTAGTAGACTTGAAATTTAAAATAGTTTAGAAAGATGTGTTTACGTTGTAATGATTAATTTCGCTATTTGTAGGGAGGCCATCATCCCCACATTGTCCGCGCAAGATTGCTTGGTTCTGATACTCTTTAGGTTGCAACCCAAATGCGTGCGTGCGCCCTTCCCCTATGCCTGCATAAGCAAATGAAACGGCGATCACCAGCGGTCTGTGAGTAGAGCGCACCGCACCAAATAGGGCTGGCGAGGCTAATGGTGAAAATCACCGAGGACAACAAGGGCTTCTACGACGCGGTGTACTCGGTGGTGATGCTCATCCCTAAAGGGAAAGTGACCACCTACGGCCACGTCGCGGAATTGGTCCATCGCCCCGCCAACAGCCGCCAGGTGGGGTCGGCGCTAAAACACTCGCACCTCCTCATCAGCCAGTTGGCGGCGATGGACGGCGACAGTGTCAGCTACTCGTACCAGGGGCTCCCGTGGCAGAGAGTGGTAGGTTCAGGCGGTAAGATATCGCCGCGTAGCGACAGTCACGGTGAGCTTGAACAGGTGACGCGTCTTCGACAGGAAGGCGTCGAGGTGTCTGAGGCTCGCGTCGTCAGTTTGGACCGGTACGGCTGGTTCCCGGATGAGGTGTCGTGGTGAACAGGTAATCGTATACCATTATACATTGTCCAATACGTATATAGTACATTAGTCTAAAGTTTTATCTGATCACAAATTTAACTGGAAAGAGATTGCAGTCTGCGGTAATGTTGCTGATCTTCAGAAGAGCCCCTTTCCGGTTGGCGCTTAGGTTTCCGCCGCGGCTTCCGCTTCAATTGCTGTTGCTGCTGCTGCTCCAACTCCTTTTGCACCCGTTTCGATTCTTGCTCCCACCAGCGGGCAAACTCCTCTTCCTGTTGAATTTCCGCAAGACTCTTTTGCTGTTGAGGGAGGTCTCCATTCTCTAATTTGAGCGTTTGTTCAACCATTACCTCAGCAAGAGTGATGCCATTCAGTTTGGGTGACGAGGACGACGAACTCCCGAGAACCGGCATCGATTGTGTATAGTCATGGGAGATCTTTCTTTTCTCTGTCGACTTCTTCTTTTCGGTTGAAGGTGCTGAGTTCTGCCAGGGATTATTCGAAGATATCGGAGTGGCCTGAGTTATAGGCGAGATAGACTCCTCCAGGTTGAGTCGTTTCCGTTGTTTTTGAGACAACTTGGCAATAGGACCAATCTTGGCTTTGGGCTTGGAACGATCCTTCAATTTCTCCTTGTCAATTGACACCTTGGAGTCGATTTGCGAAGACGACTCGGTGGGTGATGGCGATGCCCACGACTGCAGGAAGGGACTCACCCCCAGTTGTAAAGCGGCAAATGCCAGGGTGGTTTTAGGATCAACCGGAGTCTTGGTGACGGCAATCGAATTCAAATTGAGAGGAACCCTCTTCGTAGCCTTCGGTTTAGCGACGGGAGGTGGTGGGGAGTCTTTGCGAGTGGAATTGGAAGCAATACTGCTTGCAGGCGACACTGTCCCTGACACATTTCTCGACAGCGAATTAGAAGATTCAACAACTGGGTTCGGTGGTTGAGATTTCCCTGACTTAACAGACTTGGCAACTGCCTCTCTAAACTGAGCCACATCACTGCGACTGGCTTTAGAGCCTCGGCTCAGTCCTCTTCTCTTCTTAGGTGGCACATCAATCAATGGCTCAAACGCCAAACAGCCACGAGCATCAGAAATGTAAAGCTCATTGAATGCCTCAGTGTCAGCAACAAACAAGCTCAAGTGTTCCGGGTGTTCTTCCAAAAAGGAGACTGGGGTATTATATTCGCCATCGTCATCGACAAAGTCATGCATTTGACATTTGTCGAAAAGAGCAAAGCACTCCTCCACTTGTTTCAAAACTTGTAAATCCAACTTTTCGAGCTTCTCAACCACTTCAGGTAATGCCAAGTGATGGTAAACAAACCAACAGCAATTGGTGAATATCACTTGAGCATTGATCATGGCAGCATGGACAAGGACATCCATATAGTTGTCGTGATTTATGGCGGTCGTAACCCGTGACTCTGCCCAGCGTTGAAGCTCTGGGAGCATTATCTCATCAGCCACTTCCACCACTTCAAGGAGAATATTGATATCGTCATCATTAAGGAGTTCATCAGCTCTACCGTACAAGTGGTGTATAATAATGGTGGCAGCCTCCATTGATACATCGCTCCAGTCGATCGAATCGACTTTATTCCAACGTGAAGAGAGTGCCGTCTCAAAGTAGGCCAGTCTGGAAGCAAGAATGAAAGAATCAACCACAAGAGCTCCATTCGAGGTTTTGATTTCAAGATCACCACAGTTGTTGATTGGCAAGCCTTTCCCTTTCAAACTTTGAACAGGAAACACTCTTTGAAGGGATTCATATTGTGATTTAAGATCTTTGACTTGAGCAGAAGCTTCCGAGGTTGATTTGCACTCGCTCCAAATGGAGAGGGTCTCATCAGCGTAAATTTGGTGTAGAAGGATCAAAAATGGTTTGTAACTGACTCCTGCCAACTTAGTTCCTTCGGGGAAAGGTGTTCCCTTGATTGCCCCTTCGACAAAGATCTCGTCTGAGTTCAAGTTCAATACTTTAGCTAGCTTAGGGTTGCGAGCTTCAATCAAACGATGATGAACTCCCAACTCAGACCCATCGTCTAACTTCACCGTCCAATCAAAATGCTTATAGTGAAAATTGTTGGAGACTCTCGCTTTGATTGAGTCCACATCCTCGGTCATAATGTTGGCGGAAACTGATTGAATCGGTGCCTGAGGTTGTCGTTGCTTCGTTTGTGTGTGACGAGAGTTCCTATCGTGTACCCAATAGTCATCAGACTCAGATGCTGAACTTGTTTCACTGATGTAAGAGTTGTGGAGATTGCCGTCAATCGAATGAACTTGTTTGTGAAATCCACTAGCAACAGCTAAGGGACTCAAAAGTGAGATGTCATAGGCGAAACTGTTGGCTGCCATTTGCACAGGGATAGGATCAGGAGAGTCAAACACAAACCCAAACCGTTCGAAGTCGCCGTCACAACTGACTTTGACCACTCCAACCTGGTCGACCTCCGTCCACTTCTTCTGGTCTCTTTGACGACGGAACACAAACCCATTTCTCGTACAAACGACAATACTACCGCTGGTGGAGATATCAAAATCAACTGCCCTAGTGGTGTGGTCATGAGCTCGCCAGAGAGCAGTGTACTTCGGTTTAGTGTGCTCAAGGGGATTGAATGAGTAAACATCACCAGTATCAGTTAGCACCGCAGCAAACGATTTGGACTTGGTTGACACTTTAATGATGTTTAACGATCTAGTGAGTCTTCCTGGTTTGAACAAATCGAAATTAACCTCACGTGTAGACCGAGTAAGTTTCGGCAACTTATGGTGCTGAGACAGATGGTACACGTGGATGTCATTCTTCGTGGTAACCACCACCATGCACAATTCTGATGTGGCCACCAATTTGATATTGTCACGAAGAGACATGCTCACTGGGGTGCTTTCGATACGACCTTGCATCGTGGTCCCATCGCAAACAACATCGAAGCTCTGGTCATGAATTCTTGAACCCATTTGACCAATATTCAAACCAAAAGTCCAGATTTCGTTTTCGGTGAATACCAAAGAGTGTACTTTAGAACACGCCACCCCGAGGACTTTCTGGTTAGTCTTGATAGCAATCTTGGTCGGAGTAGCCTCAAAGATGTCTTTATAGTTCTTTGACGATTTGGTCGAAGTGAAGCCAAGCTGATTATAACTGTTGAGACCCCATCCGTACACATTATCTGCCGTCACTGCAAGTATATGATTGTTAGAGATGGCGATGACCTCAACGTCCTCGAGCGACTGGTGCCACGACAGATCACCTTTGGAACGAGGTAACGTGTCGTAGACAATACCATCAGCCAGCACTGCTGCCTGGAACCGTTTTGACACGAGATACTGGCGGTAGCGGGTATCGTTTTCTTGAGTAGGATCCTGAGGTTTAATGACAAGGTTGTGGTATATGTCATCGTTAGCGTATAACGCGATGTGAGACCCGCCTCTATCGTCATCCCACGGCACATCAAACACCTTTCTCGTTGGTTTGTCGCACTCAGTAGTCTTCCACCGTTTTTCCAACTTAAGTTTGCCGTCGAAATCGATGTATCGAGGCACGTAGACAAAATCCTGGTAGTTGTTGGACCAAAGCTGTTTTGGGGTGTATCCTGCACGGTCCTTGATCTTGAAAATCGCGTCTGAATCCTTTATTGCTTTCTCCAAGACGTGTAAGCACGCGAGCCGTTTATAGTAGACGGCGTAGTGGAACGGGGTCCAGCCGTTTTCGTAGTCACAGGCACTGGCTAGGGCACGGGCATCGCTGTTTCGTAAAAGGCTCTTGAGCACTTGGGGCTGGTTGGCAAGCACCAGAAGGTGGAGGATGGTTCTTCCGTAGATGTCAACAGAGGCAAGCTGGGCTCGGGATAGCCTGGCCAATCTGTCGTGTATATTCCGTGGCGAGTCATTGTTCATGTTACATTAAGGGAAGTCTTTGGGAACGGCAACGGGGAAAATGGGAAATTAAAAAAGTTGGTGGCGGATGCTTTTACAAAAAGTCGTCTAGGCAACGTGGGCTGCGAAAAAAGGCAGGGCCCATTGCGGGTGGTGATCCCACGCGCAACAATAGATCACGTATGACAAGAATGACTAGATCTTGTGAAGGGAAGATCTGACAAATATTTGAGGTCATTAAGCTCTTAACAGACTACCCGGGAAATATCTCATAGTTTGGTTGGTTGAGATCTGTGCATTTGCCTCAGCTTAGGTCATGGGCTATAGTGGTTATGGTGATGACTACAACTCCAGTATTAACGCGTTCATTAATTATTACTCTGCAATGGCGGCGAATTCCGCTGGATCGATGGTATCCTTCGGGACGTCGTCTTCCGTCGGGATAAAGTAGGCGTTGGATATAAGTCTCTTTTTCACGCCACCAATCTTACCCGTGGGAGGAAGTCTGGGGCGAATGTTTCTTTGCTTCTGAGGAAGTTCGTCGTCCTCGATCATCTCGAGCATGCCGTTTTCTGGAAGTTCAGCGCTCTCGCCCTTCTTCTTCTGTTGCTTGATGTAATGAGCTTTGGACTTTTCATACAACTTGTTGTAGAACGGCTTCAACACTTCCACCTGGCCGTCGATGTCGGCGGCCACCATCATTGGCGGTTCGAAACGAGTAAGATCTTCGTACTTGTTCCGTTTTGAAGCAACACCCGTCTGGTTATATTGGGTGTGAAGTCTAGATGACAAAAGGTAGATGGGAATCGACGAAGACAACATCTTGAATTCCTTATCAAGACCCAACTCTTTAAACCCAAAGAAGTCATCGCCCAAATCGGAGGAGAAGTCACCCGTCATGAACTGTTCTGAGTTATCCTCAAATGACCTTTCACTGAAATTTTCGAGCCCCGGTCTCAATAAATCCTTCAAAAAGTTGGTGAGCTTGCCTCTTAAGCTCTTAAGTTTGTCCTGTTGCTTGATGATGCGCTCTTGGACATAGGTGTACAAATCATCGGGCTTATCCACACCATTTTCAAGCAACGACAGCAATAAAATCTCTCGGGCCGACATCTTATTACGAGAAAAGCTCTCCGAATGCATTTTCATCAGCTTGATAAGGTTCTGCATATACCGTTCAGCCACTTGAGTCAAGGTGTTGATGGCTGAGGGCTCGGTGGTTTCAAACCCGGTTTGCATGGCAATCTTGGCCACGTTTCTCCGCAAGACAGCGTATTGGACATCGCGACTAAAGTTCTCACGGGTGGGGAGTTTGGAAGCGGCGTCAACGTCGACTTCCTTGAGGTACTCGATTTCGGGTTGTTTCATTTGAGTGTGGTGAACAAACTGTTGAGTTTGCATTTGCCGGATAAGAGAGATTTTGAAACAGATCTTACGAATCTCCTGAATCTCACTGATATTTTCAAAGTACACTTTGTTCAACCCCTTATCAAGCGGCAAAACAAACCCCAGCTTGATATTGTCGGCGTTGCCATCAGCCCGTTGGAGATAAATGTCTGCCAACTTATTCTCTTGTTCGTCCTGATCTTCTTGATCAACCCCACCAAACTTTAACCCGGGTAAACCCCCAGTGATATCGTATTCGAGCAAGTAGGGCTCGTCGTTCTCCAATAAGTTGTCCAGCTTTGACAACACGGTCTTATTGTCAAGGTAATGGTTAAAATTCTTGGTGTCACTCAGCTGGCGAATGATGGCGTCGGCGTCAGCCTCGAGGTGGCCGTTCTCCTGGAAAAGCTCCGCCCGCTGGCTGCAGTAGTTAGCACGCAGCTTGGCGGTGATGGTCCGCCACGCCTGCAGTTGCGGGTCAAAGTAGTCCTCGCCCGTTTCCTCGATTAAGTTAGCCTCGTTGTTTTCGTGTTGGTCTTCATCTTCTTCGTCGTCACTAGCTACGGCGGGAGCAGGAGTGCCAGCAGCGGTGGATGCAGTTGGGGGTGGACTGTTAACGGTCTTGGTTGGAAGCTTTGTCGCTGCGGGAGTCAGGTCGTCGGTGGGAGCAGGGGTGCCTCCGGGTATCGGGGTGTCGGCGTCATTTGCTTCCGGCTCGGGCGTGCCTCCTGGCAGAGCGATACTGACGGTTTCCTCAATTTTGATCTCATCAGCACGAGTCCGTTTACGACCTTTGGTTTGAGATTTACCCCCTTCGGTTCTCGGAGTGCCAAGGCGTTCATTCTCGGCTTCTTCTTCCTTCTCTATCTCCAGACGGTTGCGAATAGTTATATCAGGAATGGTCGATGCAAGCTTCTGTGTCTTGGTTTGCATGGCAATGGCGTGGGCTCGTAAGTAGTGACGAGGATCAGCGTTATAGGTTAAGCAATTACTCCAAATCAACATCAAGTCGTCGATAAACTCTTGTTTGGAGTTGTATTGTAACCCTTTAAGCTTCTTCATCACGGTGTTTAAGTCCATGGGTTTCTTGATGATGAGAGCATAATTGGGAGCTTCACGTTTCAGCACTTTATTTAAGAAAGGAGTGGAGTGTTCGGTCATCCCCCGCAATTCGAGGATCACTTTCTCACATGCCTCGTAGAGTTCTTCTTGACCCACACGTTCGTCGTTAGCCCACTTGCCTCGGTTTTTCCGAACGTCCATGAATAATGTTCTTAACTCGAAGTCGGTGAGAGGCACATCGTCACGACGGTGCTGGATGGTGCCAATCAAATGCTGAAGCGACAGAGTCGCCGCCCCCAAGTTGATAGGCACGGCGCCATCCTTTTGGGGTTCTTCTTTTTCCTTTTGCTCCTGGAGTTTCTTGTCCGAACGCTCAAGTTTCCGACGTTTTATCAACGTATCTCGGTCGAACTCAAAGTTGTGGTATACCTTATTAAACTCTTTGAGTTTCACCTGTTCATCGAGGGTGCCGTGGATTTCTGCTGGCAGCTGGTTCTGGCCCGGTTCGGCGGCAGCCGGCTCCAGGTCGGCCACTTCGGGGTGGGACTCGTGGACGGACTCCTTCGGTGCTAACTCCGATGCCGGCACCTTTATTAGCACTTGCCCGTCGTCATTATATTCAATGTCACTTTTGTGGTCTCCCTGGGTGTCCGGGGCACTGTCCATGGGCTGATCCCCATCGTCGTCATCGTCATCATCATCGTCATAATCGTCCTCTTCTTCTCGCGCTGGTTTAGGAGCAGGAGCAACTGGTTCCGCAGGGCGTTTAGCACTATTGGTAGTGTCGTCCAAGTCATTTAGAAGAGCGAAGTCCTCGCTCACTTCCTCTAAATCGCCCATGGTCTGCGACTCGTAGTAGTAATCGACGGCTTTCTCCCAAAGGAGATAGCGCACATGCATCGCCAATGCCCTGATCATGGTGGTGCCATCCTCGACCGCCACCAGATCGGTTTTGTTTTCGATTTGGAGGTAGCAATTGCCCGATATGAAGTTCTGCCACACCACGGGGTCGTCGAGGGCGACGATGTGGTGGAGGATCTTGAGCTGGGTTTCGGTGACGAAGTTGTCGAAAAACCGTTTCGAGTTGAGTTTCTTGGCAAGGAGGAATAGGTTCTCCTCATTGCTTGCCTCGAACGTCCCCAATCTCTCCATGGCCACCTAGTCAAAATGGGGTCTCGGTTACCTTAGTGTGAGGAACGTCAAATTTGTCGCGTTTACGAACGCCTAACTCAGAAACGGTGGAGACTGATGAGACACCACAAATAGGGAATATAGGGCACACTTAGTAGGAGCATTTTCAAGAAAGAATTGTGGTCGTTATGTTTTGTTTATCTTCAATGAGGTATACTAGATTAAATTCTAGCTTATGCTCTTCGATGGTGGTAGTACTCATGGTAATAATCTTTTGTAGGTTTCGTAGTGTCAGCCTTATTGACACTAATTGGAGATAAAGAAAAACGTCAACTTTAGATCCGCCACTTTTTTTATTTTCTCCTATTTTATTTTCTGTGTATTTCTCCTGTAGCTCGCGAATGGCGGTGGTGGGTGGCTATTGACCATCGCGGCCCCCACTGGTTATAGTGGTGATTACAAGCGAATATCTGAATCACCCGACACTATTCTAGATATAATCGTGGTTAGATATCATCATAGTCACAGACTTAGTCGCAACACTAAAGTTTAGGGATGTTCATCATTGGCTATGGGGCTTGTTGACACTCGCGTGACGCTCGGCGACGGGTGGCAACGCCGGGTCAGCGGTGGTGGCCAAAGGTAAGCGACGAGGCGGGTGTGGGTTATGCTATCGTAATCATTAAACATATAGAGTATATATATTTATCTCAGTTCACACGGCGTACTTCTTGGTCCACTCCTTGGCGGTAGCCTCGTACTTGGCCCGGTCTTGCTTGTAGATGTGGGCGATTTCGGGCACCAAAGGATCGTCGGGATTGGCGTCGGTCAAAAGAGAACAGATCGATAACAACACCTTGGAAATGGTCAATGCGGGCGACCATTGGTCTTTTAAGATGTCCAAACAGATGTTACCGTTGGTGTTGATATTGGGGTGGTAGATCTTGGTGGTGAACGCGATCTTGGGCGGCTTGAACGGGTAGTCGGTGGGGAAGTGGATGGAAAGGAAAAACACCCCACCGGCGTAAGGGGAGTCCGGCGGGCCCATGATCGACGCTTGCCAGTGGTATAAGTCGTCGCCGACGGGGCCAGCGGAGCACAGCGAGGGCGGGTCTCTAAGTATGGTTAGTAGCGGCGCCAGTAATAAGTTGCAAATGACAAATATGATACTTACCTCCCCAAGTCGGCCAACTCCTTGTTGATTCTCTTCAACGACATATTTTAACGGTAATGGTGAAAGTGAGAAAAATTTCAACCGGTTTAATGTGTGCGTGGTAGAATTCTTTGCGAATCGACGCAGCCGCTCACATGACCTTGGTGGCGAATGAAAGCATGAGTGCATCGGGTGCAGTTGCGGGATATTTCTAGCCCCACTAGAGGAACGGATCAGGCGTGTAGCGTGGTTCGAGGAGACTGCTACCTAACGCCGAGATAGTCCTTGGAATACACCTAGAGCGTAAGCTACACGACATTCTCTATTTGTCAGTGACTACCTCAGTGATCATTTGGTGGGCGCGCAACTGTCACCCCTCGCTGGGGTGTGTCCACTGCGGTCGACAGCAACCACCGAGGGTCGCTCGATACCACCTCTTTGGGGCTAGGTCGTGGATAAATCATCACGTTTGCTGCCGAGAATATCTGGCGACACTGGTGCCGGCGATAGTCCGATAGTTATTTCGCATACGTACTCCGCTTTCTCGATTAAGGTAGCCGCTAAGCAATGCAGGAAAATATCCACCCGCCGGGACACCTCAGTGTCGACTGAATAAAACCTCGCCGGTGCCGCCTACGGCGATGATAGTGACGTTCTATCTGAAGAATGGCGACATGAGCTCGAGCTCGGGCCGGGTCAACAAGCATTCCCCGAAGCGGACCGCCGTCGCCGACATGAAGAAGATGAGACGCTCAAAGCTCGGGTGTCTCCCCTGCAAAATCAGAAAGAAAAAATGTGACGAACAGAAACCCGTTTGCGGCGACTGCTCCCGTTTATCCAAAGAATGTACTTGGATCGACTACGAAAACATGCTGGAGGACGAGATCAAGAACCTCCGCGAGAAGACCCGCGAGGAAGAATCAAAACATAAACTCCGCCAGCGGCGCCCGAAAAAAGACCCAGCGGTTTCAGAAGCGGCTACGGTACAACCGTCACCAGCTGCTAGCCACATTCCGTACTTACCTACCCAGACAAATACGCCACAAATCGCTGTTGGAACTCCTCCACAACCAGACACTTCCGCGCTTGATTTAGACTACGACGATGCCGAATCCAGGCTGCCACTGGCCTTCCTCCTGTTCTTGAAAGATTTAACTAATTACCAGCCCGATCAGCCTCGATTAACTGAAGTATACGATGAGGGAGAAGCTCCTGATACTAATGAAGACCAGCAGATACGCGATATCGTCAAGCTGCCGAGCTTCCTGTCGCTCATGGAGCTGTTCTCCTACGACCCTGTCACCTCCAGCTATAATCACTTAAACGCTAGCAATAGTTTAAGTTTGAGCCAGAGCAATTACCATAACTTTGTTGCCCAAGTGAACCAGATCCTCACGCCATTACTGACCCAGGAGCCAAGCTATATGCCTGATTTAATCCTGGGCACCGCCAACTACTTGTATTCATACTACGTGGAGACGTTATCGCAACAGGTGCTGATTGCCCCTAATTCTCAGGACGGCTCCAATTCGTACCAAAAAGTGTTCCTTCCCTTGGCACACAAAAACCAGGGTGTTCTCTACGCCATTCTCGGCTGGGCCGGGTTTCATCTTGGCGGCGAATGGCAGGTGGAAGGGGCAAAGTATACCGAAATGGCCATCGAGCAAATCAATAAGGAATTGTTCAATGACCCCGTGACCGATATCAGTCGCCCGCTGCTACAGTCGACATCGTTAGCCAAGATGGATCGTGACCAAATCTTAGTGAAATTGGCGACACTTCTCATCTTATGTGGCTCAGAGATTTGTCGGGGTGACGTCAAAAACTGGTCCATCTTCCTCAAATGGGGGTGGAAGCTATTGGCAGCCAACGGAGGCATTCTTCAGTTTAATAAGTCAAAAGAAGAACACTGGCTCATCTCTAATTTCGCCTACCACGACTTGTTGCTGTCGCTGTCAAACGAACGTGGCACGTATTTTGACCTGAAGGAGTACGACGAGATCTTTCTCGATAAGCAAGGGTGGTCTCGCGGCAGTTTGAACCCGTTGCTTGGTGTTGCCAAGCGGCTTATCCGCATCATCGGCGATATCCTGACATTGTTGTACGACTCGAAGCGGCTGCTTAACTCGTACTATAACCGTGACTTGAGCCCCTTCCATGTTAGTGACGACGATGTGGCGCTGGAAGGCAGTGAGCACGGGATGATCTCGCGACTTTTGTTGCTGGTGATTGAAAAAGCCAAGCACTTGGAGACGGAAATTGAAAACTGTGTGGCTGATCCGCTAGATTTGGTGGGGCTTACCGACGAAGAGATGGAGCTTCAGCTTACGATGTTTGAAGCGTTCCAAATAAGCGCCAAATTGTTCCTCAAACAGCTGATCATGAAGTGTAACCCGCTGATGCTCGAGTGTCAAGTGCTTAATAACGACTTAATCAAGTGTCTCGACATTCTTGTGGGTACAGGAGTGCAACTGGCGCTTGTGTTCCCTTGGTTTATGGCCGGTATCCATCTGGTGACCCCTCATGACCGCAACTTGATGAGAAAGCGGTTTGACAACTTCAGCAAACACTACGGCATGTGGAACGTCAGTCGCGCCAAGTACGTGATGGAACGAGTGTGGGAGCAGAATCTCCATGGCAACAACGTGGTTGACTGGTACGCCATCCTTAAAGACTTGGACTGGGATATCAGTTTCGCATAGACATATAATGACTAATGACATACACCTAATGGAAATAAATGTAAAACCTAATCCAATGACAATACAATGTAGTAGAGACTTAAATGGAATCTACTGGGCTAGCACGTCCATTTAATGAGAAGGCTGCGGTCATGGAAATTTCGTGCAAACATCAGTGCCGCAATTCTGAATACCAAAGATCAATTAACCAAAACAGAATAAACGATTTCTACTTCATTCACATCAAATTCAAAGCGTATACCCGTCTTTTTCATCTCATCTCATTATATAAGCTTTTTCAAGGTCGCACTTTTCGCCTGGCGGGTGAAGAGGGCATCGCGAAATTCTTAGCAATTTTTCCTCATCACCATGGCTGGGATTGACTACCTCCTCTTTGAAGAGGCCACGGGCTACGCGATCTTCAAGGTGCTTATTCAGGCCGACGACATCGCCGGCCGGTCGCAAGAAGTGCAGCAGGCCGCCGCCGACCTCGGCAAGTTCCTGAAGATGCTCGAGTTGGTGTCGTTCGCCCCGTTCAAGGGCGCCGCCCAGGCGTTGGAAAACGCCAACGACATCTCCGAAGGGATCATGTCGGACTACTTGAAGTCGGTGATCGAGCTCAACATCCCCAAGGGCTCCGACAAGAAGCGCGTGGTGTTGGGGGTCTCCGACAAGAACTTGGGTCCTTCGATCAAAGAGGTGTTCCCCTGGATCGACTGTGTGCTGAACGAAACCGTCCAGGACTTTTTGCGCGGGATCAGAAACTTTGGCGACAAGTTGCTCAAGAACTTGCAGCTGGGAGACCTCGAACGGGCCCAGTTGGGGTTGGGGCACGCCTTCTCGAGAGCTAAGGTCAAGTTCTCGGTGCAGAAGAACGACAACCACATCATCCAGGCGATTGCGCTTTTGGACCAGTTGGACAAGGACATCAACACCTTCTCGATGAGAGTCAAGGAGTGGTACGGGTGGCACTTCCCTGAGTTGGCCAAGATTGTCCCCGACAACTACACCCACGCCAAGTTGGCGCTTTTCATCAAGGACAAGCTGGCGCTCACCGACGACTCCCTCCACGACGTTGCTGCCATTGTTGGTGACGATTCTGGCGTCGCCCAAAGAGTTATCGACAACGCTAAGATCTCGATGGGGCAAGACCTCTCGGAAGAAGACATGGCCAACGTCGCCACTTTTGCCGAACGCGTGGTCAACCTCACCGACTACCGCCAAGATCTCTACAAGTACTTGACCGACAAGATGCACACCGTCGCCCCCAACCTTTCGACGCTTATTGGTGAAGTGGTCGGGGCCCGGTTGATTTCGCACGCCGGGTCGTTGACCAACCTTTCGAAGCAAGCCGCCTCCACCGTGCAGATTCTCGGTGCCGAAAAGGCGTTGTTCAGAGCGCTTAAGACCAAGGGCAACACTCCCAAGTACGGGTTGATTTACCACTCGTCGTTCATCGGCAAGGCGCTGGCGAAGAACAAGGGGAGAATCTCGCGCTACCTCGCCAACAAGTGCTCGATCGCCCTGAGAATCGACAACTACTCCGACCAGCCCACCACCGTGTTTGGTGAGGTGTTGAAGAAGCAAGTCGAGGACAGACTCAACTTCTACGACACCGGTGCCCCGCCGATCAAGAACTCCGACGCCATCAAGGAGGCGATGGAGCTTGCCGGCGTGCAAATGGGCGACCTTGTTGACAACGTGAAGGAAGCCAAGAAGGAAGTCAAGGAAGAAGACGATGAGGAAGAAGAAGAAGAAGACAAGAAGGAAAAGAAGAAGGAAAAGAAGGACAAGAAGGAAAAGAAGGAAAAGAAGGAAAAGAAGGAAAAGAAGGAAAAGAAGGACAAGAAGCGGTCGCGCGAAGACGACGACGACAAGGACGACAAGAAGCTGAAGAAGGAAAAGAAGGCCAAGAAGGAAAAGAAGCTGAAGTCGAAGGACTAACTCCATCTGTACATTATCTGAATATTACGATCTAAGGTAGAATAATTGTAGTCTCATTTTATTGCTATTAACTAAAATACATTGTCGTCTCTCATGTCTCTTGATCTCAATGCGATGCTGTGTCGTCTTGATAGAATTGGTGTTAGTGGTGGTAGTCGGGGACGGCGTACTCGTAGACAAAGTCGCTGGTGTCGCTTTCGTAAATCAGCAGCGACATTGTGATTCTGGCGTCGTTGCGCCGCAATTTCGACACCGTCAAGTAGACGCCTCGCAGGTAGTCGTAGGGCAAACTAAACTCGTGGTCGTGGAAGTGGTAGTAGCGGTCATAGCAAGCAATATAGAAGATCTCGTCGAGTAACCGACGAGCCAGGGGCCGCCACGAGAGCGTCAGCAGCCGCTGGGCTAATTGCTGAAGCAGTACTTGAGGGTTTCTCAAGATCAGCATCAACACATCAATACGTCCTTCTCGCTCCAAGTGGTCGGGCTCGGTGTGGTTGACGTGCAACGGCCACCACTGCGGCTTGGAACTGTTGCCCAACTTGTACGGGTGGCTCGCCTGCTTATTTGGTTGAATAATCTTGATCCACTGCTTGGCCAAGTCCTTACAACAGATCTGGGAGATCAGGACGAAGAGGTCGTAGTACTGGGCCATGAGCTGGGTCTTATTCTGATGGTCCCAGTGGATGGTGATGACATCCTTAAGCACGGGACGAATGAGCCAAATTTGGGGATGGCGATCGTTGTCGTCTTCGCTCCACCCTTCCAGCGTCCACACTCGTTTGACGCCGGTGACGTCGTGCTTGGTCATGATCATAAACGAGAGGCTTTCGACCTTGGCGATGGTGTTCAAGCAGTTGCTGATGCTGAGCATCTGGTCGTCCAAGTTCATGACGTGAGTGTACGTATAAATGAGAGATGTGAGGAGTCGTGCTGATATATATATATATTACCGGGTTGTAAGTCAAGAATCAGGGGTGCCAGGGTTTTTATTTTTTCACTCGTGGTGGTGGGCGGCACGTCGCTGCTGAGGATCTGAGATACGAAACCACAAAACGCATGGACTAGAGTTTAGACAGATAGGTAAAAGTGGTATGAAAACTGGAGCTATAGTTGAAGGTGGCGGGGTCGATTATGGGTCTATTTAGTCGTTGGAAAGGTATTCTCTAGTGGGGGGGGTTCCTGGTATCGGGTATTATTTTATATGCGGGGTGGGGTGGTGTCCTCAGGGGCGGCAAAGGCTCGTCACGGAATCGCGTATCCACGCCCCTCGAGATGGCCGTTGGCTGACGCTACCCCCTAAGTGGTGATACGTGATTACTACTAATTTCACCTACGACAATTCGAATGCTTTATGCCTTCTTAGTTGGTGCCGCTTCATGTGTTAGGTGTTGGTGGGTATTTCAGGCTTGAGACACCCACCCCGTGCTTGAGCTGCGACCAGGGTCGAGAAGAGAGGGGGAGCGGTGTGCTGCGGGCCCGTAAATTAGTGTGTGGGTGGGGCCGGGGCTGCTGTGCGCAGAGTATGGGGTTGCCCTCGAATACAATGATGGTGATGAGGGTTTGGGGCGTGTTACTGTATAGAGGAACAAGGGGGGGCTATGGTTGAGTCGCCGTCTCCAGGCAGAGTTTGCATGGCATTTCCGCACGGGCGGCATGGGGTTTTATTGTTGATGGTAGAATGTGGGTCGATGGGGTTTTAAGTGCGATGAGGCTTATCGTGCCTATGTGCCAGAATTTAATAGAAAAAAAATCGAATTTTGAGGTCCGGTCACGTGATGCTAAACCCGAGAAATATGGGAACCATCATCGAGATAACTAATGATGACTAATAAATTGAATTTATTTATTGGAAGTGGTGAATGTGGGAGTCCTACTTAAAGTCAAATATGGCATTAGTCCTAACTTACCACTACTGGTTAGTAAGCCTAAACTGTAGTTCGCTCATTGCCATTGTCATTCCGATATGGATTATGGACTACGGTTCTTTACGGTCTAGACCCTCGCACTTACAATTGTCCTAGTAATGAACCCTAGTCAAACACGCGACTGCCATTGTTGGTGAGGCTGACAATGAAAGCCAGGCACCAGTCATTCGTGTACTAAAACTTGTAAATGAGAATTGTAAGTTAAATATGTCATGTATGTATGTATGTGTGTATGCCTAGTCGAAGATGAGGATGTAGGCCTTCTTCCAGAAGGGGGCCCGCTTGAAGTTTTCCTTCGCCTCCAACTTCTCCAACTCCAACACCTCGGGGTCGTAGATGACGCGGCCCTTGTCGATGTCAATCTCCGACAACGGCTTCCACAACCGCCACGTCCAGAAGCGCCACCCTTGGCTGTAGAGCTTGTGGGCGACCCACAGGACAAGGAAGAAGATCACCCCCAAGTACGCCTGGAAGAAGTTGGCGATGTCGACGTCGTGGCCGTTTTTGGGCCACAACCCCGTCCAGAACTGGGCGAGCAAGATGGCAAAGTTGATCACCAGGCACAGGATCGCCCCGTAAATCCCCGTGGGCGACCGGTAGGCGAGCGACAGCAACGGGATGTTGTTGTATTTAAGCGCTTGACGCCATCTGAGGAAGATGATGCCGACAAAGAACCACAAGATGATGAAAGACAACGCCGAGATCGCCAACATCCAGTTGAACACGGCGGTTTCGTTTTCGTACTCGGCGATAAACGCAAAGAACATCGCCAACGTCGACACGATCATCGCCCTGAGGGGTCTCCCCTTACGATCGACGTAGTCGAACCATTTGGGGGCAAGCCCTTGTTCGGCAAGCGAGTGGAGCAAGCGACAGGTGGAGTAGAAGGCGGCGGTGCCCACTGAGGTGACCGAGATGAGAATGACGGCGTTGATGAATGACGGGAGCACCTTGATGCCGTGGAGAGAAGCGGCAAGCACGTAAGGCGATGCCGAGGTGGCAGCAGAGCCGGAGTTCAACAAGTGGGGGTCGTTGGAGGGGACCAACAACCCGATCATACACAACGAGCCGAGGAAAAGCACCGTGACCTTGAACCAAGTGAATTTCGATGCTGATTTAATGGCGCGAGTCGGGTTTTTCACTTCAGCCGCAGAAAGCGAAATGAATTCGGAGCCACCAAGAGAGAACGCCCCGGCGGCGAACGTGGTACAAAACCCGCGGAACCCGTTGCCCCAGGCTCCCGGGTCGTGGTAGTATTTACCGCCGATAAAACCGGAGGGACTGGCGCCACAAGTGACGCAAATGCCGAAAATGATAAAACCAGAAACCATGAGTACTTTACAGAGATTGAAAAAGTACTCGGCTTCCCCGTAGACGCGGGACGAGATATTGAGCAAAAGCACCACCACGATGAAGATGGGCACCCACGCGTCGGGGTTGATGGTGGTGGTCCAGTATTTAATGGTCATGGTGGCGGTGACAATTTCCAAGGGAATGACGACGAGCCAGTTTAAGTAGTAGTTCCAGCCCAACGCGGCACCCAATGAATCATCGATAAACTTGGCCGAGTACAGCTGGAACCCCCCGGGGAGCCCCGGGTAGGCGATGGCGATCTCGGAGAGACAGTTGACCATGGGGATCAACATGATGTAGCCAAGGACGGCGTAGGCGACCAAGAGACCCGCGGGACCAGCCGAGGCCAATTTACTCAGCGCCGCGACCAACAACCCGGTGCCGGTGCCGGTGGAGATGGCCATCACCTGGAGATGGCGCTTGCTGATCCCCTGGACCAACTGGCCTTCTTCGTGCAGCTTTTCCAGCCGCTTGAACCCGTCCTTGAACTCCTGCCATTTCGTCTTGGGCTCGTCGGAGTAGTACGGCAGGTCGACCTGGGACACCAACTCGAGGTTGCCCGAGTACTTTTCCTCCGGCGTCGTGCTCTTCTCAGACACCATGATTATGTGGAGGTGGGAGATGTGGGGTGCGGGAGACGAATCTGTGTGGGGAAGTCACAGTATTTAAACAACGGCGCCCCGGGGTAGTGGGGTAGGCCGAGCGGGCAGGTGCGTCATTGCCCGTCCCACCCCATCGCCGTTTGGCATGTTGCTCACTGCAGCTGGTTATTTTTTTTTCTCTGCGGGGGGGCAGCACACGAGTGCAATGAGAAGCGAGCATCGCAGAAAAACAGGCAACTCAAACGAGAGCACACAGGGGGAGGTCATGGGGAATATGGGTATACTGTAGAGGTTTGGGCATAGGTGTACGTTTTGTGGGCAATACAAGGTGTGGGGTTGGGCTGGGGGGTGGCTTTTTCAAAATACGAGGGCTTGGGCAGGGTCAGAACGAGGAGGATGGTGGTGGCAGAGGGGTTCAGTCGAAGAGGGGGGGTGCCCACATCTGACCCCTCAGTGGGCATGACGGCGTTCGCCGCGTCGCTAGGCGAGCGGTGCGGAACCAGTGGGTGTGCGACGAGTACATGCTATCAGTCACACGTCACTGGAAAGGGCCTATCAACTACAGGGTTTGCCACCAATGATCGGGCGCTGGTGTATCTCGAGATCTGATCTCACGTTATCGTGTCGTTCTCGAAGTAAGCGATACCCGAATGCCGCCTGCAGGCTAATCGTGTGCTATCGCAGTGAGGTGTTTGCCGCCATGACGCAGTGTCGGTGACAGTTACCAGAATGGAATTTCAGGGCTCATCCGCTAACCACACCAGTTGTACGATAATGCAACTGTTGGCGCGGTTCCCCACACCGATACGAGGGGACAATACTAAGGTTTGGTGGGGCTGTTCCGCCGGCTGGCTCGGCTCCGCGAGGTGGTGGCACCTCACGGATGGCGGGTTTGCTGTTGATGACCGACGGCGTTACGTAGGCACACGACGTAAAGAAAAAAAAAAAAAGGAAAAAAGCAATTTTCGCAACGGTAAGCGATGGCGAGCCAACAACGCGCGTACCGCAGCGAGAGGTAGGCGTAAGCGGCTACGGTCAGCGATGCTCACAATAGCGGCTTGGCCAGGCCCCGTGCATTATCGTCCCTCCAGTGAACGAATCGTGGCCCAGCACCGCGGTAAGCACGACGCGCAGCCAGTGGGGGGTGGAGGTCCAGGCGCCACCGGCAGCGATCGCTATCGATCTGTCAGGGTGCCCCTCATCGGACCCGCTTAGACGAACTAAATCGGGCGACTCCGAACTGAAAAAAAGAAATGGACACAGATTATTGTTTGACATTCCCATTAACTTTAAAGTGGGGAGCGAAAACGCCGTGGAGTGTCAAAGTGGTATATTTTTGTGCCTCCGATGTAAGCGTGCGTGCCCATAACACGAGAGCGGTCATCGAGGAAAGACCAAGCACGGTGCTACGTAAGCACGCAGCAGACGGAGCTTATGTACCGTTCAGACGATAGACGACATTGGTATCGCTGAATACGATCTGGAAAAGTTTGATCGGTTCTGGTAGTGGTTTTCCACCATCTCTCATTAGTTATTGGCATTTTTCAGGTATTGCCTACATTGCCCGGGGGATTGCGGAGACGATTGCAGAACTCCGATGCCGACTACAGCACGCCACCGTGGCTAACCGACAGCGATTGGCGAAAAACCGTTCCCACCGAGGAGAATGGCACGGCTCCAATCAGTGCATGGTGTGGGTTGCTCCTGATAGCAGCTGCGTCGATGGCGGATAACAAAAAGCCCACAGAGCCGGGCTGTGGAGACAGCCGTTGGCGGTGCTGCAACGCTCGTTTGAGTAATCGCCATCGGAGTTGAGCATCTGCGAGATGGTGTAATGATTTCAGATTGATTCGAAGCTATGGGCTTATTGAGACATAGGTGAGACTCTGTGTTTCGATCTGATGCTACCATACCATCGTAGTTTCCATTAGAAAAGGTTACTAGCTATGTTTCATTGGTAAATTCTGTTTATAACGGTTAGGGTGGTGGCAATCGCCTACTGTTAAAAATCAAATCTGGTGCGATGTCGATGATACGGTAAAAAAAAAAACAGGTAATCTTTGGTAGAGCTGTCTATTTGCCGTTATCATACTGTGCTTACTTTACTGGCACTCCATGGTACAGTCTCTCCCTTTTTGTGACATGTTACGCCACTGAAAAGAGAGTCGCCGATTATCTGTTCCATCACTTACCTTTGACTCAATTTAGTGATGACCTAAACCCAGGAAGTCAAAGTGTTATCAATCGAGAGTTTGTCGATGGTAAAACCATAAGTGAAGGATTCAGCATTACTAAAGTCTCGTCGCTTGCCCCCTATTAAGTCTTGGCTATTGAGGCTCCGACGGAGTTAGTATCTCATCAAAAAAAAAAAAAAAAAACTCTGGATATATCGGTTACCAGCATCATTACTAAGTCTATTTCAGTCAACTTTTCAACTAATTTTCCATTGGTACTGCTTGTCAATCTCCTACTGGTCTTACTAATGCCGCTTACTTTACTGGCGACTTCCCCATACGAAGATGCGGCCACTATCGCCAAAATCAGAAGCGAAGCAAGTAGTGCCAAAAGCGGAGCGCGGAGTTTCGTCCCCCGGACCGCCCTCTCGGCCACTTACCCAGTTTGAACAATTGTACGACAATGTAGATCCTTTTTACCTCTGATTTTAAAAGCATGTGCTAGTCCCGAGTCCCCGAATAACCCCTACTTAAGTTCCGGTGGTTCCAGGGTCGCACGACCCCTTTTGATAGAAATTACCACAGCGGGGAGGCCGTTCGCAATTTTTCTACCACAGGAGAGAATAGGCAACGGGGTGAAAAATCATGGTGCTCTACTTTGAAAACCGCCACAGCTACGCCCACAGCTTCGACACGGTTACGCTTGCCTACCTCAACCGGTACCCCAACCCTTACGCCAAGCACGTCAAGCTGAGCGACACCCTCGAGCGGTACGTCGATGGCGCCGGGCGCCTCTGGACGACGAAGCTCGTGGTGAAGACGGGGCGACTCCCCAAGTTCATCGAGCCGTTTTTGGGCAAAGCGTTGGACCTGTGGATCATCGAGAAGCTGGTGATCGACCCCAAGCGGCAGACGATGCACACCTACACCGCCAACGTCGACCACCGGCGGTTCATCCAGGTCGAGGAGCGCTTGGACTACGCCACCGCCGACGGTGTCACCACCGTCGACCTGAAGGTTAAGTTTTCGCTGAATTTCACCGGGTTCAAACAGAAAATCGAGCAGTGGCTGAAGAACAAGTTTTTGTCGAATATGAACAATACCCGCGAGGGGCTCAAGTTCGTCATGAACCAGCTTCACGAGTATCGCGCCCGGCGGGTCGCCACCTGAGCCCGCCACCAGCTAACCACCGGAGACGGCCACCGGAGACGGCCACCTGAGCCCGCACCTTGCATTCATGAAACTTGCACATACACTACTCTCTTTTATCGTTTTCATTATCTTTAGAATTACATACTGGGTATGGTAATCAACCAATAGACACAAAATACAGTCTAAACATAGATATATTGACAAATGACATATTGGATGGATGCTATGCTTGACGGGCCCGCGTCACTTCAAACTGAAGGGTGCGACGACGAAGCTCGGCGTCCTCGATCTGGCGGAGGAGGTCGGCGTCGTCGTCACTATCTCCCCCTAAATCGTTAGCGTCGAAGTCGTCGAGGGTCCGGCGCACCTGGGTGGCACGAGCGAGAATGCGGTTCCACTGATCGATCAAATCCAGCGCGACCACCACCCCATCGTTGGTAGTGGCGACGGTACGATTGCACTCGTGGAACATCTCCACCATCTGGCCCAAGGCGTGATTGATAGCTTTAGCGTGGGCGAGCTCCAGCAGCATGGACACGACGACCGAGCACGCCGCCTCACAACAAACTTTTTCGCCCCCGTCTCGCTGGGAGGTCGAGCTCGAGTTTGTCCAGAGTTTGAGCAACATCCAGTATGTCTACTACCTAGCCCAGGAGGGTTACTTGAGCCAGCCTACCTTCCGCAACTACGTCGCCTACCTCCAGTACTGGCACCAGCCCCAGTACCTGAAGTTCTTGGTGTACCCAAACTGCTTGCACGTGCTCACGCTTTTGCAACACGACCAGTTCGCTAAGGATATCCAGAACCCTGACTTCCGCAACCTGTTGATGAACGACATGGTGAGCCGATGGCAGCAGCAGCAATTGCAACCACCAAATGGCAGTGGCAGTGGCAGCGACGCTGGCGGGGGTAGCGCGGCGCTGGTGGCGATGCTGGCGCCGGAACCGTCGCTGGTGGCCGAGTCGGCCACCACCGAAGCGTCGCTGGCCCGGTAGTGCCACTACCAAAACTCCCACACTCCCGCACCCTTCTCTCCGATAGCAATACACACAGTTTCCCTGGCTCCCGCGGTATCCCGCGCTATCTCCACGTGACGTCGAGGGCGCCCCACCCGATAACCGCCTCCTCTCACACTCGTACCAGACAATAAACCACTACCCAAAAAAAAGCCCACCCAAACTGACAACAGCGTACGGGCGACGATGATTCCTACGGGCTCCGAGGTGCCGGAGACATGGGGGAAGTCAGCGAAGCCCCCGGCGCCAACCGCCACTGCTGCCACTGCATATACCAATGATACCCTTACTGCTGCCACGACTACTAGTCCCACTGCTGCTACTACTACTGCTACTGCCACCACTACTCCTGCTACACCCACGCGGCGGCGCCACTCGCACCTGACGCCGTGGGTGCGCCGCCAGAGCTTCTTGCTGGCGACGATGATGGGCGACGAGAACTACAGCGTCTACGAGCTGTGGAGCTTTTTCGCCGAGGGCAACTTCCACATCTTGTCGCTCAAGGAGTGCCAGGGGTTCGTGTTCAACCAGGACTTGTTTGCCCTGCCCTACCAGCAGCTGCGATCGCTTGCCACCGAGCGCATCCGGACGCTAAGCTACGGCGGCAGCTGTGCGCCCAAGGCGCTGCCGGGGCGCCGTGGTCCTCAGGCACGCCGCCACACGCTGTACCACGAGCGCCGCCCCTGGCTCAGCGACGTCGCTGGCGACGACACCGACGCCGCCGACGATTTCGGTAAGGACGACGACATCGACATGCGCGACCGCACCGGCGCCGACGACGACAGCGACGAGTTTGACGACGACAGCGACGACGACAGCGACGACGGCGGCTTCAACGACGGGCGGTTCCGCGTCGACGTCACCGAGGTGGTAGTGGGCGAAGGCGACGACGTCATCGGCGAGCTTGCCCGGCGCCACGCGGGGGCGCTTTTACATAGGTAGAAGAATAGGTAAAGAAATCTCCATGTTAAACAAATACATCCATGGCTTATATGTACAAGAGAGGAAAAGGAAAGCGTATGTGTGTCGTCGTTCACGTCTTGATGGCGTGGTAGCGCTTGCCCCGGACGCCAAACATCACCGCGTTCAGGTTGAACGTCTCAGTGGGGTTGGTGTCGACCAAGTCCAACTTGGTGCAGGCGAATAAGTTCTGGGTCGGGTGCATGAGGACGTCCATCTCGTCGTGCAACGGGTGCGCCTGCAACCACGCCAACTCGCGCTGGGCGTCCTCGAGGTGGTAGCCGGTGACGAAGACGCCGCACTTCAGCTCGAGCAACCCGGGGAGCGACTTGTCCCAGTGGACGCGGTCGGCGGTCTGGAACCCGGGGTGGAAGGCGAAGAAGACGTCGAGGTAGGGGTCGAAGGGGAAGAGGTCGCCCATGTCGTAGAGCTCGTGGAAGTAGTGGGTGTGGTAGTGGAGGGTGATCTGGTCGTCGTAGCGGTCGACCAAGGCGCGCCCGTGGTCGACGTTGGTCTTGCCAAACGTCCGCTGCTCGCGGTCAAAGTAGGCCTCGGGCCCCACCAAGTGGATCTCGAAGCGCGCCTCGGGGAAAAGGTACCCCATCTGCTTCCACACGTACCCGGGTAACATCAGCTCCATCTTCGCCCCCAACAAAAAGATACGGATGGGCCGTTCTTTAAACGTCACCGCCTCCGTCTGCTTGACGTAGGGCGGGTACAACAGGTAGCGCAACGCCGCCAACAGCTTGAGCCCCTCCACCGTCAACGGGCCCTTGGGCTCGCCGTGGTAGGGGGAGAACTTGTGCAACAACGCCGCGATCGTCATCGGGTACGTCAACACCTTGGTGGCGGCGGCCAAGTTGTACTCGGTGTTCATCGGCATGAAGTCCCGCGTGTAAAAGTAAGAGTCCCAGTTCAGCAAGTTGGTGGTGTTGTCCTTCAGCTGCTCCTTCGGGAAGAGGAACTCGTCGAACTTGCGCCCCGAGCGGATGTCGTGCTCGTACAAGTTGACCTTCTTCAACTTGTCGTAGGTCTTGTTGGCGTGGTAGTCGGTGTCGGCCAACCACGCCTCCTCCAGATGGTGGGTGGGGATGCCCAGCACTGGGCACACGTACTCGACGGGTTTTTTGGTGACGGGGCATTTGGCCATGGCGCGTATATACGCCGCCCGGGTGCGTATGTCCTCGTAGGGCAGCTCGTCCCACTTGTAGAGGACACGCTCCTTCTCCTGGCTCTGGGGCTGCTCGAGGGCGAGCATCCGCCAGAGGAACGACAACTGGCGCGTCAGCACCCGCTGGGTCTTCGCAAGCATCGCCATATGGGGTGGGTACGTTTTCGGTGCGCACTTGATGCTGGTAGCGGTGGCGCCAGCGGGGGCGGGGTTTGAATTTTACGGGGCAACACCCGAGCATTAACTAGTTTGAACTGAATATTTTGGTAGCTAAGGCTTTGATTTATTGGATGGATGTTTGTTTAGTATAATTAACCCCCTTTTGTCTGGTTTTTATTGCGTATTACTTGTGTTTAGCATGGAAAAAACACAAAAACCGCATTGGGCGTTTACCCCGAGCCGAGAACTATAATCGATCTGGAATAAACAGATCATCGCTTAGGAGTTTGCCTAAGTCAAGATCGGCGTTGGGTGAACGAGTAGAAGTGTAGTTAGGTCATTTCTTCAAGTATCAGTAAATTTTAGTAGCGAGTATACGTTATAATAACCCGAATCATAGCATGGGGACACGTAGAGAGATTATCAATAGTGTAAAGCCTTCAATTGAGGACTGGTCTATGTTTGATTAAATCAAGATCATCTTTACCAAAATTTTAGCAGCTTTAAACTTGAATTTACTAAACCTATCTATGATGGGCCGAGGAGGTGATCAATGGCGGTAGTGCATATAAGCCAATCATCCCCCTAATCTTCAAGTCCTCTCGCGAAGCTGTGTATATTGATATTTGGTAACGGCACGATCTTTTCCTACTTTTTGAGATAGACACGAACAGCGAGGTCGTTGGCAATAGATTTGTCGAATTAAGGCAACTTCAGCGTTAGAAATTGTATCGTTGAAGCTGGAGACGTTGATCAGTACCATTTGAGAGGGCTGCTGCTTGCATAAGCCACGCTTCATTCATCGATCATCTAACGCATTTAACAAGGCAACGCCATGTGGGGATATAATGGGCGGAGCCTAATACGGAAGTCCATTCGGCTCAGGATATTTTACTGAGGACAAGGTATTATTGATGAGCTCATTTCTGCTTACCTCATCAGCTCGTCGTCACACTGAGACGACCACTTCTATCGTCTTTAGTACAGTAAAGTTGGAGAAGTAGATGCTTAATTTGAGGACGATAATGGAGAAAAAGGTCCACAGTGTTCTACCAATGGTAAAGGAAGCAAATGGCTCACGATTTATGGAGTCTTGCCATCCCAATTTCTCCTAAAATTTTGGGTGCATATCAGCCGTGCCCATGGCGCGTTTGTTTATTTTTCTGGGGAGAGACGATCGTCTCGCACTGAACTAATCTCACCACCCGGAGATAGCCAATCTACCAAAGGAAATGGGTTCTACAAGCCATCATCGATAGCATTTTGAGGCGATTGAATTACCTTGGGCTTTACTGGTTTGCCATACTATGGAAATATTGTTTGAGAAGCTGTGCTCGTTGTGAGCGCCATAATCGTCGTCACGTCAACGACGCCGGCCACGAATGGTTCTAGCCCTTACCAAAAGAGTAGCTCAGCCGGCATTGAAGTTTGACGACGCTATGCGGAAGGCCACATTATTTTGTGACAATCCAACCCCGCCACCCACACCAAACCGTGCTACTCCCTGAACAATGAAAGCATCGATGCTTTGAGGGTCTAGCCTGGACTAGATGCTTTGGACTAGGTGTACTAAGTCGCCGAGAGGATCGTCGATCTTTGTTTTTAGATCCTTCACAAATACATGGGGGGCAGCAGGTTGACGGAGAGTGACAATTGACAAAGGCGGGTGGTATTTCCCCATTGTTTCCGCCTCCGCTTATGTCCAGGACCGGCAGTGAAGGCCGGGTAACAGCTCCCCCTAGTCTCTTAATTGAGCAGGGCTGCTTGTCCTCCTTGGCATAAATACTCGCACTTCGCCAGACTTTTTGTTTTCTCCTCATCAACCTTTACTCAACCTACTTCATCAATTGACTTGCTAATGACTGGCATGTATCATTGACTACGTTCAACACCACTTGCTTATTTACATGAACAGCTCAAGACAATATAGTCACAGCTTCATGACAGTGTGGTGTTGGTCAACCATTTCAAACGTGCTGCCGCCTTGACTCCAAACTTAACTGATATCTGAGAGACGCACACACATCGAGTTGGCATGGATTGACGATGACGCTCATTGATTCTGGCGAGGCAAATACCCCACTATATGATGGGGGCCCGCAACTGCTGAATGCCATGGACCCACAGATTACAACTACTGGGCCATGAACTTGCTGTTATACCATGGACCCACAAATTTCGACTAAAGGGACATGGTTGTTGCTGTTATACCAAGGTGTGTTTCATGTTCAAGCGATTGTCATGTTGCAGCCAGGTCCCCAGACCATCATCGTAGTCGGAGGGTTGACACACCATTTTGCGGCCCTCTGCACGGCGGCGTTCATCATAGGCGGTTTCCAATATCTGATCGACCCGTAACAGACAGTTTTCACGATTAGTTACCATCGGCTGTCTAGGCATCTTAAAGGTGATAGTAATGATGGGTCACCTTTTTGATGGAAGTTCTCACACTGGGGAGCTGACTGCTACATCTACCAATAACTGGAACGACCTGAATAATTATTTGAAATCTAAATAACTTCAACTCAAACTACAATAAACAAACTGATCCTTTGCAAATCGTTTATCTAGAGTACAATTTGCTATAGTTTGGTTCAACATTATTGTCTGGTGGGTCACGTGATTACTATTGGTATAGCGGAGGATCCTGTGGCTATTATAAAATTGGGTATATCTACACAAGTATTCCTACCAGCTTATTTGCAATGAATTGAATGATAGGCTGCTTGAAATGATCGAGAACAGAATCACTAATGCCCACATCTTCAAACATTACTACTCCAAAGTGATTGCTGACATCAAACTACTGGGGAGAGTTGAGGCAATGGCATTTTGTAGATTGGTATGCAATTGTGATTGAAATTGAACTCAATCGGTAGCATTTCCTTTTAACGTTTATAGAAATTGCTGGTTCTCGAACCACCACACGCATGGCATAATTTTGTCTCAATTAGCAAAAATCTCACACAACTGATAAAAGGCGATTAAATACTAAGGTGCTTCAATATATCTTAAAGCCATAAACAAATAAAAACAAGCTAAAATAAAAATTACAATGCTTTTTGATTTCCATTAATTATATTAGTTATGCTAAAGATTAAAATTGGCGTACCGCATCGCAGCCAAATGACCATTACCTGAGAGTGTGCAATGAGTTTGATTGCGTCCAAAGAGTGTCTGATCGTGTTGATTAAGTGTCTGATCGTGTCCATTGCCTGATCATGGCCAATGAGTTTGAAGGTATCCAGTGTTCGATGATTAGTCTTGTGGCATGTTCTAGACCCGCTAGTCGAATTGAGGCTGCCACAACACTACCGAGTTATCTGCCGACGCCAACACCATGAGTTTAGGGTCGAAAGCGACGACTTTGGCGATGTGGGGCGACGGCAACAGCGCCACCGGCGCCGTCACCTCGGAGTTATCGTCGGGTTTAACCGTGCGGACGCCGCCGTCCAGCGTGCGGAGGCGAGTTAAGTCAAACACGTGGAGCTCGGTGGGCGCCGTCGCCAGCGCTGCGAGCACGTACTTGCCGCACGGCAGCCACGTCGCCAGCGCCGTTGGGTAGTGGAAGCCGCTGAAGTCGGCGCCGGGCGCCGCCAAGCGCGTCAACACGGCGCCGGTGAACGCGTCGACGACCAAGTGGTTGCCGCTGGCGGTGACCAACAACACCGTTTTCCCCGTGTTTGAGAACTCGAGACGGGTGAGCAGGGCGCCGCCGGCGATGGTGGTATCGAGGAAGGGGCCCCGCTCGCACTGGCGGGGGTCGTAGAGGCGGAGCGAGTCCACCAGCGCCACCGCCATCACCTGGCCCTGAGGATCGTAGCCAAGCGCCTGGGCGCCGGGCGCCAGCACCGCGCCGACGTCGTGCGACGAGCGCAAGTCCCAGAGCTTCACCCGGCCGTCGACCAGCGCCAGGATGAACCGGTCGTGGACGGGATTGACTTCGAGCGCCGTCACCTGGTGGTGGTGGCCTTTGAAGTAGCGCACGTACTGTTTGTTTTCCAAGTTGAGCAAGCGGATCTGGTGGGTATCGGTGCCGGCGCCATTGTCGGCGCTAGCGCCAGCGCTGATTTGCGCCGTCAGCGCGTAGAGACAGTTGAGCCCCTGGTGAGTGAACCGGGCGAGGTGGGCGCCGTACTTCTGCGATTGCACGTCGCGGTGGTGGGCGCCCTTGTGGACGTCGTAGAGCTGGATCAGCTGGTCGACGCCGGCGGAGATGAGGTACTGGCCGGAGTCGTCGAAGTCGAGCAGCGTCACCAGCGCCTGGTGGTGGTAGCTGAAGTGCTTGGTGGGCGCGAGCGCCCGGAGGGCGCGGAGGTCGACGGCGGCCGTCAGCGACTTCAGCATGGAGACGGCTAGACGTGAGGGAGCGATGCTAGTCGCGCTCACGCGTGGGGAAGGAATCGCGACTGCTGCGAAACTTGACGGGAAAATGCGGAAACAACTACCACCAGAGAAGAGTATGAAATAGTGGCAAGACTCTAGAGATTCAGGTATGATTTTCTTTTAAGATATAAAACACTGATACATATGATTTCGTAATAATTTGATTGTCTGGTGAAATTTCGGTGAAATTTAATGGGGTTGTCTCTTCTGATCAGAGGATATGTGTGGCGGAAGTGGGACTCCCGGCGCGTCGGGAGTACACCTACTCGATGAAAGACTATGTGTTCACTACCAATTGACATGAATTGACCTGAAAACACGACGTTTAATTGACAGTTATATCATAAAAACTGCACTGAATTATAACTCTAAGGTCTTGAAGGGAAGTGATTTATGTTTAAGTCATAAGACTACACTCGTGCCTTGTGGGCCAATTTACCAAAAGAAACCTCGCCTAACCTCACTATACATTTACACGAGTCACTTGTCTGTCGGGTAGTTTTTGTCTTACCTACATCCCACGAGCCATGACCGAAGCCAAGTCCCCATGGTCACCCGGTGGCGGTGTCACAAGAGTAGGGAAAGAACTACCAAGAACTACCAAAGAGGTCTAGAATTATTCTTCAAAGATAATACACTAACTACTATCAATCACCAATTACTGATTACAAAGCCAAAACCATCCAATACCAGTACCCTATCCCTATCTTTTGCAATTATCTCTATCGTTGGATCCCGCGCTCAGTAGCCCCCGCTGGGTTGCCCCTATGCCCTGCACGGGCGCGCGCGCGCCACAGCAACGTCACCGCACCAATCACTGCGATCTTACCAGTACCCATATAACCAACACCCGCCCCTATACCACCCGCCATGGCCGACCCCGCCGTTCCATTTAAGGTCAAGGCGGTCTACGACTACACGCTGGAGTTCGAGGACGACCTCAATTTCACCACGGGCACCGTCATCACCGTCACCGCCGTCGAGGACGCCGAGTGGTACCTGGGCACCGCCAACGGGCGCCTGGGGATGTTTCCCAAAAACTTTGTCGAGCGCATCAGCGACGACCCCGCCGTGCCCAAGCGGCCAGCGCACCCTCACGGCGCTGCCAGTGGCGCTGCTGGCGCTGGTGCTGGCGCTGACCAGGCGCCGCCAGTGGCGCTGGAGGCGACGGAGGCGACGGACTCCGCTTCTCCGGCGACCACCACCACCACCCCGACTAGTGGTCAAAGTAAGGCGCCCGCTGCTGGCGCTGGTTACGTTCCCAAACCGACCCTGGTCCCCGCGGCGAAGCACGACGACCCCTACGTGGTCAAGAAGCAGTTCGTCGCGGCGCCGAAGTCGCTGTACGTGCCCAAGATCACCCCGCGCGACGAGTACGCCGTGCCCCACGCCAAACACGACGTCGCCCACAACGACTCTGAGATCGTCAGGCTGACCCCGGTCGACACCCACCCGGAGGAGCCCGAGGCCGAGGCGCCGAAAGTGCTGTTGAAGGAGCGCATCGCCATGTTGCAAAAGCAGCAGCAGGAAGAAGCCGAGCGCGCCGAGCTCGCCGCCAAACGCGCCGCCGAGAAGAAGCGCAAGCAGGAGGAAGAGCGCCGCCACCGCGAGGCGGTACGCGCTGAGGCTGAGGCCGCTCGCGCCGCCGGCGCCGCTGAGGGCGCTGCTACCCACGACTTAGAGGGCATTGACCCCGGCGCCGACGTCGCCCTGCTCGACCGCCACGGCACCGGTAACCTGTTGGGCCTGGTGGGGCGCCACGGCCTGGTGCGCCGCCGGCTGAGCCTGCTTAAGCGCACCACCACCGGTGGCTCCGTCGACCCGGCGCTCGACCACGACGACCTCCACGGCGATGCTGGCGACAACGCCAGCATCCTCAGCGGTCAATCGCTGCACGCGCCGGGCCACGGTGGCATGCCGTTGGTGCCCGGGGCGCCGATGGGCTTTGGCGCCCCGCGACCCCCGGTGCTGCGCGACGGTGGCGCCGACGGCGACGACGAGGCGGCGGAAGCTGACGAAGAAGAGGAGGACGAAGACGACGAAGAAATCAAGCGGCGCAAGCTTGTGGAGCGCATGGCCAAGATCTCGGGTGGGCGCAACATGTTCGGCATGATGGGGATGCCCTTCGGCGGCGGCGCCGCCGCGGCGACGACGTCGCGCAAGAAGCTGGTGGAGTCAGCGGAACCGCCGTCGCTGGCGCCTCACGTGCCTGGCGCCGAGGCGCCGTCAGCACCCCCAGTGTCGGCGCCAGCCCCGCCGGGAGCGCCGGTGGCGCCAGTGTTGCCGCAAACCAGCGGCACCAACGCCGACGATGAGTTCGACGACGGCGAACGCCCGGTGCTGTCGGACGACTACCACCAGGACGCGGCGCCTCCCGTGCCTCCACACGTGTCGCTGCCGCCGCCGGTGCCCCGCGACGACGTCGCCCTCCTGCGCCGCTCGTCGAAGAAGAGCCAGAGCCTGCGCCAGTCGATCCACATCCTTGACGACCACAAACACGTTGACATCCCCGAACAGGGCTACGAGGCCGACGAGGACTTGAGCGACCGCCGGGGTCCCGCGCCGGGCGAGCGCCGCGCCTCCCGCGAGCTCCCGACACTGCCGCTGTCGGTGTCGAGCGCGACGTTTGTCGACGCCAGCAGCGCCGTACCACCCCACACTAAGGTGCCGCCACCGCCACCGCCTGGCGCCGCTCCTCCTCCTGGGGGAGCGCCTCCCCCGCCGGCACCCCCTCATGCGCCCCATGGCGCCCCGGCGCCGCCGATGCCCACTCGCCCTGGCGCTCCCGCCGACCACGATAAGTCATTGCCGCCGCCACCCCCAGTACCGGCGCCGGCGCCGGCGCCTGATAGCCACCCGCGCGCCCCACCGCCCGTGCCACCAGTTCCGGCGCCGGTAGCTGGTGCTGACGCTAACCCCAGGGCAGCTAAGCTGGCGCCACCGCCACCGGTGCCGGCAGTGCCGCCGGTGCCGGGATCGCGCCCGGTTCTGCATTACCAGCCCGACGCCAGCGACCTGGACCTGGACCTGCTGCTTGCCGACGACCACGAGTTTACGTTTACCGGCGCCCCCGCGCGCTCGGCGACGGCGCCGTCGCTCGACGGTAGCGCTGGTGGTGCGCCGCCGCTGCGCCTGGCGCCGGCGCCGCCGACACCGCAAGTGCCTCCTCCCGTCCCCGGCGTGCCTGGCACCGTCCCCGGTACTCCAGCGGCGCCGATGATGGAGCGCGCCCGTACCGACATGCTGGGGCTCTCGTTGGCGCTGACGTCGACGCGGGGCCCGCTGCTGCCCACCAAAGGGCTCTCGCGACTGAAGCTGGTGCGCGCCAAGGACCAGCTGCTTGCGGAGGCGGCGCACGAGGAGTTGGAGTACGAGATCCACAACATCGGCGGCCAGAGCCCGTGGTGGGTGCACAGCGCCCTCCCGCCGGCGATCGCGCTGCGGCTGGGGGTCGACTTGCGGTTTGAGGTCGACGCCCACACCATCACCAAGCGCGGCGGGCGCCAGGTCACCTACAAGGACTACTACATCGTGTTTGCCGACTTGTCGCAGCTCCAGTTCGAAGTCGACTACGACGCCGCCGACGCGCTGCTGACGGTGAAATGCGGCGCCCTCACCACGGTGCCGCCGCCGATCATCCGCAAGGACTTGTTGGACAAGTTCCACCGCGAGTACCTGAGCGCCGTCGTCGCCCAAGCGCAGCTGTTGCTTGGCAGCGCCAACGACGACGTCGTACTGCTGGTGATGGCCGCCGTCGCCCACAAACAGTGCCCGCTGATGCTTGCGCCCATCGGCGACCGCGCTTACGGCGTAACCATCTACAAGAACTTCAACAACGCCAACATCGCCAAGATCGACGATATTAAGCCCGGTGACGTGTTGTGGATCAAGCAAGGGGTGTTTGCCAAGAAGAAGCTCGTGGGGCGCAAGCAGCGCAACTTGGGCGACGACCACTCGGTGCACACGGCGGTGGTGTACGACTACGACCCGAAGAAAGATAAGGTGAAAGTGGTGGAGCTGGAGGACGGTCACGTGGTCAAGGAGCTGTATAAGATCGGCGAGTTCGTCTCCGGCCGCCTCCGTGTGTTCCGACCCGTGGGGCGTGATTACATCGGGTGGAATTAAACTGGCACCAGAGGTGGAACCAGAGGTGCTGCATTATGGGAGAATGATGAATGATTACAAATACTCAATAAGATAACCATGATTAAAAAAAAGCATTTTCCTGCTTGTTGTCACACTAGCATATTCGTTTTATGCCACAAAATTGGACGTCACAATAAAAAGTGGTATAATCAGTCGACACAAACAGAATTAGGCTAAACGGAAACAATGCGTAATTTAAATCGAAGGAATAATTGATTAACGCAGAATTATTGTCGACATGAGTAGTAGAGCCATTTAGCCATCGATCAGATTCACGACTAGTAGTAGTAGTTTTGCTTGAGGTTAGCTTGGTGACGTTGCGGCACCGATGTTCATTTTAGTGTAACTGTTTTTTTTTTTCCCCGCGATTTGTGAGGTTTTTCCGAGACGATACGTCGACGCAGTGTAACCAGGGTCACGTGAGGCTGTCACTTCCCCCCGCTCTGGGGGTCCCGACCCTGCCACCTCCACACAAACGCCATGGAACCTCATGCCCCCCCGTCCAATACAACCGCAAAAATGAAACAAAAAGTAACACCCCATAATTTTTCAATTACACTGCCTTAATTATGTCGTGATCCAGCACCAGCCCCTATGTGGGGGTTGCCTCTGGTGTCATCGGTGGCTTATATCCCTCACCCACCTTCCCCTTTACTCCTGTATCCGTCATCTCCGTCGACAAAATTCCTCTCCGATACTCTCTTAGACTACTACCACAATCCATTCGTTTTGGTATCACCTTGCTGAGGCAGTGGTAGTCATCGGCCGGGGTGATCCTGTCCCCAGTGGTGTTCGTTGCAGGAGTGCAACGTGCCAAAAATATGCGACATCACCGAGGTTGCACCGGGCGACAAAAATGCAACCCGCGACACCGGGGCGACCCCCTCGCCGATGTATAAAGCTGCTGGCGCCGCCCCCGGCCCCGGGACAACGATGGCTGCCCGAGTAGAAGTGGCCGCCGACGAGTTGGCCCCGCCGGCGCTTGCCGCCCGGGCCCCGCGAGCCGCCGCCGCCGCCAAAGCCACCAGCGCCACCACCACCAATACCACCACCACGGGCGCCCGCCACCCCGCCGAGCTGTTTCTCATGAACTTGACCGACGACGAGTTGCGCCGCCAGTCCCGCCGCCTCGTCGACGACGTCCACCAGTGCATCGTGGAGGAGCTGGCGTTCACAATGCTCCCGAACTACGCCATCGCGCCGCTGGGCGACGAGCACGGCGCCTACCTCGCCATCGACTTGGGCGGGCTGACGCTCCGAGTGGCGGCGGTGGTGATTGACCCGCCCCGTGCCGACGCCAACAGGGGAGACCGCGTCCACAACGTCATCGAGCACCAGTGGATCATCCCCAACGACCGCAAGGTGATGAACACGGCGTTCTTCCACTACATCGCCGACCGCATCGCCGATATCTTGGCGAAGCAGTCGGAGATCGACACCACCAAAGTGATCAACACCGGGATCACGTGGCTGTTCCCCTTGACCACCACTCAACACAACCGCGGGCGCATCCGTTTGGTGAGCAAAGGGTACACCATTGCCGACGACGTCTACGACCGTGATTTGAAGGACTTGTTGGAAGAAGCGATGGCCGAGCGCCACCAGCTTCGGTTGGACGTCAAGTGCATCATCAACGACTCGTTGGCGGTGTACCTGGCGGGGGCGTTCTACGACCCCTACATGAAGTTGGCGCTCGTCCTCGGCACGGGGACCAACGTCTGCTGTGCCCTCGACACGCTGCCGCTGTTCCCCACGTCAAAGACGTGTCCAGGCGAATCTCAGGTGTTGTTTAATACCGAGATCTCGGTGTTTGGCGACGGCTTCATCGACCGCATCACCAACGATTACGACGCCATGATCGACGACCGTTTCGCCACCTTTCAAAACCGGTTCCGCCCCTTCTTCGAGGTCGACCCCCTCGACGGGCGCGTGTTCCAGCCCCACGAGCTCATGACGCTGGGCCGCTACGTCCCCGAGCTCGCCCGCCTCGTCGTGTGCGACTTGATCGCCGACAAGCAGTTGTTCCAGCAGGTCATGGGCCTGTTTGAGCGGCTCCAGCTCCCCTACGACGGGTTCTCGGGCGAGACGATGTGCTGCATCGACGAACAAGGGTACCCCGAGATCGTCGCCCACTTGGCCAAAGTGTACGGGTGGGACCCGCTGCAAATCACCCGCGACGACGTCGTCATCCTTAAAGTGGTGTGCGGCGCCATCATCAAGCGGGCGGCGTTTGTGGTGGCGCTGATCATTGTGGCGTTCGTCAACTTGTTGTCGGCCCACAATCTGGAGCCGTTCGCCGACCACCGCTTGGACGTCGGCTTCGTCGGGCTGGTGTTGGTGTACTTCCACAACTACAAGCGGCTCGTGACCGAGTACGTCAACCACCATCTGGAGATCACCCGCCGCGGGCTCACCGTCGAGCTCATGCTGATTGAGAACTCGTCGATAATAGGGGCCGCCATCGGCGCCGCGTACTACAGCCACAAGTGACGACGTTTATGCATCAGGGATACATAGGGATTTATTTAAAAGGATTGATTTTGCCGTATACTAGCTAGTAGTGTCAAGTGTATGACTTACACACTGTTCTGTTTTCAATGCTGTATTCGGAAGGTTTGATAAGTTGGGTCATTTCAGAGGAAATGGTGAAATTTGGTAGATTTATTTATTCGTCTATCACTCGCATAAAACTGTAAAGTTTAATTTGACAAAAACATCATTACAGGCCAAATAAATGCTCTATATTAATACTAAGTTTGATACTAACATATAATACCCGAGTAGAGTCAGTAAAAACCCTTAAGAGGCCAAGTAAAGCGCAAAAAGGCAATATTTCCTAAAATGTATCAGTTACCTGGCACTTCTTGAAACCCGAACAGCCCGCGTGGCCCAATGGTTAAGGCGCTCGACTTCTAATCGAGCGATTGTGGGTTCGAATCCCGCCGTGGGTTTCTTTTTTTTTTACCACCAGCAACACCCTAATCGTTTTTCTTGAATTCTTTCACTTAAAACTACTACTCGATTAGTGTATCTCATATATCATCAACGTAAAAACAAGTCTAGGTATGCCATTATGTATAATCGTTATCGTTAGGGGCTAGCGTCGTCGTGGGTGGACCCGTAGCGGCCCTGGCGCTTCGCCTCTTCGCGAGCGTAGATCGCCTGGGCCTCGCGGTCGATCTGACTGTCGGTTTCGTCGCTGCCAGTGAGGCCTCCCATGATGAGGTTAGTGAGCTTGCCCGCCTGGTTCTGGATGATGTTGTCGATCAACACCAACTGGAGGCAGTTCATGACCACGGGGATGACGAACATCACCATGAAGATCTCCACTTCCTCCGGGTACTCGTTGAGCCACAAGAGGATGATGTTGTGGGTGATCCACAAAAGCTGGTCTTGGAACACTTCGACGATGGCAAACACAAGCAACTTGGTGATCATGAGGGCTAGAAAATAGATGATGAGCTGTTTGAAGTAAGCACGATACTTGGGCGGGTCGCCGTACTCGCCGGAGTCGATCTCAGTGATGCCCAACGTCTTCTTACAGAACTGGTTGAGCCACGAAAACACAAGGTATAAGATGTAGACGCCAATGGTACAGTCAAGCACGATCGACAAAAAGTACCAGTCGCAAGGGTCATCGTCAACTTCGTCGTCAGCAAGTAAATGGAGAGCGTCGTCCTGCGACTTGAGGATCAGGAGGAACACGTTGAAGACGTGGACGCCAAACGCGCCCACCAACTGCTTCAGCACGTCAAACGACCATACTTTCCACGTGCGGCGGATGGGGTACTCGTAGTTGCGTTTGATGATCAACAGCAGGAGACAGAGGAGCCCCAACGCCGCCTGGGTGATCAACGAGAACGTCCCGACGAGCTCGCACTTCTGGTCGGGTTTCTTGTGCTTGCCGAGGTCGTGGACGTCGTAGAAGAGCAACACAAGTGCCTGGGGCACCCATAGAAGCGCCAGCGTCCCACAGACCATGAGCGGTGAGTAGGGTGGGTGGGTCGACTGGCGGTTTTGTGGCAAAACGTCACCTCTCCGTTGCTATCGCACCCGAAAAAAGGTCTGACGGCAATTGATGGGGTATGACGACAGCGAGAAAATGTAACGTTGTATTAATTTGGTAGTGTAATCTGGTATCTAATATTTAGTATTAGCTAGCGGAACTGCGAGTAGTACTGTTCATCGGCAAACCGCTGGGCAACCAACGCAAGCACCTCGGGACTATATACATCGGCAAACGTGTCGCTGCCAAGCAAGATGCGCTGCTCGTGGACCTTCATTTCCTCCTTGGTCATCACCACCATGTTTTGCACCAGCAACGGCTTCTTAGGGTCCCATTGCGAGAGCACCAAACGGGTCAGGTAGCCTGAGATGGGCGACTTGCCGCGCCACACTTCTTCAAGGATATAGGGCACTTCAGAGAGCTTAATCGGCACACGGTTATCCTTGACGCCTAATCTGATCAATTGAGCGCCTAAGCCAGTGAGGAACAGCTCGTAGTTGTGGTAGCGGTTCTTCCCCTCGACGGGCTCCATCGGATACCCTGCCACTTGGCACAACACGTAGGTGGCGATGGTCAAGCCAAACATCCCCGGCATCGTCCCCAACACGGGCAAAATGCGGACTCTAAAATTGCGCAACGCCGTCAACTGGTCGACATCTCCCTTAGCCAATTCCTCTTCGGTAATCGGTAATAACTGAGCCTTACGCGGGTCGGGCTTTTCCGCCGAGAACACCACGGGGATCCCCTTCAAGATCCCCCGCTTCTTGAGTCTCACTCTCACCTGTCTCAGAAGGGCGTCCTCTTCAGTCTTGGAGATATCGGCGACGTTAAGCCGCGTGGGGTCGTTTTTACACGCCGCCCCTCCCAGCGAGATCACCTTAAGTCCCTTGTTGAAGCAGTACTCCAATAAGTCGACCTTGGTGTCGATGTTATCGATACAGTCGATGACGAACGTCGGGTTCCACTGGCCGTCCTTGCCGTAGATTAACTGTTCCCCTTGGTCCAACGTCCACAACGAGTTTTCCACCTCAATATTGACCCAGGGCGCTACCTGAGACAAGTGGTTCTTTAAGCAGTTCACCTTGGAAATGCCCACGTCCTTAGTGGTAGCCACAGCGTGGCGATTGAGCGAGGAAAGCGTCACTTGGTCAAAATCAATCAACTTGATGTGGCCAACCCCGGCGCGTACAAGCATCGTCGCCACCCACGAACCAACACCACCAACACCGACGACGACAATACGCTGGTTGCGGACGGCCCGCATCCCGTCGTCGCCGAGGAAGGCGTAGTTTCTCGCCAACTGTTCCTCGATGAGCTCCTCCAGGTACTGGCGCTCGACCAGGCGAGGCGGCAGCTGCACCTCGGGGTTTTCAGCTTCCTTTATCAGCTTGTAGCAGTGTAAGACGCCCACGGTCGCCGCTACCGCAGCCACGGCGGTGACGACATGGCTCCGGTCCAACATGAGGTAGTCGCGATGACACCGCGATCGTTATCATCATTCGAGACTTTGGTTATGAGCGATGATGTAACAGAAATATACCCATATGTACCAGTATATGATTTCTATCTATAGGTTGAAAATCAATTGCTAATCGTTTTTTGGTTAAGTCAATTTCTAATGGTTCATTTACTATTTATTTTCTAGATCAACTAGAGCTTGGCGTTGGCGCCCTGTCTCCCCACCGTCGACTTGATGTACCCGTTGGGGTCCGACGCCGGGTAGAACAAGTCGTCGTTGTCCTTGATCCCCTTCCACTCCAAGTTGAACAAGATGTAGTGCTTGTTGGGCAACGCGTACGACACCTCCTTCACCTCGGGCACCTTGGCGAGGATCTCGGCCGACATGTTGTACATCGTCGCTTGCACCGACGCCGAGTTTTCCAAGGCAAACAACTCCAAGGTGACCTGGCGGGCGGTGTTGTAAGTGTAATCAAAGAGACCCTTGTCGGCGGCCTGGAACACCGAGTTCAAGTCGGGCAACGCCTTGGGGTCGAACTCCCAAGTAGCATCAACGTCGGTGGACAAGATTCTGTCGGTAGTGGGCTTCAACGTGGTGTAGTCGCATTCGTGGAAGCCGTAGAACATCGACCCCGTCAGCTTGAGCACCGTCAAGTCCTTGATCCCCGCGGTGAGCACCAATTTGCCCGACCGCTTGTCGTAGTCCAAGTGGATGCGCTTGGTCTCGGGCCCTTCGTGCTTGAACGAGTGGTCGTGCACTTTGCCGTTAGACAACGGGTATTTTGACCATCTCTGCTGGATGATCAGCACCTCGACGCCGTCCACGTGACTGTATTTCTCGGTGAAGTGCTTGGCCAAGTGGGCGGCGAATCTTTCCAACGGCCACACTTCGGAGGTCTTCGCTTCCACCAAAATGGTGTTTTTGACGGTGTCGGTAGGCACAATCAGCGAGTTGTCGGCCTTGGTGTACAGCTCGTCGAAGCCGCCGCGCAACAACACCATGACGTTGGCCTCGATCACTTCTTGCTTCTTCGGGTTTTGCCGGTCCTTCTTCACCTTGAGGAACTTGACGTTGGCTTTACCGTAGGAGGACTTGACTAATTGCGACATGCTGGAGCGATGGAGAGGGCGGTGATGGCGGGAAACGGGGGTCTTTTTATAGCGGGGACCGCCTACCACTCGATTTTCGGGAATTTCCATGGCGTCGTTGCCTCCGGTACATAAGCCCACGCACAGCGGCTCCTTTGCCCACCCGGCGCCGCCCCCGATACCAGCCAAAGATAGTGATAACAAGCAAAATTGAACCAAAAAGTAGACTAAAATAGCTACAATGATACTGTTTAATTGGTTTTTTAGGCCTGGTTAGTTCTAGTTAACGGTGGGGGTGGTTGTCGGCACGGGGATGCACGATCAAGTGGGAACCCCCCCATTTTATCGATGCTCACCCGATAACGTCTAAGTCCGGCAAAAAAAAGTACTCTTAGTTTTAGTGATTATGGATTGGATCAAAAGAGGAAAATTACTGTTGATCTGAGTAGTCGATAGGGCTATGCTATGGCTTACAATTTAGTTTAAATTTCCTTCTCTGGTTTGGCTACTTAGGGATGTGGTCTACCCACGAAGCTCGGAGATCTCCGTGCCCACTATGGGAGACGCCGCGCGCGCCCGCACGGTGCCGTCACCAGGCAGTACCCATGATATGAGGGCATCTGTCCCTGAAGACGCGCACCCCACAATTCACAAAACTACCATTTATTACCTCTCAACATCAAATTACTTACGTGGTCTCCTCTTTGATTGGTGAGTTCTTCATTGATTTTATTAGTGCTTCTTCAACATTTTCTATGTTTTAAGAAGGTAATTTTCATTAAGATCAACGTAGGGCATATTTGCCCTATTCTACGTTCAATCAACATTCTTCAATTTTATTTTAGTGCCTATGAAAACTTCACGAAGCTATATTTGATGCCTAACTGAAGACTCTTCTAGATTGACTAACCTCTTTGACATGAAAAATGAAATTGCTCATATACTTTATTGACTTAACAGTCTCTAGTTTCAATTTGCAATTGCACACTCGTCATCTACGCCTTTTCATCGACGGTCTCATCGACGGTGTCATCCACCTCATCCACATCTTCCTCCACCACTTCCACCGTTTCCGTTTCCTCGACAAACCGCAACAGTTTACGCAGTTTCACTTCGGTAGCTGACGAATCAACCGCTGAGGTGGTGGCGGCCAGGTTGTCGGGCTCGAAGCACAACTCGGCGGTGCGGATCCACCGTCTCCGCCGGGTATACTTCGAGAACGTGTCGGTGGTCGCCGGTGATTTCCAGGTGTTATCCGTATAAACAAACCCTTCGTCCGGCGCCGGGTTGGCGGTGGTCTTCAGCCGCTTCGCCGCCGGGAGCTGGATGGCGCCGTCGTTGGTTAGGTCGAGGCGCCACGTCTTGTCGACCCAGCGCCACTTGGCGTGGGCAATCGCCAGGGTATAAGGGGTGTCGTCCGTGGGCTCGGGAAGCTTGAAATCGTCGGTCAGCGCCAGCTCGTTGAGGAACTCGTCCGTCCACGGCGCGCGCTCATAGGTCAACAAGTTGTGGGTCCAGCCGATGCCCAACCACTTGCGCTGGTTCTCGTAGATGACGTAGGTGAACCGCACGGGCTTGCCGCCGGCGTCGGGGGTGTAGCGGTGCACTTTCGCCATCGCCGCGTGGAGCAACTGGCGGTTGCGGGGCAGGTTGAAGTCGAGCCCCGTCATCCAGAACACCACCACCCGCGTCGCTTTGAACCGCCACAACAACCGCCGGAACACCCGCATCGTCGCCAGGTGGTAGGTCAAAATGTACACCCCGGTGACCAACAAAATGATGCGGGGCTTGATGAAGAGCGCCGCCACCACAAGGTATAACGGGGTCAAAAACACCGTGGTAAACACCAAGCGCTTGATATCAGACACGGTGAGCCGCAACAGCGTCATCGGCGCCAACAACATGTCCAGCTTGATACACGCCAGCGTCAACTGCTGGACGACCTCGTCCAACGTCGGCTCGGTGCCCACGGCGGCGGCGATGCTGCTGTTGAGCGCGGCGTACCCGGCGATCACCGCCACGAGCACCAAGTGGCCCAGCCACACCACGATCTGCTCGAAGTAGAGCACGGCGAGCGTGTACGCCAAAACGGCGGTGACGTTGACCCAAGGGTCGTCGTTGGTCCAGGTGGCGACGGCCAAGAAGTGGTTGACTATCACCAAATAGGGGTAGGCCTTGGTGAGCGCCCGGGCGACGGTGGGCGGCGTCGAGCTGAGGAGCGGCAGTGTCTGCGGGCGCACTTTGAGCGCCGGTTTCACGGGGGCGCCGCCACCGTCGCTGAAGCGGGCCCGCATGGCGCCGTCGTCCGCCGGGGGCCGGTCGGGGTCGGCGCCGCCGACGTCGGGGAGATCGAATACCGGCTTGCTCATCCTGGGGACCCGTCAAGCCAGTGGTGGTGTGGAGCGAACAAAAGCGCATGCGCCGGGCGCGACAGCATGCGACCCCGCGAGGGGAAATCCGAGGGACGACACCAGTCGTGTGTGGTGGCGACGGTAAGGGGAAGGATGCGAGGGATGGAGGGGAGGCGAGGGGAGCGAGATTGCCGAGCGGTGGCCGGGTTTGTGGCGAGACAATGGCGGAATTATTATCGGCGGTATCAGTCGGCTGAGGATAATCCGGCACCCCACTGATCCCTGCCCTCGGCATTGCCCCACAAAACCGGGGGGCGCGCCGAGCCCTCTTGTGAAAGGAACATATAAGCTACCGATCCTGCGGTACCCCAGTCCCAACCACCGCGTGCCCCACCCCCCCTGATGCTGCCGTTGTACCCGATCCCGCGGTTCCTGATCCTCCGGGAGCGGGAGACCACAGCCAACGAGATCAAGCGGTTCTTGGCCGACCAGCACTTTGACGGCGCGACGTTGTGGCGGCTGTTGAGCGCCGCCGCCGAGGACCCGGAGCTGAAGGCGTTCCTCAAAAAGCACCGGGCCACCATCGAGGCGTTCACGACACGAACCCAGTTCCGCCGCTGGTTCTTCATCGTCGACCGCGCCATGGTGGGGCTCCACTTGCTGACCCAGGTCGAGGAGCGGCGCCTTTTGCTGCGGCGCCCGGCGCTCGACCGCGTCGACTTTTTCGACGCCATCGACAAGGCCGCCGACGCCAACTACTTGATCCACAAGTACTCGACGCCCGAGTACGTCGCCCTCTTGGCGCGGTCGGTGTTCAGCCGCTATCCGCTGGTGCAGAAGTTTCTCCTCGACTACGTGGCGGATCCGGCGCACCAGCACGAAGATATCTCGCATATTCTCAACCAGTTGATGTTGGCCCTCCCGGACTTGTTGCCCCTCAGCGCCTACCAGTACGTCTACAAGCTTTAGCCTGCTTCTAGGTCTACCCACTTTAATGAATACCCACAAGTACCTAGTGAAGCACTAGTATCAGTTAGTAGTTCGTTGGTTCAACTTGTTCTCGTGGCTGGTGCCTTCATCTACCATTTACATTGGTTTCAATGTATCCTAAGCTTTAATGCGACAGAAGCCTTAGTGTAACAATAGCTCTAATGCAAGAGAAACTTCTATGTAACGGAGATCTTGCTGTGACAATAGCAGTAAGGTCAATGCCTAGCGACTTGCTCCTCGGTGGCTACGGCTAATAGTTGTAGATCATAGCCAGCCTTTGGTGGTGAGATCGCTGCGACAATCAGTACTAGTACTAGCAGTCTATGGGCGGATACTTAGTCTACAATTGTCACAATGAATACTAGTAGCGTATGTGCGGTTAGTGGCCATATCACGTTGGCCATACCCCAAGATTAAGGGAGCACTGGAATTCATCTTATATCGGCTCACACTAAGATCATCGCTTAGATCTCTACTATCTCTCACCTGACATCAGTTTCAAGTTTAGTAATAATCATAAGGTATTACCTTGAATCTGAGAACGATTGGATTCTACACGGTTAGCCTATTATTCCTTTGTATACGCGATCATACTCCTAAGTCTAATATTCCTCTGTTTACCTTCGTGGTGACCCCGGAAAAACACGCCAGATCGTCGCTGCGCGCCATGGACTTCTCGTCGCTAATCGGCCACGAGATCGAGGCCCGCCAGCGGGACGCCGGTGAATCCACCCGCCGGCGCCGCTCCCGCAAGCGCCGCTCATCCACTACCGAAGAGGGTAAGCCCACTGATGGCGATAACGATGAGACGCTGACAGCGCCATCGGCGCCCGACGCGGCGCCAGCGCCGGCGCCCACCGACCTCCTTGATATCCCTCGCGAGCCACAACTGATCGACGAACAGCTCCAGGTGTTCGACGAGGACCCCACGGGCCTCTCCGAAGCCGCCAAGATCGACCGCCTCCACTACCTCGTGCGTCAGGAGAAGTACAAGCAATTCCTCGCCGCCGAGGCGTCCGCCACCGCCACCGCCATCACCAGCACCGACATCGCCCATGGCGACCACCAGCGGCTAGCGCTCAGAGTGCGCAAGTTCCTTAAGAGCACCGTGCTCCAATGGCAGGCGATCGAGCCCGAGCTGCCCCTCTTAAAGACGGTCAAAATTGACTTTGTCAAGCTCTTCTACAAGCTCAGGGCACACAAGCTTAGTCCCGACGTGCTCACGTCGTTGGCGACGGTCGTCCACTACCTACAGCGCCACGACTACCACGGCGCCACTGAGAGCTACTACCAGATGAGCATCGGCAACGTCGCCTGGCCGATCGGCATCCGCGACGTCGGCATCCACGCCCGCTCCAACGACGACAAGACGACGAAGGCGATGGCCAATATCATGGCGAGTGACACCACGCGGCGGTGGATGGTGTCGGTGAAGCGGGTGATCACCTGGTGCGAAACGGTGACAAAATAGTCGGTTTAGGGGTTTAAAGTGGTCAGAAATTGCGTCTACGACATTAATCAGCGGTCAATTGAGTCGACTAGCTCTCAAGTGGGTGATTATTCGTTAGTTTGGTACCTTTGGTGGAAGGTCGCACGTGACTTAGGGTTGCCGCCCTCGCGGCGAAAAAATTCTTCGGCGCACGATATTATCGCCTCCCCTTCCGCGTTCCGCACCTTTACACACCCAAATGGCTAGAGAAATCAAGGACATCAAGGAATTCGTCGAGTTGGCGAGAAGAGCCGACGTCAAGTCGGCCGTGGTCAAGACCAACAAGAAGATCAACGCCAAGGGCAAGGCCGTCAAGCAAACCAAGTTCAAGGTCAGAGGGCTGAAGCACCTCTACACCTTGGTGTTGAACGACACCGCCAAGGCGAAGAAGTTGCAACAATCGTTGCCTCCTACCTTGGAAATCAAGAACTTGTAAGTGGTGTATAATGGTCATTTAATAAACAAATACGAAACACATTTGAGGGGGTGTGTAGCCGTCATCGTGGTTACTGAAATTTGCAAGGACATTTTTCAGGATGGCGCGACTAGGTACTAGTGAGCATCGCGATGTTCCTTAAAGATTATAGCCATTAATCAGTGGTGGGTAAATGTGCTTTCATTTGAGGTTGGAAGAGTTAATCTCCAATTTGGGTCTCATATAGTGTTATATTGATTGACCTACAATATGGGAAAGCCATTGATTGACTTCACATACAGAGAAAGCTAGTAAGCCGAAAGAGAACCCATGGAGTATATAACACACCAACTTATTGGAATGGGTTGCTTTTTGGAGTATGTTGACCCTACGTGTGAAATATCTCAGATTCCTTTGAAATAACGAAAATGTATCAGTAAGAGTGAGCCTCTATTTTCCAGATGAATACTATCAAGTCCTTGAACATTTCTGAAGCAAAAGGGGTTCTCTGAAAGTTAACCTAAGAAATCGACAAGTCAAAAAAATTACTAAATCAAATTGCTGACTCTCTAGTGAAGTACAGCCGAGTTCATCCCAAAATGTACTTTCCAGGTAAATCTGTCTTTTTGCACCCAATTAAAATAAGTACCTAATCATTCGTTCATTGTTAAATCAATAAACCGAAGAAGCAATTTCCCATTATACATCGGGTTCATTACAGTGGGTTAGGGCACTACCTCCACGTCCTCGTAAATCCTCCTCAATACGTCTCAAACACTCGATACCACAAAATTCTACTCGAAAGAATGTGCTATTGTGCGTGGTATTGTCGCTATGTAGTCTCTCATGATGTAATCGCTCGTAATTGGTCTCATAATTGGGTGGGGCTTCGGGGGTCAGGTGACGTCCTCCATGTCGTCGTCGTCGTCTTCAGGCTTGACGGCGGTGTCGTCGAGCGACGCCGCCTTCTCGGCGTCGCGCAAGCGGCGGTACTCGGGCTTCAAGTTGTACTTGGAGGTGTAGGGCCCCTTTTTGATCAAGTTGGCGATCAGCTCCAACAGCTCCTTCAAGTACAGCTCGGGCTGCTTGGTGCGCTCCTTCAACCCCTTCATCAGCCAGTACTCGTACTCCTCGAACAACTTGAACAACAAGTTCAACAAGTCTTGCTTGGGCATGCGGATGGCGCGCCCTTCGCTCTTCAGGCGCAGCGTCGTCTTGAGGAACACCAGGTTGTGGCTGTTTTTGAGCGACACCCCCGGGATCTCGTTCATCAACGTCACCTTGCGCCGCTCGGGCACCTTGTGGATGCCGGCACGCCGCGACATCATCGCCTGGTACGCCGGGTCGCGGCTGTTGGGCGTCACCTGGCAGTCGTGGCAGATGCGCCCCACCAACGCCGTCTTCTTCGGGATCGTCTTGACGTAGGGGATGTACGTCTTCTTCTCCTCGCCGTCCCCCGTCTTCAGCACCCGGTAGTACTTGGAGTAGGTCACCTCGGGCTCGTCCTTGAGCTCAGGCTGGTTGGGCACCTCGGCAAGCTCGGTGTACTCCTGCTTGAACTTCTTGAGGTTCAGCTCGCTGAACACGTAGGCGTTGCGCACGGCGGTGTTGGTGATGTTGATGTTGTACTCGGTGGGGATGTCGCTGACGTCGGCGGCGGCGGGGTCGAGGACGAGCTTCACCTGCTGCTTGCCGTCGTTCTTGATCTTGATCGTCCCCAACCGCTGGCCGCTGAGCCGCTGGGTGTCGGCCCACTTCTCGGCGAGGTACTTGGGGAGCTTCACCAACCACACCTTCTTGTTCCCCTGGGTGAGGTTCATGTCGAGCAGCTCGTCCTCCTCGAGGTAGTCCTCGGGGTCGCTCAAAAGGCCCTGCTCCCCCTGGTCGGCGAACCGGGGCCCGGTCTCCTCGTGCTTGACCGTCACTGGGGGCGTGCTCATGCTCAGGTGAAGAAGACGGCGGGAGAGCGCTAGAAGGGCGCTTTTCGCGACCCACAGTGCGAGGGACTGAGAGACGAGCCACGGGACTCGTACCACGCTAGAAACCGCTACAGGCGTCCAACGGACTAGAACTCAAGCTTAGCGGGTTTGCCAGCGTCAATTGAGTCGATTGATCGGGTCGCATCTCAGGCGACATGCCTTGCTCCCCACGTAGTTGGTAGTAAGCAGTCACCGTGATCGGGTGCGACTGGCACGTTAATGCGCCATGGTGGCGACGCTAAACCCGCCGTACTACCTCCTGGGCAAGGAGTGTGGCTACTGCAAATGTGACAAGCCCGACTGGCACGCGGTGGCCCTGTTCCAACTGCTGGATCGCCGCTGCCACTCGACGACGCTCGGCACCACCGTCCACGCCATGTCCCCCCACGACTACGACCACTTCATCAACCACGGGTGGCGGCGCCTGGGGACGTTTCTTTACAAACCCAACTTGTTGGACAACTGCTGCCGCCTATACACTATTCGAACCCGGTTGGCGGACTACCGCCCCACCAAGCACCACCGCAAAGTGGTCAACCGGTTTATCCGCGAGATCTCGGGGGCTGACGCCAAACCGGCAAAGGGACCGTTTGACGTATACCGCCTTCTCGAGGCGGAAAAGACGCTGACCCGGTTCAGAGTGGAGTACGAGCCGCTGGCGTTCACTAAGGAAAAGTATCAGTTGTACCGCAAGTATCAGGTCAGCGTCCACAACGACGACCCCGCCGACGTCGACGAAAAACAGTTTGAGCGGTTTCTCTGTCGCCACCCGTTTGCGTCCGTGCCTGACGTCAACGAAGTGCAAGGGTGGCCGCAAAGATGGTCTCGTCAAGTTCCCAAAAACACCACCGCCTACCGCGGCCCCATCCACGAGTGCTGGTACCTCGACGAACGCTTGATTGCCGTCTCGGTGCTTGACGTGCTCCCGCTGGGCCTCTCCTCGATCTACTTCATCTGGGACCCCGACTACGCCCACCTCAGTCTCGGGACGCTCTCGGGCGTGCGGGACATCCTCATGACCCACGCCTGGGGGTTTGACTACTACTACTTGGGGTACTACATCCAGGACTGCGTCAAGATGAAGTATAAGGGCGACTTTGGCGGAGAGCTCTTGGACGTGGCCAACAATGTCTACGTCGCCAAGACCAGGGTCGACGAGTTTATTGACCACGGGCGTTTATTCGTATTGGGAGAGACCGGACAAACTACCGAGCCGCAATGGCGTGAGGGTTTCCCCATACCGTTCGCCGAGTCGTCGCTTAGCGAGAAAACCGACGGCGAGGCAATCAACGTTGCCGACGCCGTTTACGGCACTGCTTCAGACACCACCAGTGTGGCGCAATCACACTTTGACTATATCCGTCGCCACTACGGCATCAAGCTGGTGGCGTTGATGGACCACCCGCAAATCAAGCCGCTTCCAGTGGTGATGCCGGGCGTCGTCCCCATGGCCCAGATGCGAGCGTGGCTTGAAAAAGACGATCTAAGTGACTCGACAGTGATTAAGGTGAACATCCAGGGCCACACCACCGAGATTGAGTATGGTGATCTTACCGCGGCGTTTCGAGGGATTGTCTTTGATATGGTCCGCGTGTTTGGTCTCGAGCCGTTCCAAAAGGGGGACATCATCATTGACATATAGCTCTAATCGCTAAGTATATACCATCGATTTACGATATATCAGTCCACCATTATTCCCCCTCACCCCCCAAATCATTGGAAGCCCTCAGCCATCGGCAATTCCTTGTAAACAATAAACAAGGGACTTAATTAATAAGGCTGACTTTGTCACTGCCTTCTAGGCACAAACACATATACGTGCCAGTAGTATTTGCAATGCTGAATTAGGCATATTTAGTCGTTGTTTAGCTAATCTCTTATTAATGCTACCATAAATAATAGTCAAGCTACACAAATGGCAGTTTGACGAAGGCTAAACAACGGTGCTGCAAGTTTTCATCCGATGCTGGTCAATAGGCTCCGTACCCGTCGAAGTCACTAAAAATAGGTCGTGCGGTGGTGGCGGGGGTCTAGAATGTGTCCATGCACCGTGCTGCGGTAACTTGACCATCGAAGATTCTACCTGGTGTGTTTACGTCATCGCGCACCCCGCGCTTGCGATTACTTATCGCGGTTCGCAGTAGTGTGATTCACCCGTAAGCAGCACCGGCTCGCATGATCAATAGCTGCGTCGACGTCAACAACCCGCGGCCACGTCATTGGCAGAGCAGTACCACCCCCACGATGACTCACCGCTCAGTAGTGGCGCCATGTAATCCATAGCACCACCGCCTGCGGGAGCGGGCTATGCCAAAGCAACACGCACAGGTGGTGTGGCCACCTATGGTCGCATAGAGGCATATCGAAGAAGATAACAGGCAACATTTGCGTTGCTCCGATAAACCCAATCCCGTAAATCACCACCAGCCGTTGTCTGGCACTGGACGTTAGCCTAGCCTCGTAAAACCCATCCCCATTACAAGCAGCCTACGCCCGCTCCCCTCGCTAGCGGGCAGCGACTGTCATCGGGTTTACCCCACACAAACTGGGGGGAACATGCATGGGCGAGCGACATGCACGTGACCCCGACCGCCCCTGCCCCTAAATGAATGATCACCAACGAGGGCTATATAAGGGCTGAAATATTCGCCCGGTGAAATTCCAACCCACACATTTCTTTTTAACACCCAATCGAATCAGCTATGACCAGAACCAACAAGTGGACCGTCCACGAAAAGGCCTCCGAACCCAAGTGGTTCACCAAGTCCGGCCACGGCGACACCGACCCCACCAAGATCAAGAAGGACGGCGCCGGCAACTTCAACTGGGGCCGCCCCGGCGACGAGTTGGACGACGCCGACTACGCCAAGGTCAACCGCATCGGCCGCAGAAACTCCAATCACGAGTCCAACATGGAGCGGATGAACGCCCTTGAAGATGCCTGCGAACGCGAGATTGCCCTTTAGGCTGGGGGGACGAGGTCCTCGTACGACGACACGACGAATACGGCGATATGATATACACATTGTGCATAGGTAAATAACATGCTAACGAATGAGATCAATTGAAAATTTGGAAATTGAGCGTAGAGTTATCGCTGGCAATCGAGTCTGAATCGACAAGGAGCTATCGGGAGAAATTTGGCCATAAGGTTCGGGAAGTTGTCGGTGAATAATGCGATGAAAACACGTCGTCGTATAGTTACGAGCTAGTGGCTCCGCTGTTGCCACCGCGCCTACCATTAGTCTCTGAAATAAAAATATCAACGATTGGTGATTCATTCAGCGAGCAAAGTCGTCAAGAATCAACCATCTCCATTAGTCCCGCCTCGATTTGGCTACCTCACACACAGCCCCTTGCCAGCGACTCGTTTCGGCTTATTTCCCCAAACGCGCACCCCTCTTTCAATTAGACTTTACCTGCAAAGCAACCATGTCACTAGCAAAAGAATGTGGGAAATTAATCGGAAACGGCAAAAATCAGCGTTTGCTCGGCACCACCGTCTACCGTCAAAGGGTCGAGACTGTTGCCGGGGATGCCGATGGTTGGCGATCCGCAACCGCGAGACGCTAAATGCCCCCGTCAGCCTTAGCCATTGAGAGTGCGAATGGCTGATTAGGTTAATAATAAACAAACACTTAATCTTAAACGCGGTATACCAAGATTTCACCAGCACCCCTCCTAGAGGATACCTAACCATGCATAGAGCATGATCCCGAGACAATCGACGTAAGGACCCTGATGTTGCCGTCGAGTACCCTACCAATAGGGGCTCATTTTTGCAAATTGTCGTCTGGGAGCCAATGGCTTCGTCTCGAGCTTCAGTCAGTGTAATCCCGTTTCCTGTGAATGGCCATGCATGTCATTACCCACCACTGAACCCTAATCTCGGCGTCTGTAGCTAATTTCTGATTTAGGTCTAATTTAGACGAGCGGAATGTTGACTAAGTGCATAAATCTAAATAGATGAAGTCATATCATTGATCTCTGTGGCGGTAAATGACCTCATAGACAGCACACCCTAAGCTTGTTGAGTTGCGGCCGCCAAACTGTATTTATATTGGCGAGGTTAGCCTGCGTTAGCGACGTCGACTGCCCCTCGTGCCCCGCCACTTACTTCAGATGAACCTCCTCCGCAAATTGAAAGAAAGACGCCCCCTGGTATCGCTGCTTTTCCTGGGATCGTCCACCGACACCTACCCCCACGACGTGATGGACATATACTTGATGTCGCCCGCCTCGACCTACGACGACGGCTTCAACGACGAGTCGTCGATCTTCTCCACGCGGTCGCCGGTAAAAGACGCGAAGCTCAACCGCAAACGGAGCCTACTCTCCTTGTTTATACTTTGAAGCTTGTAATTGGAGGCAAACTGTCCGGTGGCCTCCGTTGTACTATTTTGTGTTATACCATTGTACTAATATTACCAAACCTGTCTCTGCTTAGGTAGCTGGTCTACCGTGGAGGCACAGCAATTAATATCTAGAGAATCAAATCCCGTCCTGGAAAATCAGCAGTGATGGGGGTTTATACGTCGAAATATAAAAACACTCTCACAAAAGCCCAATCGAGCCAAGGGGGCCCCACGATTGTGCCAAGGCGAGTGCGCAAACTTCCGCTGTAGGGGCGTGCCCACTTGGGCCAAGCGTCGCACCGATTCGCACTAAATACGTACGAATTAGGAACGGGCGAAAATACCGTCGCTGAGACGAAAACGCGGTGTCGGCGATACCCACCACCGCTAGTGATAACCCTGCCTAGCACCATCATCATGGTATCCCGTATTGTAGTCTTTTTCATCGTTTTAACCCCTACAGCAACACTTTATCGCAGGCACGTTGCCTTTAGCTAAGTTTAGACCCCGTAGTTTTGCGGTAGATTTCGTTTTGGTGATTTTACGTCCCAAGCGGTACAAGGCGCATAAGCGGGCTGCACCTGGGCACACGGTGTGCCTCAGCGATGACCACGGGCGAAGGCCCCAAAGCCATCGCCAGAAAAATTAATTAGAGTAGTGGTGGTCAAATGTAGTGTATTGGCTACCCTAGGCACCAGTTTTGGTACCGCTACCACCATTGGTTCACCCGCTACCGCCCCCTTAGCTGAAATCGCGATTTGGTGATCGGTTGCGATGTCCGAAAACGTAACCAGCGATTGCCCTTTTGGCTCCGCTCCCCCTCTACAGGTACGCGAAAGCATGATAAAATACGCCCGATTGTTTTACGGCCATATGCCATAAGCCACCACTATAAATACAAATTCTCCGCCAGCCCTATCGGCCCCAAGTGAACCATCAGGATGCAGTTGTCTAAGGTTGTTCTTGCGGTCGCCGCCACCGCCGGTCTCGTTGCCGGTGAAGCCCACGCTTTTGCTGACGCCCAGGCCGTTGCCGACGCCGACGCCGAAGGTACCATCGGTATCATCTACTGTATCCTCTTCCCTTGGAAGTGTAACAACGGCGGCGGCGGCCTGCAGACCACCTCC